TTATGCGAAATGAAATGTCCTCATTCTGTAACCTTACATTAGGGGTTAAAGTACTACAATACTTGCCCTCCAGACAACGCCATGCTCCCCTAAGGTTCAGTGCCTAAGCCAGGCATAGGCAAACTCAGCCCTCCAGATGTTTTGGGACTACAACTCCCATGATCCCTAGCTAACAGGACCAGTGGTTAGGGATAATGGGAATTGTAGTCCCAAAACATCAGGAGGGCCAAGTTTGCCTATGCCTGGCCTAAGCCAACTGCAGATGATTATTTTTCGATGTACCTTTAACAGATGGTAGAACTCAAGGCAATAGTGAGGTGGTTCAAATGGTGAGGAGTGCTTGCCGCTTACTTGGTATCAGTAATGGCAGTAATCTTCACTTATTTGATCTGAAAATAAGTCAAGATATAGAGACCTCACCAGCAGAATGCCTTAAGGAAGAGCAGGGATTTAGAAAAGGTATGGCCTGCCATGAAAGGATAGCAACATACAACGGAAACATTAACTGAAGGGTAGGAGCCTCAGGCCTAAATGTGGTTTTTCTGGACCACTCTGACCCTCAGGACGGTCTCTAGGCCACAACCTCTCTCCCCAGACCACCACACTTATCTACCCTGATTTATTGTCCCCATGGGTGCTTGTGCCCAGCTGGCCTGTGTCTTGAACTGTAATAATGCTCCTGGCTTTTGTGTGTAGCTGGAACACACACTACTGTCCAAATAAAAGACCACATCAGTTGCTCCACCCACTTTTGCCACTGTTCTCAAACAGGTTTGGCCTCTGACCCACCCTCCATTGGCATGTGGTTCTCGGAAGATTGACCGTGGTAGGGAAGGCAAAAGGTTCCCCAATCCTGATTAAACCTCAGACTGCTTGCCAGTATTGTCAGATGGAGATCCTAAGGCACAAAGACAAACACATCCTGGTTTTAGTAGGTTGTTGGTATCAGCTATTGCCCAAGAGCATGACTGTGAAACCATGATGCATTGCAAATCAGACAGAAATCTGGATGGAGCCTGATCTTGTCTGCAGGAAGGCATCCAAGATGATTAGTGTTCTATCAAATTATTTAGGAGTCAAGTCAAATCAAATAGTTTTATTGGCATCACAAGATAATACGTTTCAAATCACTGGGATAATTAAAAGGACAAGGGTGAAGCTGCCAAGGGCTATAGGGTCACACTGTGGTCGTGTACAGTTAGATGTTCTGCTATGCCCAATCTATTTCCCGAAGGAATGGTTCGTTGGGAGCCCTTTCGGTTAAAATTTTGGCTAAAAAGGGAACTACTAGAGCAGTGGTATCTTTGTCCCAATCTGCCAGGGGAAACCTCATTTGATTTCTTCTCGGAGTTGTAGGCCGGAGATCCAACATCAGTTGCCGAGGTCTGCTATGTAAAAGGCAGTCTAGGAGAATGTGGTCCATTGAATCTGGTACTTCTTGGCTGCAGGCATGCAAACGGACTTGATATGGAGTGTGTGAGAATCTGCCTTTAGTCACTGCAGAAGGGAAAGCATTTAATCTCGTGAGGATATCCTTTGGTATTTGGCACAAGTTCCGTAGAGTGTTGTGATACCTAAGGCCTCTGAAGAACAAGATCTCGGAATGTGAGGTAACAAGCGCTGTCTTTTGTGGTCGTAGAGCCGCTGCTTGATTAATTGGAATACAGTGGTACCTCGGGTTAAGAACTTAATTCATTCTGGAGGTCTGTTCTTAACCTGAAACTGTTCTTAACCTGAGGTACCACACTTTAGCTAATGGGGCCTCCCGCTGCTACCACACCGCCGCCGCACAATATCTATTCTCATCCTGAAGCAAAGTTCTTAACCCAAGGTACTATTTCTGAGTTAGCGGAATCTGTAACCTGAAGCATCTGTAACCTGAAGCGTCTGTAACCCAAGGTACCACTGTATGTGATTTTCGTCACATTCTTGAAGACTCTCAAGAAAAATGCCCAAACTACGGATTTTGTCTTGAATTGCTCTATACCATTTGGATGAGATGTGGTCTTCAAGCATAGAGGTTAAGAAGGAGTTAGATGTTGTTCTAAAGTGGACTTTCAGCCAGGCCTTGATTGTAGAGAGCCATGCTTTGGTTTCCATCAGCTGTTGGTCGGTTTCAGCACATAAGGTTAAATAACATGCATTTAGGAGTCTTTTCAGCCAAGGAATATAACCTTCAGGAGCCTTGAATTAAATGATGGGATGACCCCAGTGAAAGAAACAATGCACTTTCTTAGCTGATCCATGCATTACCGTAATTGCTTGTTCTACACTTCATAACTGGCAGCTGAATCCATTTAAAAACAATATATTTGCGGTTATATGGCATTGAATGTGTGGTGTTCACATGTGCAGGTTTTCACCTGATACAGTATGTTTTTAGTAACAAATATGAGTTTCTGAACTAGCCATTAGAATGCTTTTCTTATGAAAGCACTGCAGCCTTATAATTTCCATTTTCCTGGATTCAGATCCGGACAAGCTTCTGGGCAACCTCTGCGTTGTCATCCCTTAACTAATGATACATCTTTGACAAAGCACTGAGCAAGAAGCAATGCCTCCCCCATGCCCATGTTCACTGACATCTGTCTAACTCAAATGGATACCCCCAGAGAGAATGATCATGTCAACAGAAGAAGGGATCTCACATGCCAGCCAGGAAGTATCACTGCAAGCTGATCGTCCATGTAAATGCTGTGATTTATGCTTACGAGTACAGTTGCTAAAAGGCATTTTCTGCCTCCATTCTGTAATGCCTGGAAACTGCCATGGGGAACACATTCCTATCCACAGGTTACAGTCCACATAAATAAGGAGTTTCCATAAACCCAAATGAAATCATGCTGCCGGGAGGGGGGGATAGTTTTCAGATATAGTGAGATCAGTCATATGGCAGACTGGAAAGTACCTGGAAAACTAGGGCGAAAATAAATGCTATCTGACAGTAAATCCAGCATTGGGAACATTGCAAACTTGGGTGGAGAGAGGGAGCGGAAGAAGTTTGATTCAGTTCATGCTGCACAACAATAAGCAAACTGAAACAGACATCTTTTGAAATTTGCACTTCTCTGATTTTTGCAATGCAGCTCTCCAGCTAATGCAAATTTCTCCCAATATACACATTTTTGCCTAATAGGCACATTTTTCAAAGCAATTTACTCTATCGCAATGCATTTTTGTTATTATTTGCAGTTATATATGCATTTTCAAGCACACTTTACCCTAGTAGATGAATTTTTTGTAAACATTTCTTGGTTGCAAAATTCAGAGAAGTGTAACTTTGTGTTCTGGTTTGCGTATTGTGTTTAGGTTTTGGGAAGTGCATAGGAGGTAAGTTGCCTAGAGTGGTAGGGCAGGTTTCTCATCTCTCTGTGCCTCCTTTTCCCTCTGTTTTTGATCTTTAGCTTCAGTTGTATTCCTTCCTATTTCATAAAGACAGATTTTGTCAAATGAAATCTTTCTTTCCCCACTCTTTCAGGACACAGAGTTTCTTTTGTCCCTTAAAATACCACCTGCAATGATCTTTGTTCTCTTAGTCCTCTTAAGTTTTGTGGGGGGCATTATTAGGGAGGCAATATACAAGTTGTAATGCATTTTCATTTGTATAAAGTGTTCCTTTGGCAACAACTGGGAGCCAAAATCTGTCTAACGTGACAGCAGAGAGTGCATGAACTTGGCATCTTCCGTTTCCCCACTGTTCAAAGCATTGTTCAACTCCTTTTGCAAAATGCACCAGAGATATATTCCTTCCCCCAATTGAAATCCAATGGGAAATGGCTGAAATTTTATTACAGAAAAGATTTCTGCAGAAAGGATATGGCACGTGTAGCACTGTTTGAATACTGCCTAAATATGCACTTGAACAAGTGTTGGGACAACTAGTGGAGGTAAAGAAAAAAAGACTATTTGAGGGCGTGAGGACTATGTCAAGGAATGTTTCTGCAGATGATGTTTCTTTCTTCACCCATCCATCTCCTCTCCTTGTGTTCTCTTCTTTTTCAACATATTTCCCCATCTTCCATAAAATTGTCAACAGGTGCCTTTTCACTCTGTCTTAGATAGAGGATTCATGATGGAACATAGGAATCTGCCTTATATTAAGTCAAAACATTGGTCCATCCAGGTCAGTTTTCTTTACACTACCTGGCAGTGGATTTCCAAGTTTTTGGAGAAAGGATATTCCTAGCCCTACTAGAAGATGCAAGTGTTCTTCCACTGAGCTATGATCTTCTTCCACTGGAAGGACAGAAAGCTGCTTTACATCTAAGAACTTTTTGGATCGCTTGAACCAAAATGGAACCAGACTGGTGGCTGCAAGGTGATAGCGGAGCAGCTGAAAAACTGATCAAGGGGGGAAATTCAACAGTTGTTGAGGAATGTCAGGTTTGGGATAAATCATCACTCAGGGATGAGGATGAACATATTAATGATTATCCAGATGGTAGAGAACCCAGGATGCCCCAGGGCAAAAGACACCTTCTAGAGCCATTCGGAGGGAGAGCCCATGAAAAGCTGTTTGTACGTGCATCCTATAACATTTTCTGAACATTATCCTGCTTTATTGTTGAAGTGTGGTTTCCTCCACAGCCATGAGCGCTTCAACTATTTCAGCTATGGAAAGAGAAACACTTCACAGTTCCTAGACTTTTCAACTAGAAAGTCACAAGAATGGCAAAAAACGAAAAACAAAACAACCTTTTGTGGATTTCTGGAAACTAAAGATAGAAGAGAGAGAGAAAGAGTGCCTTTAGAGAAGTTGGTAAAAATCATACGTGACAGCCCTTAGCTGTGCGGTGTATCTGTGTGGTTAGTTTCTGGGTATCAGAGGAAGCTGATTTCTGAATGATAAGGACACATTGCATTATATATGTGCACAGCCTATTCTGCATTTGATTTGGACCTTGGTGAGGCATTTGCAAAGGGCAATAACCATTATTTTGCTTTCCAGAGACTGACACACACATGCTGTTTTGTGAGGACACACACCCCTAGATGTAACCATGTTTTTGTGGACTGAACTCTTGGTGTTTGGCTTTGCCCTCATTGTGGATGCACAAGACACAGGTGGGTGGCAACTACTTATTTGTTCAATTTGCATATTTTGGAATCTTCTTTAAAAGAACTACCCAAACTCATTTGAAAAGATCTAAGGGTTGGGTCTGAAATCTTAGGTCTGAGGTGTGTCAAAATCTTAGTGAGGGTTTCATGAAAAGAAGAGCACCAGCAATTCTTTAAAGGATGACATATTCATCATTACCAGCGGCTCGGAAACAATTCCTGGGCCATATTCAGTTGGGGTGGAATACTTGAGATAAGACCTTCAGGTCTGGCCAGCACTCTTTTAGATTGAGAGCACCAATAGACGGGACCACAGAATCCTCCACCTTCCCGAACAAATACTTACATGTGGAGTTTGTTGGGAATTGGATGTTTGAAAATCTCTGTATAGCTCAGTTGGTTAGGGCATGACGTTGATAACCAGGGGTTGACTTAGCAATTGGTCAGGTTGGCCCAGGGGTGTGTGTGTGTGTGTGTGTGTGCAAAAATTGTGTGAGTTCCCTAGACTGCTCTGGGTGGTCAGGCAAGGCATGCTAGATCCTTTTGACTTCTCAGCAGAGGAATGCAGCTGCTAGCTACATTACTTTAAATGAAATCAAATCTTCATGGCATGATAAGCTGCACCCAAGGGTACTAAAGGATCTTGTGGATGTAATTTCAGATCCTTCTTTAATTATCTTTGACAATTCTTCAAGAAAAGGTGGGGCTCCCATAGACTGGAACCAGACAAATGTTGACCCCAACTTTGAAGTCCCAGGTAAGTACCAGCCAGTGACCTTTAAGGCTTTCTGTCATGCTTGGTGAGGGTAGGGTACCATTCAGTGTGCCATCTCCAGAAGGAGACGGATGGTTGTGCCAGGTTGGGGGGAGGGGTTCCAGCTATACACAATTTTAGCTTTATACAAAATCTCTGAACCTGACCCCCCCATGTTATGAGTCAACAGTATTCAATGTGATGTATAGTAAGCTCTATTTATGTTCAAATACCATGAAAAAGAATCAATCAGCCATAGAACAAAAGGTCTGATGCTATATATGTATTTTAATTATGGATGGTTATATTTTAATGAGATTGTTGTATTGCTGTACTGCAATTCCCTACAGACTCGGTCCAGACAATTCTTGACCCCGACTTCGAAGACCCAGGTAAGTGCCAGCCAATGACCTTGACATCAATACCTAGAACAGATAATTCAACAGTCAGTCATGAGCATTTAGAAAAGGATGCTGTGATTACGAAGACCCAGCATGGGTTTCTCAAAAATAAGTCCAGGAACACCCAAACCATCCTTCACTTCCAGCAATCCTACTGGAATTGGAGATCCTTTGGAGACCCAATGCTGCCATGAGTTAACTAGTAGCTTGGCCTTTTACCTCTGCCAGGTGAAGCTTGGAACACTGATTTCAGGGATTTTTATCTGGTGAACACACACTCTGGAAAAATCCAAACAGGACTGCCCATGATGGTAGTAGCCTTTGAAAAATGTCACCAGTTTTAAGGCTTTCTGCCATGCTTGGTGAGGGTAGGGCACCACGCAACACGCCACCTCCAGAAGGATACGGATGGTTGTGCTGGGTGCGAGTGTTTCCAGGATTCTTCCAGATATACACGATTTCAGCTTTATGCACAATCTCTGAACCTGTACCCGCCCCCCTCCCCAGTTCTGAGTCAACAGTATTCAATGCGATGTATAGTAAGCTCTATTTATGTTCAAATACCATGAAAAAGAATCAATCAGCCATAGAACAAAAGGTCTGATGTTATATATTTATTTTAATTATGGATGGTTATATTTTAATGAGATTGTTGTATTGCTGTACTGTAATTCCCTACAGACATGGTCCAGACAAGTGACTTCGAATACCCAGGTAAGTACCAGCCAGTGAACTTGGCATCAATACCAGGGAAGGTCCTAGAACAGATAATTCAACATCAGTCGGTGAGCATTTAGAAAAGGATGCTGTGGTTACTAAGACCCAGCATGGGTTTCTCAAAAATAAGTCATGCCAGACCAATCTGATTTCCTTTTTTGATGGAATTACAAACTTGCTGGATCAGAGAAATGCTGATTTCAGTAAGGCTTTTGACAAAGTCCCCCTTTATATTATCTCAAGGAAGCTGGTAAAGTATGGGTTGAACGAGGTAACGGTTAGATGGATTTGTAGCTGGTTGACTGACTGAACCCAAAGAGTACTCATTAATGGTTCCTTTTTCATCCTGGAAAAAAGTGATGTGGGGTGCCACAGGGTTCTGACTTGGGCCCGTTGTTGTCCAACATCTTTATAAATGACTTGTTTGAAGGAATTGAGGGGATGCTCATGAAATTTGTAGTTGAAACAAAACTGGGAGGGGTAACTAATACAACAGAAAACAGAATCAAAATTCAAAATGGTTAGAGAACTGGGCACAAGCTAACAAAATGAATTTCTATAGGGACTATAGGGAATTTTAACTAGGTTTTAATACATTAATGAGATTGCTGTATTGTGTATTTAATTATGGATATTTATATCTTTTTGAGTTTCTGATAGGTTTTTATATTTTGTAAAACACTTTGCAGCCTATATTGGCATTAAGCAGTATATAAATTGTGTGTATGCAACATTGAATTATAATTCAATACTTCTATAAAAAACCAGCTTATAAAACAGTGTCCTTTTTCTTACAGTGCCCAAATCACTTTGAAAAGATCTAAGGGTTGGGTCTGAAATCTTAGGTCTGAGGTGTGTCAAGATCTTAGTGAGGGTTTTTCTGAAAAGAAGAGCACCAGTAATTCTTTTAAGGGTAAAATATTCATCGTTACCAGTGGGTGGGAAACAATTTCTGGACCATATTCAGTTGGGGTGGAATAATTGAGATAAGGCCTTCAGGTCTGGCCAGCACTCTTTTAAATTGAGAGCACCAATAGACAGGACCACAGAACCCTCTATCTTCCTGAACAAATACTTACGTGTGGAAAGAGTTTGTTGGGAATTGGTTGTTTGAAAACCTCTGTATAGCTCAGTTGGTTACGGCATGATGCTGATAACCAGGGGTTGACTTAGCAATTGGTCAGGTTGGCCCGGGGTGTGTGTGTGTGTGTGTGTGTGTGCAAAAATTGTGTGAGTTCCATAGACCCTTCTTCTGCTACTCTGGGTGGTCAGGCAAGGCACACCAGCTCCTCTGGACCCCTCAGCTGCTAGCTACTTTAAAGGAATTCAAATCTTCATGGCTGCATTCAAGGGCACTAAAAGATGTTGCGAATGTAATTTCAGGGCCACCTTTGCCTCCGATGTCTGAGAGTTTTTGGGGTGATTTTGGGCGTAAAGGTGGGCCCCCCTATCGTCTTGTGGACTGCGGTAAGTTTATTGTTTCCTTGAAGATGGAATGTGACTAATTTTATTAATTTTATTAAGTCCCCCCCCCCGGTTACTCAGGAGCTGTGTTGATCCACATATCCACATATTTACATATATCACCCCAAAAGCAGTGGAACATGACATAATCAATATGCCGAGGGCCTTCCGGTGGTTCCCTCATTGCGAGAAGCAAAGTTACAGCGAACCAGGCAGAGGGCCTTCTCAGTAGTAGCACCCGCTCTGTGGAACACCCTCCCATCAGATGTCAAGGACATAAACAACTATCGGACTTTTAGAAGACATTTGAAGGCAGCCCTGCTTAGGGAAGCTTTTACTATTTGAAGAATCATTGTATTTTAATATTCTGCTGGAAGCTGCCCAGAGCGGCTGGGGAAACCCAGCCAGACAGGCGGGGTATAAATAATAATAATAATAATAATAATAATAATAATAATAATAAATATTTTAGGAGCAGCTGACAGCAATAGCATAGGAGTTGTATTCAACTAAGTCATACTCAGAAGTATACCCACTGAAATGAACAAACCTAGCATTATTTGCTTTTATTTGTTATTAAAGTTCGTACTGCCCTTAATTACAGGGCAGCTTACAATATATAAACACAAAAATACATCCCATAGTAACAAACAAAAACAATAGCGGGCTGCAATTCTCACCTCACTTACCTGGGAGTATGTGCCATTGAATTCAGTAGTACTTGTGTCTCAATAGACACAGTTAGGATACATAGCTGTCAAAGTTTCCCTTTTTTAAAGGGAAATTCCCTTATTCTGAATAGGATTCCTTGCAAGAAAAGGGAAAAGTTGACAGCTATGTTAGGACTGCACTGTTACTCATACCTATTCATTTCAATGGGTCTGCTATTTATAGAATACATCCAACTTGTATACAATGAACTTTAATAAGATCTTCATCCAGCTGAAATGCAGCTTTTGGCTTCTGATTAGAAATGCAAACCAACTTTGTCCCGCTTGGACTACTGCAATGCGCTCTACATGGGGCTACCTTTGAAGGTGACTCGGAAACTGCAATTAATCCAGAATGCGGCAGCTAGACTGGTGGCTGGGAGTGGCCACCGAGACCATATAACACCGGTCCTGAAAAATCTTCATTGGTTCCCAGTACATTTCCGAGCACAATTCAAAGTTTTGGTGCTGACCTTTAAAGCCCAAAACGGCCTCAGTCCTGTATACCCGAAGGAGCGTCTCCACCCCCATCATCCAGCCCGGACACTGAGGTCCAGCACCGAGGGCCTTCTGGCGGTTCCCTTGCTGAGAGGGCCTTCTCGGTAGTGGCGCCTGCCCTGTGGAACGCCCTTCCAGCAGATGTCAAGGCAATAAACAACAGCAGAAGCGTTAAATCACATGCAGAAGTGCCGAATTGCAACCTGCTTGTGCACACACGCAGCGCTGTGGGTTGTGAACGCTGCGGGTTGCGAATGTGCTTCCCGCATGGATCACGTTCGCAACCTGAGCCTCCACTGTAAGCTCCGCCCAATCACATTCCACCACCACCACCCCAGCCTGATGCCAAGGTGTTCTGATGGCCACTATATATATTGCTGATGAGCTGTGCTTGGCTTGGTGAGTCACACAGGTTGGGCAGATCTGGTTAATGAACTGAAATATTACCAGTATGAACTGAAGGAAAACAGGCAACTGCAGATCTAAGTGATCAGCAGAAGGACAATTTGTATCACTTGTAGTGCACATACTATGCCTCTCTTTAAACTGTTAATGCACATTAAACATTGTTTGCGGTTTGCTTGTTTTTAAAACGTTCCAGTGCAACAAGCGTTTTAACATTGATTTGTTCTCTTAGGTCGTAGAACCATTTCAGTGGCTCGTTATGAGTACAATTCACAGGGTGCCACAGCAGAACTTAAAGTTACGAAGAAGCCAGAGCTGCGAAATGTTCGCTGTGAAAATGCCCACTGTACTTGGGACAAGGACCGAAACACACTTGCTGGACTTCAAGAATGTGACGAATACAAGATAGTAGCATCTTTTAATGGATGTGGTGATTTGACATTATCAGTTCATGTCCCCCCTGGTAAGATCAGATACTTCTCATTTATTTAAGCAAAATCTGCCTTCTTGTTTTTCAGCCACTCTGATGAGCTGTTCTCCCCCCCAGTGCTAAGCTATTGGGAGAATGTATGTCAGAGGGCTAGAGAGGGTGCGGGAAGTCAGTTTTAAATTTTTTGCTGTCAGCTAATATACTGGTTTTCTGTTTTTTTATGGTTTCCAACCACTGTTAATCGCATAGTAACTCTGATGGCTTCTCTATGCTATTTAGAATAAAAGAATGTGCAACTAATAATCGGAAGTGCCGTTGTCATGCTCCACCAAAATTGAAGAGATTTTCTTTCAAGTTATTGTGTTCAGATTTGTATTGGTTTTATATTGAAAACAGCAAGCAGTTGTGCCCCTTGAGTCATGAGCAATGCCAACTAAGTGAATGCATGAAGCTGGCGAGAGGTGAAGGACTGTAGTGATTCTAGAATGATGCTGTAATGATTAGAATTTTTTGCTCTATAAGTCTCACTTTTTCCCTCCTAAAAAGTAAAGGGAAATGTGTGCGTGTCTTATGGAGCGAATGCAGGCTGCGCAGCTATCCCAGAAGCCAGAACAGCAAGAGGGATTGCTGCTTTCACTGCACAGCGATCCCTCTTGCTGTTCTGGCCTCTGAGATTCAAAATATTTTTTTCCTTGTTTTCCCACTCCAAAAACCAGGTGCGTCTTGTGGTCTGGTGCGTCTTATAGAATGAAAAATACAGTAAGTGCTGGACAAATAATCCACAAGCACCACTAAATCCCATAGATCGCAGAGGGAAATTTTAAACCTTTGAAATCTATTAGGATTTTAAAATGTTCAACTGTGGCTGATTTGTGCCCAGTGCTCTTGATTCAAGTCTAGATGATTGATAATTCACTAGATTTCTCACAATAACAAGCTTTTAAAGCTAAGCAATGTTTTTATTTCTCCTTCCATCATATCTCATAGTCATCTAACACATAAAAGTACACTAATTCAAAATGAATAGATGAACACTGAAAACTGTTTTAGGTACTCATTTGGGGGTAAAATGATACAACCCATTAAGCAATATATTATCCAGCATGCTTTTAAAACTAAAAAAGAAATACTGAACAGAATGTCATTGTGATATTTTTCTCCTTTTTCTTTATTTGGAAGAAACCGATAAATGGAAACTGGAAGAACCACAAAAAAGTAACACCAGTGTGACTTTATCTTGGAACAATCGTGGATATGATAAGCATCGTTGCCATTTAAGATATTTGTGTTACTGTGTTCCTTATGGTAGGAGATTTTAGAAGTTTTGAATTTCTGTCTTTATTGGCTGGAGAATTAAATGCACTGTATTGGGGACCTTTGCTTTTGTGTCCTGTGTATGAACGTATTTAGAATTAAGTATAGAGAGGTGGAAAGGCAAACAAGTCTGGTAAAGGTATGAGTCTCTCTCTCTCTCTCTCTCTCTCTCTCTCTCTCCTTAATGAAATAGCAAGAAGAAATACCTCTTGCAATAGGTAATATGAAATCCAGAAGGATCTTACTCTACATGAGTGGCTGCAAGTCCCTAAAAAAACCACAAGTTGTTGATAACTACTCCAGATTTAATTACTGTAGATAACAAGGGTGCAATATTTTGTGTGAAGCATTAGATATGGATGATGCTAAAGAAGTGTAGGCTAGGGGAGACCTAAAACATATAGCTACAGTCAAAGAGGTGAGGTCAGGGGAAGGAAGAGGGATCTTGTCAAAGTGGCTCACCATAGCTCCAGTTCTTATCAGCAAGACAGTGGGGTAGCATGTTCTTGATTCTTTGTCAATCAAACTAACCTACATGACCCTCCATGTCTTCTTGGACTCAGCTCCCTCAAGTAGCATGGCCAATGGTAAGGAAATTCCCCATCCATGGCATAGATGCTTCTGGATGCCTGAAGTACGGAGCAATGATGTTTTGCAATTTCTTATAGGTAAGAATTTTCCACCCACTGAGGAGCAGAATGGTTGTACGGTGACAGGTTTATCACCCAACAAGAACTACAATTGTTCATCAGAAATATGGTATAATGACAAAAATGTGAAAACTGGCAACAAACAGCTAACAACAGATTATGGAAGTGAGTATGACAACATGATGCTTAGCCACTTATGAACTTGCCTTCATCCCAGAAACTAAACTTTTACAACAATGAAAGGTATCTTTGTGCCCATATAAATAAAAGCATACAAATAGGATTTAATGTATTACCGTGACAGATTATAATCTGGGCAGGAGTGCCTGATCCAAGTTTGGAGGCCCTTGGGTAAGATGTCCATTGTGGGCCCCTTCTCCAGCTGGGTCCACCTTCTTCTCCCCACTGTTTATTTTCAGGCCTTCCTGATCTGAAACAAAACTGCATGGTAAACGAAAGGGAGCCACAAGCAGAGTCTCCTGCTCTTTCTCCTTACTCCTGTCACTACACATTCACTCAGAGGACATTTTCACTGGCATTCAATCATAAGTCCATCCATTTTGCGTAGATTTTTTTGAAAGAATGCCTAAAAGGTTACCATTTAAATAATCTACATTATGGTACATATTTCCCCGGAGTGCATATTTTTTCAAGGCTTTACAACATGGTTTCCTATGAAACATGCCTTTTATACATAACCTCAACAATACTTCATTTCATGTGCCCTTCTTGGGTGATGTGCACTGTCAGATTGGAAGTTGCATTCTGATCCGAAAGCAAGTTTAGGACCATTGAATTGGGTCACACAGCTGCAAAGAGCAGGCTGAACCAATTTCCCCTCTATCCCTAGCAGGCAGATACAACAAGAAAGAGGAGTAGCAAATCCCAGACTTCTGGAATATATAATAATAATAATAATAATAATAATAATAATAATAATAATAATAAATTATTTATACCCCGCCCATCTGGCTGAGTTTCCCCAGCCACTCTGGGCTGCTCCCAATCAAGTGTTAAAACAGTACAGCATTAAATATTAAAAACTTCCCTAAACAGGGCTGCCTTCAGATGTCTTTTAAAGATAGGATAGCTGCTTATTTCCTTCACATTTGAAGGGAGGGTGTTCCACAGGGCGGGCGCCACTACCGAGAAGGTCCTCTGTCTGGTTCCCTGTAGCCTCACTTCTCGCAATGAGGGAACCACCAGAAGGCCCTCGGCGCTGGATCTCAGTGTCTAGGCTGAACGATGGGGGTGGAGACGCTCCTTCAGGTATACAGGACTGAGGAAGCTGGTAGTTGTTGCTCTGCTGAGCATGGGCCTCAGTAGGTACCCAATGATAGTGATCTTTGAAGCTGACCCTGATGGGCACTGGATATTATTTGAGGAAGCAACCAGAATGACACCATACTGCATTTTTATTCCTAAGAAAATTATTGTGCAGATTTTAAAAAAGAATTGTAGCTTGATGTGAATACAGGATGTAACAGGCTGATGAATCAAAATATATGAAGCTGATATTGTTCTAGAAATAGAACCTAGATAGGGGGAAGTTCAGAGCATGCAGCTCCCAAGAGGGTCCTGTCTCTGCCATAGCTGCCATGTTGGAGTCAAGCTCAGATAGTCTCTGACTCTGCTTCCTCCATCTTGCCACTCCTAGACTCCAAAGATTTTTCTCTCACCCTCTTCAGGTAAACTGTAGGCCTGTTACTAACTAAGACCAGGGTCCGGGGAGAGGCTTTGCCCCTCCGCTGCTTGGCATAGTCTTTTGTTTCATTAATCACTTATCTCCCTGCCCTTCTGTTCCCTGGATGGCTTATATTTTGAGTGATCTCTTGGGGAAGCTGGGCGGTGTTATTTTCAACACTTGCTGCACCTGGGAAAAGAGGGGTTTTCTTAAATCCTAGTAGCGTAGCTAGGCAGGGGTGGTGGTGGGCTGTCCTGTAGGGTGGCAAAGGGGTTTGTAGGTTGGCACGATCACTGCTAGGGATCAGGGGTGGGATTCTGAGTGGCAGAGGAGCTGGAGGGCAGCATGGCGGTTGCTGGGTGTCCTAGGCACTGCGGGGGGAGTGGCGGCTCCCCTAAGAAAAGCTCAACAGCTTTGGTCCGCCACTGTTAAACTCTAATCCTTTACTGATTCCAGAGATTTCTTTTTAATTTTTTTTTAATTTTTATTGTTACCGTTCACATTAACACACCATACAGAAAAAGAAAATAAATTCCATAAACACTAAAGAAAAATGAGAATTAATACATCAACTAATAACCTTCAAAACATTAAATACATAAAATAAAAGTGGTCTTTTTTCTATGCGCCAGACTTCCCGTCCATTCCTTATTACAGATTCTGTATTCATTGTTCGCTGCCATTGCATAACGAGTTTGTGCAATTTCAATATCCCTTAATCCATTCATTGGTTTTACCACATTTTTAACACTGCTACTGAAATTATTTGAACTCTGTGTATGATCTTAAACTACTACTTTTATTTTTCAAGTATATTTTAAAAACTTCCCATTCTGAGAGAAATACCTGTTTTGGTTTATTTTTCATCTTTTCTGACATGCTATCTAATTCCGCGTATTCAGTCATTTTTTGAATCCATTCTAATCTTGATGGGTCTTTATCACTTTTCTAATTTGCCACAATGAGAACTCTTGCTGTGACCATAGCACATAAGACAATCTCTTTAGCCTTTTTAGGAATATCTGAGTCTGTGATTCCCAAAAGGAAAGCTTCTGGTTTCCTATTAAAAGATATTTTTAACATTTTTTCCAATTCTATGTGGATATCCTCCCAAAACACCTTTATTGCTATACACTGCCACCACATATGGAATAAAGTACCTGGCTTTTCTTTACACCTCCAGCAATTATTGGGGACATTTTTGAACATCTTGGACAATTTCCAGGAGGTTAAATACCACCAATGTTGCATTTTAAGAAAATTCTCTCTCAGAGAGTAACAGGCTGTAAAATGCCAATTTATTTTCCACAGGTTTTCCCACTGCTCCATTGTTATTGAGTACCCAAAATCTTGTGACCACTTAATCATAGCTGCTGTCACCTCCTTTAGAATGTGCTTTAATTCTGGAGTTCACCAAATCCGATTCAAATCTGGAAGTCTCAGTGGAGAAACCCTTTTGTCTATCAATTTTGAATGTCTCAAATAATTGGTGATATTGAAACCAATCACCAATGCACTCTCTTATTTCCCCGAAGCTTTTTAATTTCAGTTGGTTATTCTCCTCCTTTAGAAGTACTTTATATGTTGGCCACAGTCCCTGGGTATTTTTTCTCTTAACCGCCTTCGCCTCTATTGGCGAGATCCACCAGGGAACCTTGGGTTCGAGCAGGTTTTTAAACTTCTCCCAAAACGTCATTAGGGATTTCCTAATAATATGGTTTGAAAAGTTCCTGTGAACTTTTGCTTTCCCATACGCTAAGTACGTGTGCCATCCTCGTCGATTATCATATCCCTCCAAGTCTAAGAGGTGTTGGTCCAGAGATTTCAAAGGAGGGTTGCCCACCCCCTCAAACCTATAACACAGCAAACAGGGATGAAAGATTGTGCAAAGCAATCTTTTTCAGAAGAAAATAAAACTAAAAACCTACAGTGTTTCAGAGCCCACACTGATTTTTTTTAATCTGTTAATGAGATCTAAAAGCTTTAGCATGCAGACTATGAATATCAACCATTTCTCTTTTAAACAGAGCCAACACCAGTGAGAGAACTGCAAGTTGACCCATTAAACCAAGAAATCAGTGCTGTTAAGATCAAGTGCAGGGAGCCAGAACAAATAAATGGTCCTGAAGAAAAATATTATTTGTACTTCTTAGACATGGAGACCATGATTGAAGCTAACGAAAGCTGTTACTTTGCAGTTATAAACCTCTGTCATTCGACAACATACCAGTTTAAGGTAAATTGCTTAATTCTAACTTTTACGGTCAGCAACGACCTGGGACGTGGGTGGCACTGTGGGTTAAACCACAGAGCCTAGGACTTGCCGATTGGAAGGTCGGCGGTTCGAATCCCCGCGACGGGGTGAGCTCCCGTTGCTCGGTCCCTGCTCCTGCCGACCTAGCAGTTCGAAAGCACGTCAAAGTGCAAGTAGATAAATACCGTATTTTTTGCTCTATAACACACACCAGACCGTAACACGCACGTAGTTTTTAGAGGAGGAAAACAAGAAAAAAAATATTCTAAACGAAAGAGTGGATATATGATTTTTGTGGTTCATGCTGTGGCCACAGACATGTGATCTGACAGTGAGTTTGGAGTAGCCCGATGCAAAAATCCTGAGGATCCATGTGGATCCATGCTTTGTAACCACAGAGGAGGGAAGGAAGGGGAACCATGGATCCTCTGCTCACAACTGCAGCAGATCCCCCCCGCCACCCGCAGGCATTCGCTCCATGACACGCACAGACATTTCCCCTTACTTTCTAGGAGGAAAAAAGTGAGTGTTATGGTGCAAAAAATACGGTAGGTACCACTCCGGTGGGAAGGTAAACGGTGTTTCCGTGTGCTGCTCTGGTTCGCCAGAAGCGGCTTAGTCATGCTGGCCACATGACCTGGAAGCTGTACGCCGGCTCCCTCGGCCAATAAAGTGAGATGAGCGCCGCAACCCCAGAGTCAGTCACAACTGGACCTGATGGTCAGGGGTCCCTTTACCTTTACCTTACAGGCAACGACCATTTTAGGTGTGTCCAAGTGACGTGTGATCACCGATATGCAGGTCCTTTTGGACCTGGAAGAAGTCAGAGAGTGGACTGGAGTGGAGCAGGCTTTGTTCTGGTCCACCCCTGGACCATTAGCTGTATCTGAATGAGTATTTCTTAAACAGAATGATGTGCTCTTCTATTAATTTCCAGGCAGATTTTTCGGGCAACTTTTCTCTAGAGCAGCCTCTCTCATAAAGAGATTGGCTGAATGCACACAGATTTCCATCTTCTTTCTGATCTCCCCTGCGGGATGAATCGTGGAGGATAAGATTCATCTAGGGATTTACTGAATGGCCAATTGCATCTCCTTGAGATTACCCCCTTTGCCTCTAAAGTCAGTAGGGCAAAAATTTGAGGCACAATGCGTACCAGTTGTTCTGGAGCTGCCATATTCTTCCTGGCCTTAGAAAAAGACATGGTACTTCAGTAGAACCCATTAGGGCATAGCTGTCAACTTTTCCCTTTTCTTCCGGGGTGGCGCCATCGGTAATGGCGGATTCCCTCTGACTTGGAGGGAATCGGCTCTGCGGAAATCGGGTCTGCACCGCTACGGCGAACCGGGGACCCTTCAAAAATCACAGGCGGGTGAAGCCTGTGACCGTGGGACTCGGCGGGCACCTTTTGCACCCCCCCAATTGGCAAAGGAGCCTGACTACGGGCTCCGGAGTGGAGCGGGGAAGTGGCGCGGTGCTGTGAGTCAATTGCTTCTTCCGTGGAGCGAAGCCGCGTAGCCGTTACCGGAGAGCGCTGCCTTTTTCCTGGGACAATTTGGCTGCAAAACAACGATCCGTGAGTAGGCTAATTTCGGAATTAAAGGAACTTTACAAATTTTACAAATAATTTGGCACCGAAGCGGAGAGGCATAAACAGGAAGTCTGCCTTCCGTTCTTGTAAATGGAGTAAAGCAATGAACTTGTAAGCGGAAACCTTAAAAGACGTCAGAAAAGGACTATAATTCGAACATCAAACAAGCGATTTCCCCCCCTTGATTGCAGGGGAGGAGGGGGGAAAGGTCTGGACTGAATTTCCCTGCAAAAAGAGAGGAAAAGAAGCTAAAATCCACCGCTCAAAACCCTGGAACGGGTTGCCAGTGAACAGTAAGAAAGCCGTATTGCGAAATGCGCTGTTGCTGAAAGTACTTTTTGACAGTTAACTCTGCATCTGAGATACAAGTAAGATACAATATTTCTGACTGGCTTCTCCTGGTTTTAAAGTAACAGGAAATAACTGAGATTGAAACTGTTGTCCTTTTTGTGAATTGGGGGGCTAAAGGAAAAAAGTTAATTACTTTAAAATACTTTTGACTGCTACTGTGTCCCCATAGAGGAAGTGCGAAAATGCTACAATAGCAGCGGGGCCAGGGGAATTTTCCAATTCAAAACAAATCCTGATCGTGAGACTGACCGTGGGCTTTATCTTGAGGGTTATGGCAGATGGGAAGGAGAAGATAGATTTGTTACAGGAAAGAGCAACAAGGTCTGGCAGACTATTTCACACAGACGGTGGGCTGCAACGAAGAGCATCAACATCTGGCCCTTCTGGTTTACCAACAGTAACCTCATCGGCACAACCGAAACCTAAAGGAATGGCAGCTGAAGATGCTTTGGCTCAGGCACTAGGTAAAATCAACGAATCTTTGGAAAGAATAAGCAAACAAGTAGCCGAGGCATTGGGTAAAATTGACCAAAACACCACAAGTATTAATAATTTGGGACAGAAGGTAAATACCAATACAGAAACTATTCAGAAATTACTACAGGAATCTACCTTGACACGAAAGACAGCCGAAGAGGCAAAGGAAATAGCAACTGCTACAGCCACTGTTGTAGAAGAGAAGATACCACCGATACACAAACAACTTGAAGACCACAGGTCAATATTGTCTATGATTGAGTTGAAGGAGAAACAAACGAATTTAAGGATCAGGGCTGTACCCGAATTTGAGAAAGACAACTTGATTGACTTTCTTACGCAGGAATTTGCAGACTTTTGGAACCCAGATTTGGAGAAGGATAGTTTCAAGATAGTGAGTGCCTTCAGGCTTGGAAGAGGAGGGAGGAAGAACAGGGTGAGAGACTGTTTGATCACCCTCCGAACAAAAGAGGAGAGAGACAAAATCTTGAGTCTGCATTTCCAGAAGACTTTGGAAATACATCAGTCAAAAGTGGAGATATTTAAGGACATTCCGAAACATCTTTTGGACCTTAGGTCCAATTATAGAGATTTGGTTGCCCTGTTGAGAAGTAACGGAATCATCTTTAGGTGGGAATTCCCCAAGGCCTATCCTTTAGTTACAAAGGGAAGAAGATAAAAATAAGATCAGAGGACGACAAAGATAGATTTTGGAGAGACCATGGAGAAGACCTGCAGAAGGAAGCTGCAGAAGAGTTAAGAGCACTAGTAAGTGAAACTTTAGACATACCAGGTTTACCTCCTGAACTAAAAGACCGCCTGAAGAAGGGGATACCACCGACAGATCAGGAACAGGCACTGGGTGCAGTTGGAGGAGAAGCAAAGTAACTACATCATGGCTCTGCAACTATTAAGCTGGAATTGTAATGGTTTGAACTCCCCTCAGAAAAGGAGATCTGTGTTTCATTTATTAAAAAAGGAACAATTGGACTTGATTTGTTTACAAGAAACACATGTAACAAGGTTACACAGGAAACTACTGATTAATAAAAGACTGGGTCAGGAGTTTATTTCATCGGACAAGGTTTAAAAAAGAGGGGTAGTGATTTACGCAAAGGAGAGACTATTACCGAAATTTATCTTCAAAGATGACCAAGGAAGATTTGTGGCAATTGAAATTCAAACACAAGGAGAGAAATTTTTGATAGTAGGAGTTTATGCACCAAATGAGGGGAAATCTGACTTTTTTTAAAAGTTGCATGAGACCTTGATGGACTATTTGGATTATAATGTGATTTTGATGGGAGACATGAATGGAGTGGTATCTACACACATGGACAAGGCACAAAGACAGGTAGTCACTAAGGATGGTAGACTACCGAAAACCTTCTTTGAGATGACAGACAACTTGGACTTAGTTGATATCTGGAGAACAAAGAATCCCTTAGCCAGAGAGGGAACCTTCTTCTCTGAAGCCAAACTGACATGGACAAGAACTGACCAAATATGGGTAACTAGAGGAATGGCACCAAAGATAAGAAAAGTGGAAATCTGCCCAAAAACCTGCTCCGACCATAATGCTGTAAAGATGGAGATGAAACTAATACCAACTGGTTCTTTCAGATGGAGGATGAATGACACCTTATTTAGAGATGAAGAAGTGTTTAAGAAGGCCCAAAAAACCTTGAGAGATTATTTCGAGATAAACATGAACACTAATGTGGATAAAAGAGTAATCTGGGACGCAAGTAAAGCTGTTATGAGAGGGTTCTTGATACAACAGAATGCATTGAAGAAGAGAATCCAAAATGAGAAGAAGGATAAAATTTTGGAGAAAATAAAGGAAAGTGAAAAGAAACTGAGAGCAAAACCAAAGTCGCAAGAGATTTTGAGAGAAATAAAGTTACATCAAGTACAATACATGAAAATGATGAATCAGGAGATAGAATGGAAAATTAAACAAATGAGACAAAAGACATTCGAGTCGGCTAATAAATGTGGGAAATTGCTGGCTTGGCAAATAAAAAAAAGACAAAAATTAAATACAGTTACTAATTTAGAAGTGGAAGGAAGGAATATACAGAACCCAGCTGAGATTAGAAATTGTTTCCAGAGGTACTTCAAACAACTATATACACAAGGGCCACAGAAAGAAATTGACTTAGACCGATTTTTGAAAACAAATGGATTACAAAAAATCTCCCAAGAAAATAAACTAATGTTGAACTATAAAATAACTGAACAGGAGATAGAAGGTGCCATTCAGAATAAGCAACTAGGTAAATCTCCAGGACCGGATGGACTGACTTCTAGATACTACAGATCTTTAAAAGAATGGTTAGTACAACCTTTAAAAGAAGTCTGTGATGAAATAATGGATGGGAAAAGGGCACCAGAGTCGTGGAAAGAAGCGTATATTACACTTGTACCGAAAACAGAGACTGAAAAGACGCAGCTTAAGAACTACCGCCCCATATCATTGCTCAATGTGGATTACAAAATTTTTGCAGATATCTTGGCTAAAAGACTAAAAAGAGTGTTAGTGGAAGAGATACATAAAGACCAAGCAGGCTTTCTCCGGGTAGACATCTATCGGATAATGTGAGAAACATAATCAACATTTTAGAAAAATTACAAGTGAATATAAATACTAAGGCAGTTTTAATATTTGTGGACGCGGAGAAAGCTTTTGACAACATTTCTTGGAGTTTTATGAAGAAGAACTTGCCAGGGTATGGGGGTAGGCCAAGGCTTTGAAAACGGTATAGGTGCAATATATTCTGAACAAAAGGCTAAATTAATTGTAAATAATGTGGTGACGGAAGAATTTAAGATAGAAAAAGGGACACGACAAGGTTGCCCAATCTCCCCATTACTTTTTATATCGGTCCTGGAGGTTTTGCTGAATATGATTAGAAGGGACCAGTTGGTTAAAGGTATACAAGTCGGAGCCAAACAGTACAAATTGAGAGCATTTGCAGATGACTTGGTATTGACGTTACAGGAGCCAGAATCTAGTACCAAAAGGGTTTTAGAACTGATTCAAGAATTTGGTCAGGTTGCAGGGTTTAAACTGAACAAGCTAAAAACCAAGGTTTTAGAGAAAAACTTAACACCAATTGAGAGAGAGAGGTTTCAGAATGAGACAGGTTTAACAGTGGTCAAGAAAGTCAAATACCTGGGGATTAACATGACAGTAAAAAATGGGAATTTATTTAAAGACAACTATGAAAAATGCTGGGCTGAAGTGAAAAAGGTTTAGAAATTTGGTCAAATTTGAAGCTTTCACTGCTGGGCCGTATTGCTGCGATAAAAATGAATGTATTGCCTAGAATGCTGTTTTTGTTTCAAACATTGCAAATTGTGGACAAAATGGACTGTTTCAAGAAGTGGCAGAGAGATATTTCTAGATTTGTCTGACAGGGCAAGAAGCCTAGAATAAAATTTAAAATACTAACAGATGCAAAGGAAAGAGGTGGATTCGCCCTGCCAGACTTTAAACTTTACTATGAATCAGCAGCTTTTTGCTGGTTGAAAGAATGGCTGCTTCTTGAAAACACAGACATTTTGGATTTAGAAGGTTTTAACAACGTATTTGGATGGCATGCATATCTGTGGTATGATAAGGTCAAAGCACATAAAGCATTTAAAAACCATATTGTCAGGAAAGCATTGTTTAATGTTTGGATAAGATATAAGGACTTATTGGAAAACAAAACCCCAACGTGGCTGTCACCGATGGAAGCGAAAGCTCAGAAGAAGCTCAATATGGAGGTCAAATGGCCGAAATATTGGGAAATTTTGGAACAAGATGGAGATAGACTGAAACTGCAGAGTTTTGAGAAATTAAAACAAAGTGCGAGACTGGCTTCATTATTATCAGATAATGGAGGCATATAATTTGGACAAGAAAATTGGCTTCCAGGTGGAAAAATCAAAATTAGAAACAGAACTGTTAGAACCCAAAACTAAGATTTTGTCAAAGATGTATAACTTGCTGTTGAAATGGAATACTCAGGATGAAACGGTGAAATCTGCTATGATTAAATGGGCACAAGATGTTGGACATAACATAATGATGGCTGACTGGGAACAGTTATGGACCACAGGTATGAAGTTTACAGCATGCAATGCCTTAAGAGAGAATATTATGAAAATGATATACAGGTGGTACATGACCCCAGTGAAGCTTGCAAAAATCTATCATTTGCCCGATAATAAATGTTGGAAATGTAAAGAAACTGAAGGTACATTCTTTCACCTTTGGTGGACGTGCCCAAGGATTAAGGCTTTCTGGGAGATGATTTATAATGAATTGAAAAAGGTATTTAAATATACCTTCTTGAAGAAACCAGAGGCCTTTCTCCTGGGCATAGTCGGCCAATCGGTGTTAAAGAAGGATAGAACTTTCTTTATGTATGCCACAACAGCAGCAAGAATACTTATTGCAAAGTATTGGAAGACACAAGACCTACCCACTCTGGAAGAATGGCAGATGAAGGTGATGGACTACATGGAATTGGCGGAAATGACTGGCAGAATCCGAGACCAGGGAGAAGAGTCGGTGGAAGAAGATTGGAAGAAATTTAAAGACTATTTACAGAAATACTGCAAAATTAATGAATGTTAGAATGATGTTGGATTGAAGTTAAGTGGTTTTTAGCTGTAATGGTATAAAAGAATATGAAAAATGGATTTTTAACAGGTAAAAATTTAATGCTATAATATATTAAGATTAAAGATCAGGATAAAACAAAGAGGGAAAGGATTTGCTGAACTAACAAATTGAACTGGAATACAAAAAAGGGAGGTATGAGGAGGTCCGGGAAACAAGCAAATGAAAGATAAGTGATGGAAAGATTGAATTGTTTTTAACTATTTTTATTTTGTATTTTTTCTTTTTTTCTTCTTTTTTCATTTTGTAATATTGCGAAAACCTTAATAAATATATTTTTAAAAAAAACACCAAAAACAACTTTTCCCTTTTCTTGCGAGGATTCCTATTTGGAATAAGGGAATTTCCCTTAAAAAAAGGAAAACGTTGACAGCTATGCATTAGGGTGGTTCTAGTTTCACCAAACTCACCCACCTGAATGCCTGTTTTCTTAGATCCCTTAGCCTTCTCCAACTACACATCCCGTTATAAGAAATAAACAACTAAACAAAATGACTTTATTTCCCCTTCAACATTTTCCATTATTACCCAACCCACAAGTAGAAGCAGTAGAGGCTGGTCTATGAGCACAAGTGGAGCACTGCCCCATCAACCTCAGTCTGCCCCCAGTCAGCTCTTGAGTCTCAGTTTTGTCTCTTGTAGAACTCAGCAGAAATGAACATGGAGACAAAATGAGAATTAGTTTGCTCTGCCTGCCATTCAAAGTGGCTCCACCTACTGTTGGACCTCCTTACCGTCCTGTTGTTGTTGTTTAGTCGTTTAGACGTGTCCGACTCTTCGTGACCCCATGGACCAAAGCACGCCAGGCACTTCTGTCTTCCACTGCCTCCTGCAGTTTGGCAAAACTCATGCTGGTAGCTTTGAGAACACTATCCGACCATCTTGTCCTCTGTCGTCCCCTTCTCCTTGTGCCCTCCATCTTTCCCAACATCAGGGTCTTTTCCAGGGAGTCTTTTCTTCTCATGAGGTGGCCAAAGTATTTACCGCCCTACATTTGTTTAAAAGTACAGTGGTACCTCGGGTTACAAATGCTTCGGGTTACAAACGCTTCAGGCTACAAACTCCACTAACCCGGAAGTAGTACCTTGAGTTGAGAACTTTGCCCCAGGATGAGAATGGAAATCGCGTGCCGGTGACGCGGCAGCAGTGGGAGGCCCCATTAGCAAAAGTGCGCCTCAGGTTAAGAACGGTTTCGGGTTAAGAACGGACCTCCGGGACAAATTAAGTTCGTAACCCAAGCTACCACTGTAGCTCTCTTTATGATATCACGCCTTTGGTTTAGGTGGAAAACTGTTTGGAAGGTCTGCAACATTGTTTGTGGTGATACATTTTGGACTAATAAAATAACAGCATTCCCTGTTCTTTCTGTTTATCAGGTTATTTTCTACAATGGGAAATATTCCTCAGACCCTGTGATCTCTGACCCAGTAAGAAGAAGACGTAAGCTAAAGTTTCAACTGCTTCTTTTAATTTGCTGATTAACCTAATTTACATGTTAAAACACAGAGTAAGAAATGACATGACATGCAGAAAGCAAAGTGAAGAGATGTGCCAGAACTAACTTCTGCTAACATTTTCTAAAATCTTTTCAACATAGCTTGTCTCTCCCTCTCTTCTTTTTAGATGTTGTAAATAATTATGGAAACCTAGTGACGTGTTTGGCATTCCTCATTACTGGGAAGTCCTTGGCTTTGCTCCTTCTTCTGCATAAAATCCACAACCTTATCATAAAAAATTCAAGGTTAGGTTATTTCCCTTCCTTTCGTCTCTTAAGTATATGCAATTAGATGAGAAGACCACAACATTTTTTTTTCTTAAAAGGTAAAGGGACCCCTGACCATTAGGTCCAGTCGTGGCCGACTCTGGGGTTGCGGCGCTCATCTCGCTTTACTGGCCGAGGGAGCTAGCATACAGCCAGCATGTGGCCAGCATGACTAAGCCGCTTCTGGCGAACCATAGCAGTGCACAGAAATGCCGTTTACCTTCCTGCCGGAGTGGTACCTATTTATCTACTTGCACTTTGACATGCTTTCAAACTGCTAGGTTGGCAGGAGCAGGGACCGAGCAACGGGAGCTCACCCCGTCGCGGGGATTCGAACCGCCGACCTTCTGATCGGCAAGTCCTAGGCTCTGTGGTTTAACCCACAGCGCCACTCATGCCCCTAATTTTTATTCTTAGGCGTAGGCTAAGATACAATTCATTTGCTATCATGTGTGATGGTGTGGGATTTCTTTCTTTCTTTCCCTGTTACATTTATATCCCAACTTTGCTCCAAGGAGTTCTCGGCAGTTTTCCTCTCACCTGTCAGGGAGCATGCTGAGGAGGGCTGCACTGAGGAGGAATGGTGGAAGCCTCCCCCTCCCCTCCCCCTCCCCCTGATCCTGCTCCAGATCCTGAATGTTCCCAGGGGCAGGAGGACAGTATAGATTTGGAGAAGTGGTTTGCAGAGGGACATAGTTCAGAAGGCAGAAGCTGGGAAATACTGGATTGGGAACAGCTAGGAGAAGAAGCACTGTTAACAGACTCACAGTTTCTGGAAAGCATTCACCCTCCCTTCTCCAAAGTCACGGAGAGCTCAGAAAGTGGCAGAACAGAAAGCACAGAGGGTACAAGCTCAGATTACAAGACGTAAAAGTGACGTAGATTAATAGAGGGCAGGAGGTGGATAACTTAATTGGGAGCTCTGCCATTCTAGGAGATGTTCTTTGTTCTCTCGCTGTGATTAAAGTTTCTAACTGGTAAGAAGACTCCTTTTCCTTTGTTCTGCTTATCTACTGCTGGGGGGAAGGGAGCCGATTCCCTGAAATCACCCTTCTAAAATCTTGCAACAGCCCTATGAGGTGACTTAGACTGAGAGAGAGCATTTCACGACTGAGTAGGAATTTGAGCGCTGTTCTCCGAGGGTCCCAATCCAACCCATCTAACCCCTGCTCCACAGTGGCTTCCTTTGACCATGGTCTGTTGGTTGCATACTTCTTCAGTGATAACTATAGGGAACCAAGTGTAAAGTAAGATAAAGAGAAGTGAAAATTCCTCCTGGGAGTGGTTGGAGAGGAAGGACATCAAGACATTCATGGTCTTCCATCAGCACCATCACTGCAGCTTACCAAAAAGGAGAGGGGTGGGGAGGTCAAGGCTGCGCAAATGCACTGGTGAAACCAGTTGGGCACCACCAGTGCATCTGCACTGTGGCAACTGTTAGATTTATGTTATGCCACTGTGCAGTTTTTGGAGTCACAAGACTCTGTTTACATTCCAGACTGTAGGAAGTCTCACAGGAGACGGGAAACGGATGTTGAAGTTACTGGTTTCCTGTTTCTTTGTTCTTGTTGTTCTCTGTCTCTCACAGAGAGCAGACACATATTCTTTTCTGTCCTGCGTAGTTAGAAATAAACGTAGCAATGTAGCGCATATTTCTGGCTCTTCTGCTGCTGTCCGGGTACTCTGCGTAATGGGAGCGTGCCTGAAGTCTCATTAAAGGCTTAGGTAGTTAATCACCATTGGAGCAGCGGTTGATGGATTCTGAAGATACGATGAGGAGGAGAGCCATTACAGCTCAGTCGTACGGAAGCTCCTCTCTGCCACCTCACCCCTCTCGCTCTCTGTAAACTGCAGTGGCGCCGCTACTCAGAGGCCAGGTGAACCCTTTGCCTCTTCCTGATTCCTTCTGAAGCTAAAGTTGGCTGATAGTAGGGTTGCCATATTTAAAAGAAAAATTAGCAAATATGTCTGGGTTTTTGTGGACATTTAAGCGATTTAAGGATATTTAAGGACACTGTTTCCAACAAAGGACCAAACCAGAGATGAGCCTGTCGATCTCACTCGTCAACCTGGCTGGAGATACCTAGAATTTGGTTCCAGGAAGCTTCAGTAACATGGAGCATTGCTCTCATCCTTCATAACTGTTTATGTTTCTTACAGGGATCAAGATGTACCTATGCAGCCTCTTAACAGAGGTTGGTATTCTCCTACTTCTGGCAAGGGCAAGTATTTAATTGATATTTCTGCCTAGCTCATGACAATGCCTTGGTAGCAGTACTGAACCCTGAAGCATGCTAAGGTAAAAACGTTCCTCACAGACCCATGCAGGCATTGGAGAATCAGGGAATTGGCCTGATGAACCTCCCATTGCTACTTCTGTGCTGCCAAGTGGCTAATATGCCACTGACTTCACTCTTAAGCTTCAAGAAGAGCTGCTGAGACTCCACCCTCTTCACTAAGCTTTTAGTGCAACTTAAGGTTCTGTCTTCCTGATTCTACGTTTGATCACTTTTATTGTGGTACTGATTTTAGTAATCTGAATTGCTTTAATGTAATTTGAAAGATTTTGATTGGGCAGTATGCTCTTTTATGGACTTCTTTGTCAGCGTTTCACATTGAACTGTAAAACGTTATTAAATATAATGTTATATAAGGCTCACTGCTGTTTCCCATTGCCGATGGCTCACTGCTCTGCAGCACCCCCTTGTGTCACATTTTAATAACGCCTCTTTAACGTTATAAACAACGAGTGTAGGTCCACCCATTGTTACAGATGCCATTTAATACTTGTTTTGTATTTGTATGAAATTGATTTTTCAAACCCTGCCTATTGACATTAGCAAGCGCCTTCACTGGACTCTTTAGTGCCTGCTGAAAACATTTTTCTTTAGACAAGCCTACCCACATTTGCAGATTGCTTTAATCTGTCTTTAGTTTATCATTGATTTTAATTATCTTTTGAATGTTTTAATTATTTGTGTTTAATTTATTTTATTCTTTTTGGAAACTGCCTTGAGAATTTATTTTTTATTTCTACAACCAAGCGGCATATACATTTTATGAAATAAACATAAATAAATAAGACTGCTCCATACTAAGTATTTTGACTTATTTCTAGATTATGAAAACTGTGGGCCACAGAACACGACAATGGATGTGGCTGAGCAGACAGAACCTCTAACAGGAAGCCAGATGTGCACATCAGTAAGAAGTCCAGGCAATCGTATTGAGCATAGAGAGGAAAATGAATTAAACATGTAAGTGAGAAATGACCACAGATGTACCCTTACCATTAAAATAAATAAATAACCAGCAGTTAATTGTACAGCAGTGATGAAGGTTACCAATGTTACCGAGTTTTTTCATGTGTTGCAGGGGGTTGGACTAGATGACCCTCGGGATCCCTTACACCTCTACAAGTCTATCATTCTTTGCATGAGGACATATTGGAGCTGCACAAAGAGATAAACCACTTGAGGATGCAAGCTGGAGTTGAAGAGCAATAGTCGGTTTGAAAATCTGCTGCCATTTTTATGTTAACCCCCCCCCCATATGATGTACTACAGCACAGCTTTAATATTATACAAATTGTTGATACTTTTCATCATCTCTTTCACATGTGTGCAACATTGTTTTTTAAATGGTAAATGTTGTTGTTTGGAATGGCATGTTAGCCATTATTATTCTCATTTTTCATTTGTGGAACGTTGGAGGGTTTGTAAATGTGCATTCCGTCGTTGACCAATTTTGCAATGTTTAATTTTGATTATGTTGCTTTCAATGCATGCTTTACTTTTGAGTAATGTTTTATTCTGGATTGTTTTATTGGATGCTTCAATGTCAGTTGCAAACTGTTTTGAGATCAGTTGTAGAAGCAGTAGCAAAGAGACGTGTAAAGTTCATTGGCTTCACGCCTTAGATTCCTGTTACAACGCCTTATAAACTTTGCTATCACAGGAAATACTGCACGTTCCCCCCTCTAACAAACCCTGCTTCTGTAACTCTGTGTGAGACTTAATTTGAGAGTCAGGCATTTGAGCCCCACATTGGGCAAAAGATTCCTTTTTTTAAAAAAATGATATTTATTGAAATTTTTTAAAAAATTACAAGAAAAAGACAAAACAGAAAAAGAAAAAGGAAAGAAAAAATAAAATAAAACCATCATTCTGAAATTCTCCACTTTCATTACCTTCTTTCTTTGACCTCCTCCTCCTCCCTTTTCTTGTATCCTAATTAATAATTTTCGCAGCAAATCCTTTCCATATTTCATAGTATTCTGTCATTACATTACCTTAATCTATTTTCATCTTATCTTATAAAAAACCTTAAAGCTTAAAACTTAAATCTTATTTTTACCAACTTCTCATAACCATAACATTCTTACCTAATTCTTTAAAACATTTTTACAAGAGCCAAGTAATTTCATTTCAACATTTTTCTAACATTCATCAATTTTATAAAACAATCCTGATGGTAAAAAAAGAAATAAGAGCAATCCAATCTTCATCCAGCGTCCCTTCCTCCTGGTCCCGGGTTTTGTCAGTCCTTTTTATCCCATTGATCTAGCACATTAACATGGTGATCTTATATCCGAGGCCCTCAAGTCTCTTCCATGTCCCTTCCGCAGCTCTTCTTCATATTTTCCTTTCACTCGTGGGAACGCCAGCTTGATAATGTTTTTGACCCTTTTCAACAAATCAACCCCTTTTCCATAGTCCAGACTAAACTCCATGTGGTATTTGAAGACATGTTTCAGATTCCCTCCGAAATTGAGAGCCCCCACAGCTCCAAACATCTGACGGCCCATTGCCAGACTCGGAAAGTCCAAACATCCCTGCATGGGGGGGTCGGTCCAACCCCCCATTTCCAAACCAAACCAAACTTTATCTTTCCAAATCTGATTTTTTCCAAGTTCATTTGTCAAATCCAAAGACTCATATTCCTGCAGGGCCGAAAATCCCTCCCTTTCTGGCGCCCAAGATTCAGCAGCATCCTCTTCTCTCATCTGTTCTGTCATGGCACACTCCTGTTTTAGTTCCTGGGTGGGCTCCATATAGTTTCCCACTACCTGTTCAAAAGTTCTGACCGCATTAGTCATCAAATCCGTCTTCTGACTTAACTGATCCAATAGGGCATTTAGTTTACAGAGAGCACACAACAGAGCTTCTGAAAGCATTGTCCTGCAAGGTCACAAGTCCTTTCCCACGGTTGTAATCTGTGGCAGCTGCAAGCTCCCTAGAATTAGTTACAGTTTCACAGTCCCCCTCTAGGGGGAAAGCTTCTGGTTGTTCTTTCTTTTAAGGACAATAGCAACAAAGTTTCTTTTTAAGATATTTTGTCAATATTTGTTCCTTTAAAATGCGAAAGGAAACAATGAAATCACAATGTTACTCTTCTTTTAGCTATCTGTCAAAAACATTTGTCTCTGGTCAATGAGCTTCAAACGTCAATTCTGACACCCCACTCCAGGATCAGGACGGTGGAAAGTTACTTTGCTTTAGACTCACTTCTGCAGGTTTAAACAGTCCAAAAAAGATTCCCCTTCTTCTCCTGCTACCGAAGGGGGGTTCAACAATTTTAAATGATGAAAGCCAATCCTTTGAAAGTAATTTTCTAAGCTCTAGTTTACGTTGTCTTTGCTTTACTCTGACTACAAAGAAACGGAAGGCTGACTTCCTGTTTAGACCTTCCTGTTTCAGTACCAAATTGAAGTGAATTTTTAAGTCCAATTCCTTTCTGCTCATCAGTTCTTATTTAAAGTCAAATTGTTCAATGTTTAAGTACTCACGGGTGATTATTTTAGATGCCAAATTGTCCCAGGAAAAAGGCAGCGCTCTCCGGCAACGGCTATGCGGCTTCGCTCCACGGAAAAAGCAATTGACTCACAGCACCGCGCCACGTCCCCCCTCTTCGCTTCGGAGCCCGTTAGTGGGTTCCTTTGCGGGTTGGGGGGGCGCTAAGGGTGCCCGCTGAGTCCCACGGTCACAGGCTTCATCCGCCTGTGATTTCTAGAAGGGTCCCCGCTTTGCCGCAGCGGAAAAGACCCGTTTCGCGCGGAGCTGGTCCCTCCAGTTCAGAGGGAGTCCGCCATTGCCGATGGCGCCACCCCGGAAGTCCTCTGGGCAAAAGATTCCTATGTTGCAGAAGGTCGGATTACAGGACCACTGTGATCCCTTCTTTGCTTCTGTTATTCTATCCCCTTGGCTCCCTTGCCCCCTTCACCTCTCCATTTGTTACTCTTCCATCTTCTTTTCATTCCAACATCTCTTGTTATCCCTGATGTTGAAATTGTTATCCCTTTGGTGGGCAGGGAGATCTGTCTGTCTGTCTAAGACCTTGCCAAAGTGCTACAAACACTTTTATAACAAAATATATTGATGGTTATGACATTTAGCATGAGGATATGCGCCAGGTCCATGTACAGAAGCTTTGTTCTGAATGAGAATTTATTCCGGGTTTGGGGTTATTTTTCTTTGTAGGTATTCTGTTTTCTGTCTGTACCCTGTTATAAAAAAAATTGCCCTTTTCCCTTATGGGGTATCCAAGAGCCCATATAGAGTCCTGTACATATTGGTAGGAGAGAATAACAGAGGCCAACCAGAGAATATTGAGAAGCAAAGCAACCAGTAAGCTTGATCTTTATTGATCTGTTGCAACAGGGTGCTCCCCTCACCCGCAGGAGAGAGGAAGAACCCAGAAAAAATGCTGTGCAAGGCCTTATAAAGACTTTTGAAATTGCCACCCTGTAGATCAAGACCACCCCAGAAACATCATACATACATCACAGAAGGGGTGTAACCTAAGACCACCCCTCAGATACATCATACCTACATCACAGAAAAGGCGGTCTTAAAACAGAAATTTGAATGTTTTTCTCCTGTCATTGTTTATCTCCTATCTGGCAGGTTACTTGATTGGATTTCCTGGGTAGCCTGGCCAATCTTTTGTACTGATAAATACTTAGTTCCTGGGCCAGGTCACAGGCTCACACCCTATTCATATCTTAAATGTGCCCTTAAGACAGGATTTGTGAGGAAAGAGACAATGGGGAGGTTTCCCACTTTGACCTTGCAGAGAAAACATTTGCTCAGTTTAGGAATCAAAATGGTTCCAGGTTGGTCTTCCTGTGCTGATCTATGTACGTGCTTGGTTAGTACATTTATGAACATTTCCATATATCTAAGACCTAAAAATTCCTATCACAACCCTTTACAGAATCCCTTCCAATCTTTGCCCAAGGATACAAACAGAGCCAGTGTCAGAAGTAAGCACTGTATTTTTCATTTCATTTCATATGAAATTTACCATGTTACACCCTAAAAGAAAACTTTATGAAGATGCAATTTCAATGGTACCTGACACCACTAAAATTATCTAAAATGTACAAAAATGTTTCAAGTAAATATTGGAGGTCTGGGGAAGTGGAAGGCTCCATGCTACACATGCAGTGGACCTGCAAGAAAATTAAGGAATTCTGGAATGTTATTTATGATGAACTTTAAAAAACTACCAAAGTATCATTTCTAAAAAAACCAGAGGCTTTCCTCCTTGGGATTCTGGGCCCAGACATACCCAAAAAATGCAAAAGAAATATTCTTTTATGCGACAGTAGCAGCAAGAATATTGATTGCAATGAATTGGAAGGGAGAAAAAATCCCAACAAAGCTGGAGTGGCAAAGTAAGTGGTTAGAGTATGCTGAAATGGCAAAAATGACAGAAAAGCTGAGAGGTAATACTGAACAGACCTTTATTTGAAAATGGGACATTTTCGGAAAATACCTAAAGGATTATTGCAGTAATGTGATGTCAGTAGCAGCATTCGAATGACTTCTGTGTTAGAATGAACAAAAATAAGAGAATATAACAGTGACCTATATTAATAAAAAGAGATAGAGATTAATAGTGTATCAGATAAGTAAAACGGTAAATACATGGTGGGGTGGCGGGAAGTCATAGGAATTTTAACAAGAATGTATGGTGATATGAATGAGCAAATACTGATATTCTTTTGTATTTTCACTTGGATTTTTCATACAATTGTTTGTTATAAAAAGGTAAAGGACTGTTAGGTCCAGTCGCGGATGACTCTGGGGTTGCGGCGCTCATCTCGCTTTACTGGCTAAGGGAGACGGTGTACAGCTTCTGGGTCATGCGGCCAGCATGACTAAGCCGCTTCTGGCGAACCAGAGCAGCGCACAGAAACGCCATTTACCTTCCCGCTGAAGCGGTACCTATTTATCTACTTGCACTTTGACGTGCTTTCGAACCACTAGGTTGGCAGGAGCTGGGACTGAGCAATGGGAGCTCACCCCGTCGCGGGGATTCGAACCGCGACCTTCTGATCAGCATGCCCTAGGCTCAGTGGTTTAGACCACAGCGCCACCCGCGCCATACTTTTCTTTAATTTCAATAAAGCATATAAAATGGAAAAAAGAAAGAAGTAAGCACTTTAAGGCACCTGCTGAGCCCCACACTCCTACAGAGGGCCCACCGCCACACTCTTCTTTTCCGTCGTAGTGCAAATTTATTCCAAAACACACATTGTTTTTGCGCACTTTTGCCTAATATATGTTTTTTCCAAAGCAGCTTTCTCTAATATAATGCATTTTTAAATATTGTTTTCACTAATGGATGCTTTTGTGTACACCTTTCCCTAATACATGCATTTTTTTGGTACGCATACTTGGTTGCAAATTTGTGTACTGTTTTGAAAAGTGCATAGAAGGCAGGTTTGCCTTTAAGTGCAAACTGAACTGAATTTCGCTGCCCTCCCTTGCGCAGAGTGGGAGCACAGGGAAGTAGACAGCAGTGCCTTGGAGAGGGAGGAAGCTCGCTAAGGGTATCTTTGCTACCGTGGAGGGGCGAGGGAGGTATGGTGGTGGGGACAGATGCTATAGGCGAAGGGGATCGAGATACGGATATGCTCGTACCCCTTCCAATCTGCGCCCCATCCCGAGGGACGAGGGTAGGGTGAGCAAGGATTACTCACCTCCGTCACTGGTGTTGTGCAATGCCAGGTCTATAGGCAACAAAACCGCCACTCTGCGAGATTTCTTTACCTCGCAGGGGGTTGACCTGGCTTGTGTGACGGAGACCTGGGTACGCGAAGGGGCAACAGTTACCTTACGAGAGATGGCGCCCCGGGTTTCTCCGTCCTCCACCAGTCACGGACTGTGGGCCGGGGGAGGGGTGGCATTATTAATCCGGGAAGATTGTCCTTTCAGGGCTCTACCATCGCCATCGATCCCCGGCATTGAATGTGTTGGCCTAGTGTGGGGCTCTGAGGTGAGCTTGGCTGTCTGGCTGGTGTACCGGCCACCTAGCGCACCAGCAGCCACCCTGTCAGGCCTACTGGAGGCGGTGGCCGGCTGGGCCTTGGAGTTCCCTAACCTATTGGTATTGGGGGACTTCAACATCCATGCTGATGCCACTCCCTCCTCACAGGCTCTGGACCTGGTGTCTTCCATGGCAACACTAGGGCTCTCCCAGTTTGTTTCAGGCCCCACACATCAAGCAGGCCACACGCTGGATTTGATCTTTAGCGTAGGTATAGATGTGATGATGTCTCCTTCAATTAAGGTGCCATGGTCTGATCACTACGCTCTGAAAGCCAGGATTGACTTTCCACCCCCACCCTGCTTAGGTGGCGAGCCGATTTGGGCTCGCCTGCAGAGGCTGATGGACCCTGATAGATTCCGTCAAGCCTTGCGGGACCTTGCTCCCCCTGGCGACTCATTGACTGAGCTTGTTGAGGGCTGGAATACCCAGCTCCTGGCAGCCATAGATGAGATCGCACCTAAGCGCCCTCTGCGACTCCGCAGAAACCAGGCTCCCTGGTTTACCGAGGAGCTTCGGAAAATGAAGCGGGACCTCAGACGGCTAGAGCGAGTATGGCGGGGTGCCCGTGACGGAGCCTCAAGAACATCTTATAGGGTTTTATGAAAACCTATGAGATGGCGGTGAAGGCCGCTAAGAAGTCTTACTTCTCGGCCTCCATTGCATCCGCTAGCTCTCGCCCGGCGCAATTATTTAGTATAATTAGGTCTTTAACGTCCCTTGAAGGACAGCCAAATTTAAATAACAATCTGACACACAGCTGTGAGGCATTTGCGAGCTTTTTTGCGGAGAAGGTCCTGTTGCTCCGCCATGACCTCCCTGCCAATTTGGATACAATAAAGGAACTGGAGGCCCCTCGACTGTCCTCGGGTCCAGTATTGGACCACTTTGATCGGATATCCCCAGCCGATGTGGACAGACTCCTCCGAGCTGGAAAGCCCACCACCTGTCCTCTTGACCCGTGCCCGTCTTGGCTGATTAGAGCGTGTCCAGACGAGGTGCGGGCCCCTGGGGATATCATCAATTTGTCCCTTGGCACCGGGATATTTCCAGGGAATTGAAGGAGGCAGTGGTGCGCCCGCTCTTAAAGAAAACATCATTAGATCCCTTAGATCTATCCAATTACCGCCCGGTTTCGAATCTTCCATTCCTGGGTAAGGTGATTGAGAGAGCGGTTGCTGAACAGCTTGGTAGGTTTCTGGATGAAACATCGGCTCTGGATCCATTCCAGTCTGGCTTCCGCGCTGGTCATGGGACCGAGACGGCTCTGGTCGCCCTAACAGATGATCTCCGCAGGCAGCTGGATCGAGGCGGGTCGGGGCTGCTGATTCTTCTAGACCTGTCAGCAGCCTTCGACATGGTTGATCACGAACTCCTGGACCACCGCCTTGCCGACGTGGGGATCCAGGGCACAGTCCTTCAATGGCTGCGCTCGTTTCTCTCCGGTCGGGGACAGAGGGTGGCGCTTGGGGGAATTGTCATCCCGCCACTCCTTGGTGTGTGGAGTGCCTCAGGGTGCGATACTCTCCCCGATGCTTTTAACATCTTTATGCGCCCCTCGCCCAGCTTGTCCGGAGTTTTGGGCTGGGTTGCCATCAGTATGCCGATGACACCCAACTCTATCTGTTGATGGATGGCCATCCTGACTCGGCCCCAGACACACTGACCAGATGTTTGGAAGCTGTGGCTGGATGGTTACGCGGAAGCCGGTTGAAGTTAAATCCTTCGAAGACAGAGGTCCTCTGGCTGGGACGGGACGATATGGGATTGGGGGGGCAACTCCCATCTCTTGCGGGGTGCAATTAGTGCCAGCACCGTCCGTTAAGAGTTTGGGTGTAATCTTCGATACCTCCCTCTCTATGGAGGCGCAGATTACAGCTATAACAAAGGCGGCATTTTTTCATCTCCGCCAAGCTAAGCAGTTGGCCCCTTATCTCTCTCGCCCTGACCTAGCCACTGTGATCCACGCGACGGTCACCTCCAGACTGGATTATTGTAACTCGCTCTACGTGGGGCTGCCCTTGAGACTGACCCAGAAACTCCAGCGGGTGCAGAATGCCGCGGCGAGACTCCTTATGGGGTCTTCGCTGCGAGATCACATTCATCCGGTACTATACCAGCTGCACTGGCTCCCGGTGGAGTACAGGATCAGGTTTAAGGTGCTGGTTTTAACCTTTAAAGCCCTATACGGCCTAGGACCCTCGTACCTACGGGACCGCCTCTCCTGGTATGCCCCACAGAGGAACCTACGGTCTGCAAATAAAAACATCCTGAAGGTCCCAGGCCTCAGAGAGGTTAGGCTGGCCTCAACTAGAGCCAGGGCTTTCTCGGCTGCGGCTCCAATCTGGTGGAACGCTCTGTCACAAGAGACTAGGGCCCTGCGGGACCTGACATCTTTCCGCAAGGCCTGCAAGACAGAGTTGTTCCACCAGGCCTTTGGTCAGGGCCCAGCCTGACTCCCACCTCCGGCAACCTGCACAGAACTTTGCTTAACGGTTGCCATTAATTTGATTTTAATTAATTTTTATAATGAAATGTTTTAGAATGTTGGATTATTTGATTGTTTGATTATTTGTTTGTTGTTAGCCGCCCTGAGCCTGGCTTCGGCTGGGGAGGGCGGGATATAAATAAAATTTATTATTATTTATTATTATTATCTTGCCAGGAGCCCCCCAAAATCTGGAACTGGTGTGCGATACCACTTCTTTTCAGCTCCCCTCTCATTAGTTCCTTGAATTGTTTCTCATTTCTGTGTGTCTTCCCCCCCTCTGTTTTTGATGTTTACTTTCCATTGCACTCATGCCTCTTTCTTTAGGATGGATTTAGTCAATCGAAAGCCTTATATCCCCCCCCTCCTTCGGGGTGTAGAATTTCTTTGTCTCTTAAAATCTCACCTGCAATGACCTCTGTTGTCTTAGCCCTCTTAAGTTTTGTGTGGGAGGCATTATTAGCGAGGCGACACACAAATTTCCAGTGCATTTTCATATGTATAAAAGGGTTCCCTTGGCAACGATTAGGAGCCAAAATCTATCTAACTTGACAGCAAAGAGTGCACGAACTTGGCATCTTCTGCTTCCTCACTGTTCAAGGCAGCCGTTCCTTTTGCTAAACGTATCAGAGATCTGTTCCTTCCCCCCAAGTGAAATTCAAAGGGAAATGCAACCTCGGTGGCTGTAATTTTATTACGGGAAGGATTTCTGCAGAAAGGAAATGGCATCTGGGGCACGGCATATCCTTTCTACCCTTGCTTGTCAGCTATGCCCTTGAACAAGTGTGGGCAGTGAGGAAAGAAAGAATCTTTGAGGGTTGTTGACAAGGAGGCATGAGCACTGCATGTCAAAGAATATCTTTCCAGGCAAGAGTTCCTTACAGAATCGTTGGAAGGGACCACAAGGGCCATCTAGTCCCCTGCAATGCAGGAATCTCAGCTAAAGCATCCCTGACAGATGGCCATCCAACCTCTGCTTAAAAACCTCCAAGGAAGGAGAGTCCACAACCCCCTGAGGGAGTCCACTCCACTGTCAAACAGCTCTTACTGTCATAAAGTTTTTTTCCTGATGTTTAGTCGGAATCTCCTTTGTTGGAAATTGAAACCATTGTTTTCGATCCTAACCTCTGGAGCAGGAGAAAACAAGCTTCCTCCATCCTCAAGATATTTGAAGATGGCTATCATACCTCTTCTCACTCTCCTCTTTCCCATGCTCAACATACCCAGCTCCTTCAACCATTCCTCGTAAGGCTTGGTTTCCAGACCCTTATGGGCCCGTCCATCTCCTCTCCTTGCCTTCTCTTCTAAGATATTTCCCCATCTTCCATAAAATCTGCAGCTGTCTTCTCTCGGTGTGTCTTAGAAAGAGGATTCAGGGTGGAACATAGGAATCTGCCTCACACGAAGGCTGGATCTACATTGAACTGAAAAAATGCTTTAAGAAAATCCCAAACGTAATATAGCTCTCAATGTAATTCCCCATTGATGGTGGATCACTGCTCTACAGCGGCCTCTGGTGTCACATTTTCATAATATATTTTTGATGTTATACCGTATTTTTCCATCTATAAGATGCCCCGTCTATAAGATGCCCCCTATTTGGGGGGCCTCAAAATTTAGAAAATAAGGGGGGTGGAGCTTTTGGGGAGGATTATTTGGGGGGAATGCTGAAAATTGCTCACCCGCCGGAACGCAGCACACAACCACTAGCGTCGCAGCTGCCTGATCGCCACTATTGGCCCTCTTGTTTGCCGCTGCAGCAGCCAATAGACAGCTGCACTTGTCGCAGCAAGCGGAAGTGTGATTGGTGGCTGCTGGCAAACAGAAACCACCTACCAGCTCCCCAATCGCCACTAGCGGCCACCAATCACAATCAAGCGGCCAATCACAGTTTACAATCTCGGGCTTGTGCCAAAAAACCATTCGTGCGTCACCCCTCAGCACTACCCGTGTATAAAATGAGCCTAAATTTTGAACCTCATTTTTGGGTCAAAAAGGCTCGTCTTATACACGGAAAAATACGGTAGCTAACCAGTGTAGATTAGCCCCAGGTCAGACCATTGGTACACCTAGCTCAGTATTTTCCACACTGGCTGACATTCCTAGCCTAGCTGGAGACACATGGGACTGAATCCAATGCAGGTGCATTTCTGCTGAGCTATGCCCCTCCCCCTTTGGAATGATAGCAACCTGACTTACATCTGATGGATTACTTGAGCCAACATGGAGGCAGACTGGGGGTTGAAAGGTGGCAGTGGAGCAGTTTTTAAACTGATCTGGTAGGAGCCAAGGATCACCGGGTCTGGGATGAATCATTGCTCAGAGCTAAATATAAATAAATGTGCTGGAAATGTAAGGAAAAAGAAGACACCTTTTATCATACGTGTTGGAAATGCAAGGTAGTAAAAGAATTTTGGGAAATGATATATAATGAGTTGGGAAAAAATGTTTAAAATAGCCTTTCTTAAAAAACCTGAAGGCTTCCTTTAAGGAATTCCAGGTGTCGAAATCCTAAGGGAGCAGAAAAGACTATTTATGTATGTGACCACGGCTGCGTGGATGTTATTGGCCCAGAGATGGAAAGAAGAAAAAGTCCCTACCAGAGAAGAATGGCAGATCAAGTTAATGGATTATGCCAAGCATAAGCAAACTCAGCCCTCCAGATGTTTTGGGACTACAACTCCCATCATCCCCGACCACTGGTCCTGTTAGCTAGGGATGATGGGAGTTGTAGTCCCAAAACATCTGCCAGGGCCCAGTTTGCCTATGCCTGGATTATGCCAAAATGGCTAAAATGACTGGAAGAATCAGAAATCAGGAAGACCAAAATTTTAACAAGGAATGGGGAAAATTTATAACTTATCTTACAGACCATTGTAAACAGTTAAAATCGTCAGTAGGATTGGAATATCACTTGTAGTTTAAGGATGAATTTTGGACACAATGGAGAGGTGAAAGATTAGGATGGTCATAAAAGATGCAGGCGGAACTGATTAACAATAGGACCCACAAAAGGGAGGAGGGAAGTCCAAGAGATTCCTTGGAATCTTGTTTTTATGTTGTATGTTGGATATGTGACTATAAATTTTTAATCTGAAAAACCAAATAAATAAATTTAATATACAAATATACAAATACAAATATAAATAAATATAAATATAAATATAAATATAAATATAAATATAAAATGTATGGTTTCTTTCCAGGCAGCCACAAAGAGCATTCTGGATGGACCAAATCAGCATGGACATATACTGGCTGAAGAAATGTGTGTATGTGGAAGCTTGTAATCTTTTGTAGTGACCTTGTTCACACACATCCACCGAAGAAATGCAGGAGATGTGTCCATAACAGAACAGTTGACAGCATCAAGGAGCAATCTACCTTCTCCTGATGCACCTGACAACTGGAGGCAAGGAAGGCGGGAGGGAGGGAAGTTTCCCACTATTCTATAATTTAATTGTGTGATCCTATACATGTCTACTGACGAATACAGTTCATTGGGATTTACTGCCCAGTAAGTGTGGATAGAAAAGCAGCCTTGCCCTCTCGAATGTTGCTTGGAAGGTACTTCCATAAATTTGGTTTACAGAACTTTAGGGTTTGTTCAGGAGAATGTGATCGGTTTAGGATGAACTCCAGAGAGTTTGAAGTTTTGTTTCCATCCTTCCTGAGTTACTTTCTGTGACTTTTACAAGAAGATGCTTTGAGTGCAAAAAAAAAAGGAAAGGAAAGGAAAATTCCAGATTAGAAAATCAACAACATGCTCTAAACTCATAAAGCTGCTATGCGTATAGAATAACTGCAACCAAACATGCCAGTGTGGACAATTTGTTGGCTGAATAAACTCGTAAAAATTCATAGGAATTGTTGAAAAGCAAACAAAAAGCGGAGTCTGGAAGTGTCTATCACAACCACACAGGGAAATGCGAAAGCAAGACACAAGGCTGGATGAACGGGGCCATCTTTAATTTAACACAACAGATCCTCAGTAGGGAACCCTGGTGAGGGATGCATAACTAACTGTGGGTGAGCCAACTCTGTCAAGTGTGAGGGATAACTTTTCATATACAGTGGTACCTTGGGTTAAGTATTTAATTCGTTCCAGAGGTCCGGACTTAACCTGAAACTGTTCTTAACCTGAAGCACCACTTTAGCTAATGGGGCCTCCTGCTGCTGCCACGCTGCTGGAGCACGATTTCTGTTCTCATCCTGAAGCAAAGTTCTTAACCTGAAGCACTATTTCTGGTTTAGCGGAGTCTGTAACCTGAAGTGTATGTAACCTGAGGTACCACTGTAGCTCTTCCCTAGCTAAGCGCCACCATTTCAAGTCAGCAGGGAGATGTTCCACTCCCTCTACAGGTCCCACAACCCCCAAGTGGGTGTTAAGGATTGCTTCAAAGGCCCAAACCATGGGGTGGAATTCAGTGTAGCTCCAAGTGGGCTATGTGCACTGGGAGTGAGATTTAGGGGGTGGGGCACAGGGGAAGGAGAGAGGGCAGTCCCATGGTGGAAGTGAACCTTGTGTCATGCAAACAACAACTTAGTTGGATCCCATCCACAAACCACAGTTTGCAATTGCTTCTGAACCTGCAAACTACAGTTAGCACTTGCTGTCCAAATGAGGATTGCAAAGCATATACTGTCCTGGATTTGCAACCCTGGTTGTGACTCAACTCAATGCTGTGGGTGTGCTAAACACTGTAAGAATCTCATGATGTGGGGAGGTGTCTGGAAGAAAAGCGAGAAAAGTGCCGTTTGATTTGGTGACATCTACCACAGAGGGTAAGGGACGCGGGGGGCGCTGTGTGTTAAACCACAGAGCCTAGGACTTGCTGATCAGAAGGTCGGCGCTTTGAATCCCCGCGATGGAGTGAGCTCCTGTTGCTCAGTTCCAGCTCCTGCCAACCTAGCAGTTCGAAAGCACATCAAAGTGCAAGTAGTTAAATAGGTACTGCTCCAGCGGGAAGGTAAACGGCGTTTCCGTGCACTGCTCTGGTTCACCAGAAGCGGCTTAGTCATGCTAGCCACATGACCCGGAAGCTGTACGCCAGCTCCCTCAGCCAGTAAAGTGAGATGAGCGCTGCAACCCCAGAGTCGGCCACGACTGGACTTAATGGTCAGGGGTTCCTTTACCTTTACCACAGAGGGTACCACCACTGAAATTCTGAATCTATAGAATTTTCTGAATCAAATGGCACCTTCCTTGCCTTTCTGACAGAAATCTATCAATTTATTTACATATGTTCCTAGGATGCTTCACACACAAAAAACCCTCCTGTTTGGATTATACCTCGTTTACAATACCATATGTCTGCATTTTCTTCTTGGGAAAACACTTGATTGGTTTAATGCTTTTCATTCAAATGAATCCCAAGGTGGCTTACAAGCACTAAACCTCAAATTCCTTCACCACATTTCGATGGCCTAGTGGCTAGGTTTCCTCACAACACTAAAGCAAACTGTGGCTAAGCATGGATGAGCAAGGGTTTGGGCAAGCAAGTGTGAAAATCAGTTGCTTCATTCCTCACCAGTCTGTTGCTGCCAAACTTCTCAGAGCTCAGCCACGTTTTGGGTTAGCATTGCATACATGGACCCAGACTCACTGTTTGTCTCACTCCAAACAAACCAGAAACTAGTCAATATATTTTTCTTAGGGTTAGGGCTGGCTTCGCTCTGGGTAGCTCTGGTTACACCTGCTCATTCATGTTTAGACGCGGGTGGTGCTGTGGTCTAAACCACTGAGCGTCTTGGGCTTGCCAATCGGAAGGTTGGCTGTTTAAATCCCCATGACGGCGCGAGCTCCTGTTGTTCTGCCCCAGCTCCTGCCAACCTAGCAGTTCAAAAGCACACCAGTGCAAGTAGATAAATAGGTACCACTGAAGAGGGAAGGTAAACGGCGTTTCCATGTGCTGTGATTTCTGTCACGGTGTCCCGTTGCGCCAGAAGCGGTTTAGTCATGCTGGCCAGATGACCCGGAAAACTGTCTGAGGACAAACACCAGCTCCCTCATCCTGAAAGCGAGGTGAGCGCCATAACCCCATAGTCACCTTTGACTGGACTTAACCGTCCAGCGGTCCTTTACCTTTTCACTTTGAGCCATAGTTTGGCTTAGTGTTACATGCAGGCTGGGTCAATGGGTCATTATGGTGATGAGAGGTCTATATTTGCCTTCTCTGTACCCCCATTCAGCCTTCCCAATTCAGGATGGGTACACATGTTTCAAGCTTAAGGCTACAGTTCCATGCCTACCAGCCAAAATGCATATATAAGATTGCACTATAAGACACTTGTACCTAGGCAGAGGGAAGGTTGTATCATGATATGGCAGATACACATGGACCTTCCGATCCCCATAGTGGCCTCCATGGTGGAGGAAGTACACTGTGATGGCCATCCCTCTGTGTGCAGGTGTGACACTCACACTTCAATGGATCAAACCTTAAGTGAAGCCATTTTTGGAGAAGGAGAACATTTTGCATCATCTGGGACTTCTCCAGGTCTGTTTTAAAGCAACAAACACTTGAGATATTAGCTGTGATCAACGGTGGCCTCATCAGTTAAGCATACTGGCATGCAATTTTCTTAACATTATCCGGCATCGTTGTAGGGGTGGGACTTTCTCCACAGCCACGAGCATTTTAACTCTTTCAGCATTTGACAGAGAAACCCGTCTCAGTTCCTCAGAAATTCTGGCGGCATCTGCTTTTCGACCAGGAAGTCACAACAAGTGCAACAGCTTCAGAAAAACCTCTGACTTCCTGGAAACTGAAGTCAAGAGAGAAAGAGAGGGAAGAGTGGTTTTAGAGAAGTCGGTAAAAATTGTCTGTGACATCACTTTGCTGTGAAGTGTGTTTGTGTGCTTAGTCTCTGGGTGTCAGAGGAAGCTGCTCCCTGAATGATAAGGACGCATTGCAATGTACGTGCGCATAGCCTATTCTACATTTGATTTGGACCTTGGCAAGTCATTTTGCACAGGGCGATAACCATTATTTTGCTTTCCAGAGACTGACACACACATGCTGTTTTGTGAGGATACACATGAGCCCTGGATGTAACCATGTTTTTGTGGCTTAAACTCTTGGCGTTTGGCTTGGCCCTCGTTGTGGATGGACAGGACTCAGGTAGGTGGCAGCTACTGGTTTGTTCACTTTGCTTATCATGGAAACTTATTTAAAAGAACTATCCTAAACCCATTTTGACAAGATCTAAGGGTTGGGTCTAACGTCTTAGGTCTGTGTATCTCATATGTCTGAGCGCCTACGATGATTGAGGTGTGTCAGAATCTTAAGAATATCAGTTACAGCAAACTAATTTATCTGAATGGTGACGTAGTCATCATTACCACTGGGTAGGAAGAAGTTTCTGGCCCACACTCAGTTGAGATGGAGTAATTGAGACAAGACCTTCAGGTCTGTCCAGCACTTATTGACAGCTCCTGTAGTACGGCTACAGAATCCTCTGCAGTTACTTGGGTTAACAATTCAACACAGAAATAGTTTGTTAGGAGTTAGCTATTTGAAAATGGCTGCTTTAAGATAACCTGCGCAACGGTAATCTCAAACACGCTGTTTGGTTTTTCATTGCCAGATTCCCTTCCATCCTGAATCTTGGGTTGTCTAGCAAGTAGTAATACCAAGTGTCCCTCTTCATTTGGAGTTTGGGTTGTCTGCGTTGTGAAAATATTCACAATGAATCAAGGCAACGCTCCTTTTGAACATGGCGAACAAGGATTCCCCATGATGCAAATTCTGAAATGCTTCACATTTCAGAAATCCCACTGAGTTCAATGAGATTTGCACCCAGGTGCCGCCTCAATATATAGTTTTTTATCTAAAAAAAAATAAATAGATGCGTTTAGCACTCTAGTCTGAAAATGTTTAGAACTGGGACAACTTTATAAAGAATGCCTAGGATTGCAGCACTAAGTCACTTCTTTCAAATAATACATACCACTCAACAGGATTGCATTTTAACGTTACATAAGGAAACACTTTCTTTTCATTTTCTCAGACTTTCTAAAGCAATGACATTACAGCTGGGTTTGTCTCTCCTCCCCTTTAAAATGGACTTCTCCATTAACTTCTGAGCCACTCCCTGATCTCAGATCCTGTATTCAGTTCCTCAAATTTCAAGCTCTACTGCATCGAAGTTTCTTTTTTAATGTGTTCAACTGATACTATCAGATTGTAGGTGTGCGATATTGGATATAATTACAGATTCCCAGAGCCAGTGGTCCAGTTAGGTAATTTCAGTCCCTGGATTTAATTGTTTTAATGTCCCCCCTTTTTAGATGACAGTGTGCTTCAGATGGTGGTAATGCAATCATTAATGTAATGTGTGTGCCGGTTGGGGCGGGAGGATGACTCCTGCTTATTCTGCTGAGTGGAGCCCTGGACTTAGGACCATAGGAAGCTGCCTTATCCCAAGCCAAAACACTCATCCATCTAGCTCAGTACAGTGGTACCTCGGGTTACAGGCGCTTCAGGTTACAGACACTTCAGGTTACAGATTCCGCTAACCCAGAAATAGTACCTTGGGTTAAGAACTTTGCTTCAGGGTGAGAACAGAAATTGTGCAGCGGCCGTGCAGCAGCAGCAGCAGCGGGAAGCCCCATTAGCTAAAGTGGTGCTTCAGGTTAAGAACAGTTTCAGGTTAAGAACGGACCTCCAGAACAAATTAACTTCTTATTCCGAGGTACCACTGTACGGTGAACACTGACTGACCGCAGTTCTCCATCCAGTGTTTCAGGAAAGCATCTTCCACAGCCCTACCTAGAAATGCTGTGGATCGAACGATGTGCTTTCCCCCCCACTAAGCTATGACTACCTCTGTCCTAACAGTACTGCTGCCCAGAGCTCAAGGAACCTCATTCAATCATCAGCTTCGTAGTCATTGACATGTCTTGCACCCTCTTTCTCCATTTATGACCTTTCGCCTTGTGCCTTTCCAAAACAGAACCCCCACTCCCTTTATATTCCCTGTGCTGCATATTTCCCCTCTTTCGGGCTCCTCCATGCACCCTACCTCTCTCGACATTACTTGCTACCTAGTCCCTTTCCACTGCACCAAATTATTTGTAAATGGAGATCTGGAACCTGGGGCACTGCTTCTTTGCTGCAAAGCTGTTGGGGGTGGGCATGATTTGCAAGGTTCAAGTAACAGTCTCTTTTGCCCACTTTATTAATGGATGGTTAAGGTCTTCCATGCAAAAATACCTCAGGGTGATTCAGAAGAAGTAAATAAACATGCACTGGGGAACTTTCGCTGCGGAGATGCCTACCTGATGGATGGGCTTGCAAGAGGAAAGCAATGGGGGGGAGGGAGTACGTATTAAGTGTCTCCCCTGGAAACGGTGCTCTGCTTTGCAGCAGAAAAATGGTAGCCCAGGTTTCCAGACCTGGGTTGCTGCTGAGTGCATAGTTTAGTCTTGACAACGGGGCCTTGCAATAGTTGGGGACGTCGAAACTATTCTTCGCTTTCAGAAATCCCAGTGGAGTTGTGATTCTTTGGGGATGCTTCAGCCTCCATAGTTGGTGAGCCAATGGCCAGTAAGGGAGACAAAATTGCTTTCTTTTCCACTCATGGTTGTCCAGATGTTGCTGGACTACAATTTCCACCATCCCTGCATCACTGACCATGTTGGCTGGGACATCATCATCATTTGTTATTTATACCCCACCCATCTGGCTGGGTTTCCCCAGTTACTCTGGGCGGCTCCCAACAGATTAAAAACAGATAAAACATCAAACATTAAAACTTCCCTAAACAGGGCTGCCTTCAGATGTCTTCTAAAAGTCAGATATTTGTTTATTCCCTTGACATCTGATGGGAGGGCATTCCACAGGGTGGGTGCCACCACCGAGAAGGCCCTCTGCTTGGTTCCCTGTAACCTCACTTATCGCAGTGAGGGAACCACCAGAAGGCCCTCGGCGCTGGACCTCAGAGTCTCTCAACATCTAGAAGGCCACCTGCCCCCCCCCACTAACCTGAAGGGACTGTGATATTTCTGCTGGGGCAAAAGATATCGATATTTAGGAAATACCTGCACAGCTTACCACAAAATATATGACAGGGAAGTAGTAGAGATGTATTAATATTATTATTATTTATTAAATTTGTATACCGCCCTTCATCCGAAGACCTCAGGACAGTGCGCAGCATAAAAATGCAAAACGAACTACATAATAAAAACGAGCAAAAACAAAGCAAACCAATAGCACCCCCCCAAACACAATTAAAAAGACGTAGAATATTAATCAGCCCAAGGCCTGGTTGAAGAGGAGCATTTTTGCCTGGTGCCTAAAGTTGTATAATGAAGGTGCCAGCTGAACTTCCCTGGGGAAAGCATTCTGCAAATGGGGAGCCACTGCAGAAAAGGCCCGTTCTCATGTTGCCACCCTCTGGACCTCTCTCTGAGGCGGCACATGAAGAAGAGCCTCAGATGATGATCACAGGGTCTGGTTTGCTTCATATGGGAAGAGGCAATCCTTGAGGTATCGTGGTCCTGAGCCACCTAAGGCATTATAGGTCAAAACCAGCAGTTTGAATTGGGCCCAGAAACTAATTCTATAACATCTAAGTCTGAGATTACAATGGTGGAAATTAGTACACATGGGCCTGATTCTGCATTTTGCTAATATAATGAAACTCAAGAAGGCAACTTGTAGGGAAGTGACAGTGAGTGGGCACAGAATGCAAATAATCTGCTGGTTTTCCTGAATCTGGTTTCCCCCACCCACGCACCCACGCACCCCAGTGTGGTTCACTTCAAGTTCTGAAGCTTAGCTGTGGGGGGAAAGGCAGTTTGCAAGGGAGAGGAAGGGTTAAGCATGGCATTTCTGCTTATTGATTCTCCCCGGTAAGTAAGTCCGTGTCTACCCTCTGCCCCCAAAGTTAACATTATGGGGGAAAGACTTTGCCCAGTTCTGTCCAGCAGCTACTGCCAAACGCAGTAGAATTTAGTGGTTTTTTTGCTTCATATGCATATTAAAAACATACAGACACTAAAGAGGTTCTGCCATTCGTGCTCATCACTATACAGAGCAACAGCTTTCCCTTTATCAACAAAGAAAGAATGCTTTATCTTTCCGAAGCTTTCACTCGCAGTATGTTTTAGATTTTCCGGGTTTTAAAATGTTGCGTCTCCGTCAAATCTTACAGCGGTCTCTGAACCAGCATCCATTTAAAACAAAGGTTCTCATTTTTATTTTATTTTTTAAATCCCCAATAGTGTAAAGACCAAATGTGTGGGGGGGAATGGTTTGTCACCGTTTTCATACTCGGTATTTATTCTTCTGAGCATTTATGCAAAATGGAAGTTCAGACTTAGGATGCCCATTCTCAGTTAGGGAGCTCACTTCGATTTATGCGCATACATTTCCTCCCTTTTTAAAAAATTAAAAGAGCAATAAATAGAGGCAAATGGTAGGTAACTCTTGCATATGATAAAAAAACACACCAAGCTGCTAAAGAACAGGATTCTTTTCTTGTGAATTTTTTTGTGGCTGTTCTTCATTTTTATAACTGACTTCCTACAGTTGCCTGCTGTTCTCCTTTCTTTAGAAAGAGTAGGCTAGGTTCTGTCTCGGCAACTCACCTCTTTTGTTACTCTATGCAATGTCTAACAGAGAAGGCATAGAAGGGGGCTGGAAGGGAGAGTGTGCGACAATAGTTTTCTTCAAAAGACAGATTTTCATCTCCTTTGCCTGCATGAGGTAGATGCCTGGGGCATGTGCTATCCTAACTAATTGTTGCTATAGAAATCCTAAGAGTTACCAAGATTTAGGAAATGTTGCGGCGCTGAAAAAGCATTACATTATTTCACAACTGTGAAGCAGATAAGAAGGTAACTTTCCCCCTTTGTTACCAGTCCTTTTTTGAAGGGGATATTTTTACCTAGTGTGCTTGTTCTTAAGCAGGTCAACCTGCCTTTTTTTCAGGGACTGTGTGTGTGTTTTATTCTCTAAAAATAATGCCCTTCGTACCTCTTCCCAGGCAGTCAGACAGCTTCATGTAAAAGAGGCTTGTGTGTGAAATTATTGGCACAGCAGAACCCTATGTGTGTTTACTCAGAAGTAAACACCACAGCGCTCATAAGGGCTTATCCCCAGCCCAGTGTGCATAGGATTGCAGATGGACAGTTCAATCCTAACCAGGTCTACTCAGAGGATTGCCCTACTGAATTCTGTAGAAGCTCATCCAGAGAAGAGGGGTTAGGACTGCAGGCTAAATTACTCAGCTAAATCATATATTAGTGTTGAGCTCAACCCATCCCCTACTCTGCCCTGAGAAAAATTCTGAGATTTATCTCCCTCCCCCCACTTCCCCAACTAGAAAAAAGAAGTCCGTTTTGCAGTATTTTCTTTAGGTATTCTCTTTTTAAACTCAATTTTATTAAAGGTTTCCAACATATAATACAATAAAAACCCAAACAAAGCTAATATCTAAAAAGAGGAAAATAATAAAACGAAGAGAGAGTGGGGCAGGGAAAGAAAAAAAAGAAACACACCTACACAAACACACAATTTTGTATTCTATCAACCTCCTATCTTAATCTTCAATTCACGGAGATCCCCACCTTCCCAGCTCCCACCTGGGACAGCTTCCATCTTTCTCAGCCTTATATCCTGGGAAATACCACTCTATTTTGTCTCTCACACAGATCTCTTCTATCAGTCTTCTCTCTGTACCTTCATATCATGCCATTCATATCATACGTACAAGTAATATTATTGAACATTAATTAAAAATATCAAAAACTAAATAAGAAGAAAAAGCAGAAAAGTAGAAATAGAAGAAAAAGAGATACTTCTACGCTTCCATCTGCCAATTTTCTCGAGGTATTCTCCACCATTTGTTTTGTGGCAGCTGCCATTTCCCAGCTCACCACCCCTCACCAAGCCTCAGAGCGACGTGAGATCAGGGGCCTTGGGAAAAATGCACAGTGGTAGACTAGGCCGCCCAAAATGGCGCCGCTGTTGCCAATTGAAGCAGCAGCAAAGGAAGAAGAAAGGTGGGGGGAATAAGCTGTTGGAGAATTCCTCCTCTCCTTGGAGAGCTTTGGTGAAAGGGTGCTGCCAACAACTCTGCCAACAAATTAGGGTGGAGTATATCAAGAGGACATTTGCAAACACGTGGGTGACGCTGTGGGTTAAACCACAGAGCCTAGGACTTGCCGATCAGAAGGTCGGTGGTTCGAATCCCCGGGGTAAGCTCCCGTTGCTCGGTCCCTGCTTCTGTTCACCTAGCAGTTTGAAAGCACGTCAAAGTGCAAGTAGATAAATAGGTACCGCTCCGGCGGGAAGGTAAACGGCGTTTCCGTGCGCTGCTCTGGTTCGCCAGAAGCGGCTTAGTCATGCTGGCCACATGACCCGGAAGCTGTACACCGGCTCCCTCGGCCAATAAAGCGAGATGAGCACCACAACCCCAAAGTCGGTCATGACTGGACCTAATGGTCAGGGGTCCCTTTACCTTTACCACCATGTATATCATACTCTCCAGCATTTCACCGATGAACACAGGGACCTCCTATTCCATAATAATAACAATTTTGTTGCTTATACCTCACCCATCTGACTGGGTTGCCCCAGGCACTGTGGGCAGCTTCCAACATATATAAAAACATAATAAAACCTTAAACCTTAAAAAAGGCCCAATACAGGGCTGCCTTCAGATGTCTTCTAAAGGTTGTATAGTTACTTATCTCCTTGGCTCGGGGGATCGCATGACTCCATCCCCTCTAACATTTCTCCGATGGAAATAGAGACACCCTAAGGGATCAAAGGACATTCTGGGATCAAATGAGAAACTGGGATGGCTCCTAAAAATCTAGGACTGTTCCTGGAAAATAGGGACACGTGGAGGGGCTGGTATACATACAGCTATATCAGCCAGCACCTCACTTCAAACACTTTGATATGCTTCAGGTTTAGCACAATAGGACTGGCACATGATCAGTGTGTATCTGTGTATGTGCGCGAGTGAGGCCTACAGAGGTATCTCACTTCCTCCATTAACTCTCTTTCCTCCATCTACACAGCACACAACGCTCTGTGTGCTTAGGGTGGCAGAGGTGATGCAGGGGAAGGGAAGGGAGATAAAGAAGTATTGTGCCCTTCACTGAGTCATTTCACCTTGTCCAATTGCATTTCTCTCTCTCCACGCTGTGTTCCAAACCCAACAAATATGGCAGAAGTGGAGAAGGCAAACACAGCTACCTCACTTTCTCTTCCTGACAAAGCCACAAGGAAAATATACAAAGGTGCTGTGGAAAATTGGTTTTATTTTTAGAAAAGGGCTTGACACAACTGTTTCCAAAGATGGAAAGTAACACCAAAAGCATGCCTACCTTCGCAAACACTTTGGTGATCCCTTAAGGAATCTCCCTGATGTAGGCTGCAATCCTAAGTAGGAACCAAGTGTGAATTCGTGGCATTCTCTTGTTTCTGTACTCTCCTCCTTCCTTTGCTCTCTCTCTCTCTCTCTCTCTCGATTTTGATGTGCTCCAGGCAGTTGGGAGGGGAGAATGAAGGCTTCCTGGCCACTGTGTGGTCGAGCATTGTAACCCTCTCCCAAAAGTGGCAAGGTGGACCCAGCATGTTCGCAGCTCTAGAAGCTGCATCCAGAAGGTGAGGTTTGAGAAGATGTGCCTTGAATAGATGAAAGAGTTAGGACTATGGAGGTGTGTGTGTGTGTGTGTGTGTGGCGGGAAGAGCTGTGAGGGGGAAATGAACAGAAAGTTTGGGGAAGAGAGGCAGGCATCGAGCTACAATGCTAGATCATTCACCATCCCCCATGCCCATCCACCGGTTTTAGTAGCCGCTTAACTATGCACAATTAGTGATGAGCAAATCCATACTTCGTCATCCTGTGTGTAGTCTGGATTCCTTCCCGAACCTCCCAATTTGTCCAATCCCATATATGAAAGTAAAATTGTTCATGTCCCTTCCCTGCCCCACCCTGCCCCCGGAACGTATACATTGTTTCTGCGCTGTTCATTTCTTTAACATTTAGACACCTTCATTATATAATAAAGGATGTTCCGCATCCTGTTTACTTAGTTAAGTAGATAACCTTTCGTTGAACAGATCACCAATTTGTTTTGTTCAGTAGATGTCTTGTCGCATTGCCTTTGGTTGTGGGAATGTGGCTTTTGCATAACTGAAGGGTTGGTCATGTACAGTGGTACCTCACGTTACATACGCTTCAGGTTACAGACTCCACTAACCCAGAAATAGTGCTTCAGGTTAAGAACTTTGCTTCAGGATGAGAACAGAAATCGTGCTCCGGCGGTGCGGCAGCGGCAGGAGGCCCCATTAGCTAAAGTGGTGCTTCAGGTTAAGAACAGTTTCAGGTTAAGAACGGACCTCCAGAACGAATTAAGTACTTAACCCGAGGTACCACTGTACAAGTGATTTGCAGACATAATGGTCAGAGATAATGTCATTTGGGAGCAGTATTGTCAGCATATTACACAAAGAGGCTTATTCTGCTGAGACCCGTTAACCCCTTAAAAAAAGAAGGAAAATGCTACACAGTTGCAGAATCTTGTGGGTGCTGCACAGATAGAGTGTTGTTATGGTTGAGGTGCCCCAGTGAGGCTGTGCCTGTTCTTCACACTGTGGAGTCCAAGATGTAGCACTGACCACCAACTTTAGCTTTAAACAAGGACAAATTCATGGACGATAAGGCTTTCAATGGCCACTGGTCATGATAACTACATTCTTCTTCCACTGTCCAAAGCAGCAGGCCTCTGTCTAAGACTCTGCTGCCAAGAATCAGGAGTAGGGAAAGAGGTTCTGCACGGAGGTCCTGCTTACTGGCTTCTCGGAAGTGTCTTCTTGGCATTGTGGGAACCGGATGCTAGGCCAGATCTGTCCTTGGCTTGATCCAGCAGGGCTTTTTGTATGTTCTGCTAAGACTCGTGAACCCCTCTCTCTTTCTTTTTTAATGCATCAACCAATCCCATCCACCTCTCCGAATTTATAGCTGTTAAGATTAAAGTCCCCAGAAGGGGAGGAATTTACACCATGGTCAGACCAGTTTCTTTCATTATGTAAATAATGTGCCACATTCCCTTATGTGGGGAGAAAAAAGTTTCCTTTTTTCGTGGAGCCAAGCACCACTCACTAATTCACCAAGAAGATTGAAGAAAAATACAGTATAAGCTGGTGGAGGTCATTCTGGGCTGGACTTCGGGGTACTAGAACACCCCAAATCCATGCGTAAATGTGGATAATATCTCCAGAATCCTTGAATGAAAGTAAAACAAATTCTACATCTCCCTGGGCCTCATCAAAGATATTTCAGGTCGTGCCAGAGATTTATTGTCAATCCACAATTCTTTTTGCAAATTAAAGTGAATCAAATGCAATCAAGATTAGTTGCTCACTCTCTGAACTTATTCTGCCCTGTGTTCTTTCCTTCTATTTTGCTTTCTTGGGTGGGTTAAACAGGGCGGGTGAAAACATTTATAATAATTACTACTATAAATGAATTACTGTTTTAAAAGTGGTGATTTGAAACAATGTCAGAGGCTGGAGCAGAGAATGAGCAGGGGCTCACATGGGAAGAAGCGACAATTGCCAAATACAGTGAGAGGGGAACTGGGGAAAGCCTGCATACTTGAGAACTATTGAAGCAGCCATAGAGCTCTATGCACTGTGTAGATGGAGGAAAGGGAGTTAATTGAGGAGGTGAGATACCTCAGGTACACACACTCGCACTCACACACATACACCAGATACACACTGATCGTTTGCCAGTCCCATTGTACCCATATCTGCTTTTCTCCTTGTTAAAACTGGTTTGTGTTTTGTTTTTTTAAAAAACAATTCCTCGCTGTCTCTCCACCCCTGCTTATCTCAAACCTTTAAGGTGTTTAAAGCCACAATTTTTGTCTCCGTATTACTCTCTTCTCACTTTATTCACACTTCTGTTCTTGTTTGAGTACAGCAAGAAAGGGGGCACACTGAAATGACTGTTTTAAACTTTTCCCTTTCGTTCTTCAGCTGCCTCATGTGTGAGAGATAAGAGCCCTCAAATAGTCCATAGTGCCTTCCCAGAATGTATTTAATTCCTGTTACCATGTTTTGTCTTCAACCTGAATTTCTAGATTCAGTGTAGTAATTTAGAAGAGATGTTTTGTTAACAACCAAGCACACATACGTGCACCATGTCCATTAATTGAACTCCACCTTCTCTAACTGAACAAGCCAACTGCCATGCTTTCTCTCAAGAGTCTATTCATCTTAAATGATGTTGCATACATCAGCATGGGTTGTGTGTGTGTGTGTGTGTGTGTCTGTCTGTCGTGTGTGTGTGTGCAAAGGGGGCTGAAGAATAGGAGAGCTGAAAAGGCATGGAAACCAGGTGGTCTGTGCACAAGGGACAGCTGAAAGCAGGCTGAGGGGGAGGGAAGGAGCGAAGGTGAAAATGTGAGTGCAAAGGGGGTTGTGGAAGAGGGAGCAGGAGGCACTGGGATGGGTGTTGAAGAGGGAAACCAGGGGCACGAAAGGATCTGAAGAACAGGAGGGGATGGTGGCTTGACAACTGGACAGAAGGTGAAATGGTTGCTTAGCAGTTGCAATCTGTGAGAGGAGGAACATGTAGGTTTCCATGAGGGTGGTTTGTGTGGAAGGTGAGTCGAAGGCATGGGCACGGGCTTGAAAGCGAAAACATGGCAGGATAATAACAAAGAAGATTTAAAGAAGGGACTAGTGGACACTCAAAGCAGTAGAAATATGAGATGATTGGACCCCACTGAACCTGAAGCATGGAAACCCCCAACAAAAATTTTATAATTTGGCAAAAATTTTGGCCTTTATGATATATATTTGTATAATTTGGAATATTTAATGTGATTTGATTGGATTGTTAAAATGGAAAACTTAATAAAATTTATTATTAAAAAAAGGGGGGAAAGAAAGCGAAAACATGGCTGTAGAATAAACGAGAGAAGAGGCTTCGGAAATGGGGTTGGGTAGGTGAAAAGCGAGCTTAGTTGTCACACAGGGTGGGAAGGGGAAACACTTGAGGGTAAATAGGGGGAAGGTGGAGGGGGCTGGCAAGGGGGGTGAGTAGAGCATGGCCTCAAATAAGAATATGGTATGAGTCTGCTGGGTCGGTCCAAGAACCCATCTAGTCTGAAAGCCAATTCTCACAATGGCCACTCAGATGCCAACGGAAAGCCGAAAAGCAGGATCTGAACTTTTGAACGTTTACAGTAAAAGAATGAAGAGTCCTTTGAGCCACCTTGGTAAGGGGGATGCAAGAGCAGTGAGTGTGAAGAAACGGAAGTCGAGCATAATTTCCTTCCCCTTTGCTGTGTTTCATGGCTTGCATACTTGAGAACTATTGAAGCAGCTATAGAGCCTGCTGCAATAATATTTATATATCATACCTAGTTTCTGTAAAGTGTGTGTGTGTGAGAGAGAGAGAGAACAAGAGAGAATAAGGGGAAAAGGGAACCAGAGAACAAGAGCTATGTCAGGGAGAAGATGAGGCCATTTGTCCCACAGGAAATAGTGGGAGAGAAACTTCATTGTTCAGGATGCTGAGTAAAACAGACATCAGGCATAATCTGAGGGCCACAAATACAGCAAAACAGGACCTCATGATCAGAGGGCCACAAATATAGCCACTAATAGTGACCGGGAATGTAGTTCTGACAAATATTTCTAGCAGATTCCACCAAAATAATGTATTTTTCAAAAGCAGAAGGAAGAAAGTGATCTTTCAAAATGGTGTCGGGGTATGTATTGTAATGCAATTCAGCATCAGGCACTAGAGGGGAGTAAAGGTAAAGGTAAAGGGACCCCTGACCATTAGGTCCAGTCGTGGCCGACTCTGGGGTTGCGGCGCTCATCTCGCTTTATTGGCCGAGGGAGCCGGTGTACAGCTTCCGGGTAATGTGACCAACATGACTAAGCCACTTGAGGCAAACCAAAGCAGCGCGCGGAAATGCCGTTTACCTTCCCGCCGGAGCGGTACCTATTTATCTACTTGCACTTTGTCGTGCTTTTGAACTGCTAGGTTGGCAGGAGCTGGGACCGAGCAACGGGAGCTCACACCGTCGCGGGGATTTGAACAGCCAACCTTCTGATCAACAATTCCTAGGCTCTGTGGTTTAACCCACAGTGCCACCTGCGTCCCTGTCAGGGTGTATATTGTAATGTAATTCAGCATCAGGCACTAGAGGGGAGCAGTTGTAACTAACACACTGCTGCCACCTCTGCTCTTGGTATCTCACCTCCTGATCCATAGGTGCATTACTGAGATACCCAACACTTTGCCTCTGTGGAGCATGAAGAGAGAAAGCTGAAAGCGGGAGCATTGGATTGGCTCAGCTGACATGCACTGCACTGGGCAAAGCTCCTCATAGAATAACAGAATTGTAGAGCTGGAAGAGACCCTGAGGCTCATCTAGTCCAATGCAGGAATCTCAACAAAAGCATCCATGACAGGTGGCCATCCCGCCTCTGCCTAAAAACCTCCAATGAAGGAGAGTCCATCACCTTCCTTGCCCCTCCCCATGCCCTCTTGGTAAGCTCCAGCAACTCAGTGTCTTGGAAAGCAATTGGGCTGCATCCATGCCACTTCATTGGCTGCTGTTGGCTGAGCCTGACTAACCCCTAGAGTCAATGGCTGGTTTTCAGTTCCTCTAGAATTTGTGGGGCCCTGCATGATACCTGCTCTAGTCTAGTGATGTTAAAAGGTTTCCTTGGTGGTCTGGCTCCTTCCCTGGTGGCCCCCTCCTTTAACTTGGTTGTGGTGCACAGGCTGAAATGTCTGTTGCCATGCTGTGAGTTTAAGTCCCAAAATCCACGTTTAGAAAAATAAGTGTTGGGTCAGATGGTCAAATCTTTCTGGAAACAGTGATTTATGATCAAAAAGCTCTTCCCTATGAGATACAGAGATTTGCTGTATTGTTCTAGTTCCCTGGCACTGAAAGCAGGTCCTGGAGTGGGGACTTAGGAAGTCCTGCTTGACACCAAATACAATTTGTCTCAAATTATTATCTTATGGCGATGCTTACACCAATCCTTATACCACTATTCTCTAGTCCTACATTGTATAGCAGTGGCTGAGGATGTAACATAGGACTTTGAAACCTAACGGCTTGCTTTGAACCCAATGGCTGAGATGAAATTGGAACCAATACCCTTCCATCTTATGGTTAACATGCGCGTGCATACACACACACACTTGAACAGAATATATACAAGTAGTAGACACTGCTTAAGTTTTGCACTTCCAACACCCATTTTTTATTACAGCAGAATCCTCCACATGCCTACTCAACCAGTGAGTCCCATTCAGTTCAATGGGGTTTACTCCCATGTACATGGGCACAGGATTACAGACTTAACCACCTGATGACATCACAAGGAGTAAACCAAATGCCATTCTTATCTCCACCATTGTCAGGGTTTATGATGGTAAGAGCTGCATTTACTGCATTTGCCTCTGGTGTGCAGCAGAATTATTTGACTTTCAGCCATTTTGCTTCCCTTAAATAAGGGGAATAGCATATAGCTGGAACTTTGTCTTCTTTTTTAATATACAAATTTCAATGCCAAAGTCACACGTCTTTGTGCAGTGGTGCAAAACTCAGGAATAGCAAAATATGGAATTGCTAGAAGGTGTGTGTATATGTGTATATATCTATATAGATACAGATATTAAATGATGGGAAAGCCGCCCTTTCTGACTTTAGGAATTTTATATTTGCAACTAGTGCTTTTTTTCTTTAAAAATGTTTAGGGGTACTCTCATTTGACTCAAGAGGAGGGGAGGGTTAGGTTGAATTTGGGAAATAAAATAATATATGGGACAGCAAAGGATATAATAGATTCTTATTGAATAGTAATTTATTGTAACCTGAATAGAAGTTCAAAAGGGAAAGTGAATGTATTTTTAGTATTTTCATTATTGTAATAGTTATTATTATTTCTTATTGGTAGAAGGCAATGTTAATTTAGGCTTCTTTGTTTTGCTGTCTGTATAATTTTCTTAAGTCAATAAAAAACCCCACCATTTTATATTTCAAATTGGGAAAAATAAATACAGTAAATGAACAAAAGTACAAAGATTAACAAAATGTTTAGGGGTATGCGTACCCCTGCGTCCCCCCAGGAAAAAACCAACACTGTTTGCAAATGTGGAGGAGGGCAGTGTGGCGTTCGGGAGATGCAGACAGATTTCCTGTGTCTCTCGCAGATTTCCATATCATTTTAAAAAATCATCCTGTTTATTAACTTTAAAGGGGTTTTCTGAGTCCAAGAGAAAAGGCTGTCATAAGATACAAATGGGAAAGCACAGCTGGATAATAAATTTCTAGCGAGAGGTGCCGTCTGCTGAGTTCCAACTGCATATATCAATAAAACAGAACCCTTGCAAACAGGTCATGCTTGCTGGTCTTTCAAGAACTGCTAAACCATTTATCTATTTTCAGACATTTCCTCCAGTCTTTGAAATAAAAGCCAATTGCAGCCCCGGGTATCAGGATTTTTTTTTAATATAAAAAAAACTAGCTGTGAGTGTTTCAGACCAGTCCACAATGTACATAATGTTATGCTGAAAAAGGAGCTATTTTCTAGCTTTCCTTTTGATAATTCCCTCTTTCAGTGTTCTGTGGCTGCCATTATTCCCTCTGTGTCAACATGTCCTCGGTTGGAATGCTTGCTTGGCTTCTATTTTGTAGATTCAAAGACTTATAATCCTTTTGCTCCTCATTCACAACTCTACAGAGAAAGTTATTAGCGTCAGCCATATCTTTTATTGTATGTAGGGGGCATGAATTCTTCTCTTTTTCAAAAAATAAAAAACCCCAAAAAAACCTCTCACAAAAAGATAGATTCTGCAGAGCAATTTTTAAAACCGCCTTTGAAATATGCTTTATTTGACAAATGGTGGAGGGGAAAGAAAAAAAACCAGACTAACATCCGAAGAACTGGTAGGTGAGGAGAGAAGGGCAGCCGATCAAAGCCACGTCCTGTATTACCTATAGCAACTAAAGTTCATTAAATGAACTAGATGGATCACAAAGCAAAATGTTATTAGGGAAATTTATGCTGGGAACACAATTTGCTACTACCAAGATGGGTTTGTAAGAAGAACACAGATTTTAATGATGCAGTTTCTGGGTGGTTGTATTTTGATGGACATCAGTAGTGAAGTGTGTTTTGAAGTAATTAGGGGGAAGGAGATTGGTTGGGTAGTCAATAAATTGAAGCACAGAAGGATATGGTGTCATGCTCTCTGTTTAGGGATCTTCCAAGTTTGGTCTGATCTTTTGTAAGAAGCAAGAGCCCACTTGCAAAACCAAAATCTAAAAATTTTTCCCTTTGGTTTCAACATAGGATTAGCGTGGCATGGATAATGTCCAAAGGGGCCATAGAAAGCAAGGAATAGATGGTCATTTTGGATGGAGGATGCCAGAAGAGACCAGTGACTGTCTCTTTAGAGTTTCTTTTCCGCCCAGCCATATGTAGGGATATGGAGAATTAGGCCAAACTGTGTGTAAAGCTGTCTTTAGGTACCTGCATGTAGTAGATGGAAGCTAGGGATATGCCTGCAAACCTTCCCCAACAATCCTCATGTGTTTTGTCCAGGATGCTCAGTCCCTGATGTTCCCTTGGGGTGTACTAATCCGTCAATTTTGGTTCCCCAAATTTCACATTTTCCCAGTCATAATTTCAGTTCCTCACATTCTGTAACAATTAGTGGGTTAAAAAAAAAATCCCCGTGAAAATTCACCAGCTAATATCTCCTCATAAAAACACTTTTGTATGCAGATATTTCCACAAATATATGCATTTTTATGCACAACCGTTTGGCTGGAGAAGCACACTGCCAAATTCGGAGAAGTACAAATTTCAAGGCATGGCTGTGCTTTGGTTCACAAACTGTTTCAAAAAGCGCGGATTTGGCAGATTCACCTGAATGAAATTTCTCCTCCGTCGCTAGTTCAGCAGGGCCTGAATAGACCTGGTGTTATGGTGTGTGACTGCTGTGTCTCTAACAACTTGCATGCCCGGACTCAAGGAGGGCATAATCAAATAATGTTTCATAGCCAGAAAACCCTGCACTTTGTGTGATCATTGGAGGCAATTTTGTACGGCCATCAAGTCATCAAGTGTGGTGGAGCCACCCATTATTGCAACTGCTGAGAAACTGCATTCCCTCTATACTTATCACATGATTGGTTTGGTAATCTCAGTTCCTCCAAGGGCAAGTTGCTACCAGGCAGTTAATTATAGTATCACAGGAGACTCACAGCTTCATAGCTTCCTCTGAGCTTTAGGTCTTTTAGTTTCTTCCTTTGCTTTTCTCTGCCTACCGATTGCGTAGATCGCACTTGGTTGTTTTGAGCTGGTTAAGTCTTAACTGACTGTAAGTGCACCAAGACATTTTTGAGTCCAGCTCAGCCTCCATAAGGTTAGGCCTTTGTGGTTTCAGACTTGCTGAGTATCTGCTGAGCTCGGATGAGGTCATTCTTTGTGGGCTTCCCAACTTCAGAGTCCTTTAATGCACTTCCTGTAAACTTCTCAGGCTATTTGAGATGAGCACCGCAGAAGGAGAAGTGTTGCTTTCCCGACAGAGAGTCATGGCACAATAGACGCCACAATGTGTCAACATTTTAAATAAGGAAATGGGATTTAGCATATATGTGCAAGGCAGTGGGGATCTAATGATTTTATATTGAAATGGACAACAGGAAAGACGAAATGGCTTTGTAGGAAAAATAGTGTTTTGGACATTCAGGTCAACCAATCACACCCTAATGAGGGAAGGTTCTTGTTTCGTGAATTTATACGAGGTATGTACATTGTGTTGTTTTCAAGGTACGGAAGTTGGCAGTTTTACTGAGTAATGAAAAATGGTCCAGACATCCCTTTTGAGTGCAGCAGAGGACATATCAAATCCACTGGAACTTTGCATTAGAATCAGGAAATTCATTTACATTGATACAGACAATGCTACAAGAGTCAGGAGGTCTTTATTCTTAAACAATAAAGAAAAGGAATAAAAATGCTGAAGCTCCATTTGTCTTCTTTTCATGATTAATTGTTGACTTCAAGATTGCTCTGGTAGTGATTCAGTATATGCTCTATTGTACAGTATATAATAGAATCACAGAATTGTACAGTTAGAAGAGACCCCGGGGTCATCTAGTCCATGCAAGGGAGAATCTTCATTATCTGCCCTGCTATAGAACTAATCGACCCAAAAATAAATAGATAAGTGAATAAATTTATCTATATAGTACCAGCAAAAATTAAGCAATACGGAAAATAAAGCTTTATAATTCTATAATAAGATATTGCAGTGTTGCTTTTTATAAGCAAATATTTACAAAATCAATGTTATAATATTTGATCCTGCCTGATCACTACCATGTACAAGGATCAGATGGAGAAGTGACTTGTGTGAACAATACGTTCACCATACATTCAAAGCACATTTAAATAACAGAATCCTGGCTCAAGTAGTTTGCCCCTCACAGTACTACAATTCCCAGCACCCGTAACAAACTACTGCTCCCATTATTCTTGTTTTGGAGGGGAGAATGTGATTTAAACGGATGGCGTGCTTGCTGCCTAGAACTCCCACAGATGTACTCTCACTTCTGTTTCCATGAGCAGAGCACTTTCAGAAATGATTCTTCAAGATAACATATGTTTCTTTGACAATTGTCATATTGGCTATATTCACCCCATGCTTTCAAAGCACATCCCCACTCACTCCCAAAGAATCATGGGAAATGTCATTTGGTAATGGTGCTGAGGATTTTAGCTTCCCAGAGAAGCATAGCCTGGAGTTCCCAGGATTCCTTGAGGGGAAATGTGCTTTCAATGACATGGTGTGCATGCAGCAGCCTGCCTCCATCAGTTGTGTCTAGTCAACACCAGGGTGTTATCTATCTATTTTTACAGGAGGCATGCTTAACATTTTGCATCCCATGCCTGACTGATCTTCCCAGACCCTTCACCTCAGCCACATCGAGAAAGCACAATGTGCAAGGGTGTGTAGGGCTTTACATAACACCCCAAAGCAGTGCTGACCTTAGAAAACTACTGTATCTACACTACTTAGCTGCATGGCTTTCATTGACTCCATCTTTCGTATCACCACTATCGGGTTTAGCTTTTCAACTTTCCATACGTTTGTCAGGAAAAGAACATCTGTATTAATGTAATCTGGCCTATGTGACAATGCTCCGTTGCCCATGACCCCTCGCTTCGTTTCCCTGACCCTAATTAGCATAGTCCCCCCCCCCGATATCTTCCTAGAACCCTTCTCCCTGACATCTAGTTCACACTAGGGTTTAAAGCCTAAATCAATTAAGCCCAAAATATCGGAAAGACCACCTTCTTTCCTAGGTTTTATGAATGGTAGAGTGGACCCTCTTGGTAGTTCCACCTTCCTCAGGAACTTGGGGTGGTGGCGGCCCAGGAGATGGCATCCTCTGTGGCAGCCCCTAAGTTGTGGAATTCCCTCACAGAGTTATGACTTGCATAAATCAGTTGGCCCATAGTAAAGCAGGGGTTTCTTTTGGTTTTCGCATGGGATAAGAGCATTGAATCAGGTGAGTCTGATTGAACGCAACCCGAAAGAGTCCCACTTACAGACTAGTGAGCTTCCTGTTCCTGCTTTAATGTCATGCTACTTCCTGTTCTTTTCCGTTCCTTCCTGTTTCTGAATGTTCCAAAGAGAAGATGGGGAAAGCCCAGTCTCTCCCATCTTCTCCTGAAATAAAACTACTGCCACTTTGCCAAAGTCTGCACTAGAGCGATATCGCCAAGAGCCAAGCAATGGTAGACCTTCCATAGATATTTTTGACCTGGAAATTAATTTGACAGTAGAGTGGCCCACATATTAGGGCACTCTGACTAGTGTGATTTTTGCATCCAAGGGTCCTCATTTTAAGATTTTTAAAATGCAAAAGAATGACTCATTCGTGGCTGAGGGTGCTACTTTGAATTTTTAAAGAAGAAATGAATTGCACTGGGTATTATGAAACCATTTTAGCGCTCACATTTCTGCTTCGTGTGCTAATGTCTCCCTTTTTGTCAGCCTGACCCCCTGTATTAAGAGATGTCCATAATTTAAAAGAATCCACCATTCCATACAAAATGATGAGCCGTCACAGCTCAACCATGTCCCCTATTTTAATATAACATGGTGACAGCCCTATGAATATCATACTTCCCTTATAGACATATATTTATCCAGTACTAAGGGCATGACATTTCTGTACTAAATCTAGGTTTTGGAAATTTTTGCAGCCCCGGAAAGTACCCACTATCATCACATTGTGCTCCTAAGTCTCTGCCCTGCACTATTCATCTATTCAAGGAGACCACGATATACCATACCCCAAATGGATCTCCTGCCCCCATCCTACCAATAATAACCTCAGGGATACAGGATACATACGTATAGATAAAGGGACCCCTGACCATTAGGTCCAGTCATGACCGACTCTGGGGTTGCAGCACTCATCTCGCTTTATTGGCCGAGGGAGCCGGCGTACAGCTTCCGGGTCATGTGGCCAGCATGACTAAGACACTTCTGGCGAACCAGAACAGCGTACGGAAATGCCGTTTACCTTCCCGCCGGAGCAGTACCTATTTATCTACTTGCACTTTGATGTGCTTTCAAACTGCTAGGTTGGCAGGAGCAGGGACCGAGCAACGGGAGCTCGCCCCGTTGCGGGGATTCGAACCGCCGACCTTCTGATTGGCAAGTCCTAGGCTCTGTGGTTTAACCCACAGCGCTACCCGCGTCCCTCTACAGGGTACATAATACTGCACTAATAACAACCCAATGAAAAAAGCCCATATTTCATATTTGAGTGGGTTAACTATATGGCAGGTATGCAATTAGTCACTTACCTGGTCACCTGGAGTAAGTGGGAAAATATTCCAGGTAACCAGACAGACCCAATCCCCACCACTAGCAAAAAACCATTCCCCCCCCCAAAAAAAGTGTTTCCTAACCTGTAGCTCACAAGCAAACCCAAATAATTATTGCCTATAATCTTAAACCGGTAGGATGAATGCCTCTTACAACTGTTTGTTTTGTTGGCATATTATAAAGCTGCATTGCCACTTGTAACCGAATCTCAGAAAGGCTCGAGCCTTAGCTTTTAAAAACCAGAGAACGTTCTCCAGTGGTTGGCAGGAGAGAAGACCTAAGGCCCAAAATTCACATGACTAAAATCCGATGGGTCATTGCATGAAGTAAATTTGGGCTTGTGGGTCCATACTAAAAGAGTTTGAGAATCATTGTCCTAAAGGAGCTTCTGGAAGCTTTCAACCAAAGGATTAGTGGGCCAACTCATATTGTTTTTTCCCTCACCGACCCCTTAGAATAGGCTCACGGTATTGTGAGTAGCGTTGTATTGACAGTAGAAACAACAACCGGCAAAATATTTCTGTATAGAACGTATATATAACATACCTATGCCCTGTTCCCTACCTGGGCTCCAGTCTTCAGTTTTGTAAACTTCCCTTTCTGAAAATAGCACCAAGCTTCTGCTGTCTCTGAGTCCTATGCTCAGTTTCGTTTGGGCCCTACTTCCTCCTCAGCTTTCTGCAACACGGCTCCACCTCAGGTTCCTGATTTTGAGGGCACTGCCAACTTTGGCCCACTTGCTTTAACTGCAGTGCCTCAGCCTCTGTGATGTTAGTGCTTTTTTGTAACAGTACAGAATACTGCCAGCTCCATTTTTGTTGTCTGTGGCAGTCATTTTCTGCTGCTGCCCATGAAGCTTTCATCAAGTACTCGCACCAAATTTAATTTATTTTTTTTACTCACAAAAATGTTGTTGTTAAGATTTCTTACCCACCCTTAAGTATAGGGTCTCAGAGCAGGTAACAATAGTACATAAAAACACATTATTTAAAACAGTGAAAACAATTTGCAACCAGAAGACTAGGGTTGGTCCTAAAATCTCTCTTTCTCTCTCAGGTGTACATCTTCAGCAAGGAAGGGCAAATCTGTCGATTTTTGCTTCTTTTAAGTTTCTGCCCCCCCCCATCTTTAGTTCAGATCACATTTCCACATCCCTTTGTGATTTTAAAAAAATAAATCCTCATGAAAATTCATCCACTGAAATTTCTGAATATACACATTTTGTACGCAACATTGCATATTTCCCCGAATATTTCTATTTTCCCTAATATAATGCAATTGTGTATATTAACTTTCACTCATACATGATTTTTAATGCACAGTTCAACTTAGCATATGCTTCCATGTGCACATTACTTGACTGGAGATCTGCACTGCGAAATTTATAAAAGTGCAAATTTCTAAGGTTGCTTCACAGAGTGTTTCAGAAAGTATGAATTAAGTAGATTTGCCTTTACGTTTGAAGTGAAATCAAATTTCTGCCCCATCCACCGTCTTTGGCATATGACAACAGCTATACAATGTAATTGGCTTTCTTACAAAGGAGAAAAGATTTGCACCTTGCTTTTAAAACATGTTGCTTCCCCCAAAGAATCATGGGAACTGTAGTTTCTGAAAGGTGCTAGGAATTATGTGTGAGGGGAAACTACAATTCCCACGATTCTTTGGGGAAGTTGTGTGCCTTAAATGTGCATTAGAGATGCTTTAAATGTATGGGCTCTGTCCTAGGCAGACTTGCCTGGAAAGAACCCCCATTTAACACAGTGGAAATTACTTACAAGTAGACATGCCTAGGAATGTGGTGTAACTCTAAAAACGGCTTTAAAATGTTTTCTGTGTGGTTCCTCATAGCTGTATCTGTTAAGAAAAACATAAGATAATCATAAGTAACCGTAAAAGCAAGCAGCAAGCAACTGTGATTTATTGGGATGTATTTCTGTCACACAGATCAGGCGAGGGGAAAAACCTTAAAGAATCTGTATGGTTTGTTAGCATATATCTGAGACTGAACCATTGCCAAGTGATTCAAAATCAGGCTGTTTCGTATTAAATATGAAATAGCAAAACTAAAAATACATTATTTGGTGAAACATGCAGATTTAGGCCTAGAAAAATTCTTAGTTCTGGCAATTCAGAGCTGAACTACACGCGGTGCAGAATCTTGATCTACAGTTTTTCTTGGATGTAATCTTTTCAGATGACAATGAGTGGGTAGGAGAAGGGAACTGCTGTTCCATGTAGCCATTATTCCCCACAAAACAAAACCTAGTATGAAGGCTGGAAGGTTCGTTTCCACTACATGCTAGTTTATTGTATGGGGACCATTTATTCATACATTCTATTTCTAGACCATACATCAACCAAAATTATCTGGTTTCAGTAGTTGAAACCCAAGAAGCCATACGAATTCTGGGAAGGGAATGTGGCACTGAATATTGGAAAGGCAGAAATGGTAACATGCACAGGATCCAAGAGAAGACAATGACAGTGCATAAAAGGAAATAAATACATAAAAATCAGGCGGCCGATGTATAAATGGGTCCCATGATTCACTTCTGTGAAGGGCCTCATGTTTTTTTCTCCCTCCAATACTTCCCAGACCTGGTGTTTGAGTCTGAAATGGCCTCAGGACTGCCAAATAGCAGTGACAGCTGCATCTTCATGTAGATACTTTCTTGAGGCCACATTTTCCTAGATTTGCCTTGAATGTGTGTCTAAACCAACAACAACAACAACTCTCAGCTTGTTTCAACAACACATTTACCTGTTTTAAAATTCAAATATTGGGATGTAAGTGGGAGAAGTGAAGGTGCTGTTGCTACAGGGTTTGCATTCCTTTCCCCTCCCCATTCCTCTTTCCTTTTGTATCGTTACCAATTTGATATTTTACTCAGAACTGGTCCATGGCATTTTGCTTCCTGAAGCAAAAGACAAGAGGGATCCCATTCTCAATTCCAGAACAATTTAGGTAGTATAGAACTGTGAATAATAACAACAAACTAACAAAACAACAAACAACAAAAGTTTGCTCGCATGACTATTCAAGTACTTTGCGATCAGAAAGTCGTCTTCTGGTTTATCAAGTCAGGCATTTTTTTCTACCTGAATGATAATGGGTTGTTGTTTTTGTCGCTTGATAGATACTGTGATAATGTCAGACAAATAAAGCTATGATTGCTTTCAAGAAAGTGTGGGTAGAACAATCCTGCTTCTATGATTTTCATACAGGAAGGATGTAGGTGGCACATCTAGAAACCTTCTGAGACCTCTGCTTGGCAACTGTGCTTAACTTTTCAGCAAAATGTGCCATAGTGCTGCTGCTTCTACATGCTATACAATGCCCAAATCATCAATAATGTACTTTAATGCAGCAAACATTTGGAAGTTTCAACCTTTGTCCAACAATAGCTATTTTGGTGAAAAGGCACATTTGAAAGAATGTCGTAATGCAAGTCTCCACAGATGGAGTATTTCAGCAAATAAGCACTAACTGTAATGTTTAGAAAGAGGGACAACTATGATATTAAGGAGGGACTATAGAATGATCTCTGACCTGGAAGTTCCTCCTTTCTTATTACATCCTTCCTGCGAATGATTAGAGAACTGCCAAGGGTCAGAACTCTGTGATCATCCCACGATAATGATAAAATACCTTGGTACCTTGGTTCTTGAACGTAATCTGTTCCAGAAGTTGGTCCGACTTCCGAAATGTTCGAAAACCAAGGCACAACTTCTGATTGGCTGCAGGATCTTCCTGCACTCAAGCAGAAGCTGTGTCGGACGTTTGGCTTCCGAAAAACGTTCAAAAACCGGAACATTTACTTCCGGGTTTTCGGCGTTTGGGAGCCGATTTGTTTGTTAACTAAGCCATGCAAGAACTTAAATGAATACAGTATTTTATATAATGGCTTCACAACATGAAGTATTTTATTTGTAATGCCACATCAACCCCTCTAAGGGGGTCATATTGAAGATCTGGGCTCAGGCTGAGAGAAAGCTGTCTCCCTAAGACCACCTAGTTGAATTTATTTTATTTATTTCATACAATTTATGAAACCTGTGACAGGGTTTTCTGTGTACAGGGAATGGTTTGTTTTGAAATGCTGGAAGATTCAATCATGTGAGCTCCCACTTGGAAATTGAAGTGGTACCATCAAGACACAGGTATTCCATCTCAGCTCCCATTTGTGAAAATGGACCTATATCACATCCTGAAGTTGTTCAAGATATTATTATAAAATACCCCTCACATTCTGCTTGAAATGCAGTGTAAACCATAGTAAAGGTAAAGGTAAAGGGACCCCTGATCATTAGGTCCAGTTGTGACCGACTCTGGGGTTGCGGCGCTCATCTTGCTTTATTGGCCGAGGGAGCCGGTATACAGTTTCCGGGGCATGTGGCCACCATGACTAAGCTGCTTCTGGCGAACCAGATCAGTGCACGGAAACGCCGTTTACCTTCCCGCCGGAGCGATACCTATTTATCTACTTGTATTTTGATGTGATTTCGAACTGCTAGGTTGGCAGGAACAGGGACCGAGCAACGGGAGCTTGCCCTGTCATGGGGATTCGAACTGCCGACCTTCTGATCGGCATGTCCTAGGCTCTGTGGTTTAACCCACAGCGCCACCCGCGTCCCAACCATAGTATAAACCCTCCTAAATTGTAACATTTAGCTTTAACTAAACTGTCTTCTTTTCCCAATTTTCAAAAGCTTCCCTTTTAGATTTTAATACAGTGGTAGCTCTGGTTATGAACTTAATTCGTTCCGGAGGTCCGTTCTTAAGCTGAAACCGTTCTTATCCTGAGGCACACTTTCGCTAATGGGGCCTCCCACTGTGCGTGCGCCTCCAGCGCACGATTTTCATTCGCATCCTGGAGCAAAGTTCGCAACCAGGAGCAGCTACTTCCGGGTTAGCGGAGCTCATAACCTGAAGCGTTTGTAACCACTGTACCACTGTATTGGGCTTTCTTGCAGCTTGATGGCATGCCTGAGTTGTTGCTTTGTCATGCCTAGAGCCCCAGGGAACCCAAAAAATCACCCATTATTGCCACATTTTCTTTTGCCCCCCCCTTGCTTTTTTACTTTCTGTATCAGGTTGCCATAAAAATGGTAATTGTGTTAGGGAGGAACCATACCTAGTCAGAATTGTTAGCAGGGTCACTTGATGGAGTCCAGAGAGAAAAGAACCTGATTACATATTATTGGGTAAATTGAACAAAAATGGTATATAATTTGAGGTGAAAGGAACACAGAGGTTTTGTCTTTCTTACTTCAGGCCTTGTACATAGCAGGAAGTCATTCAGCCGAACATACAGAGGGGAAGAAACCCCCAGAACTACACAGCCAATCTGGGCATGTGCTACTTCAGTAAGCATCACGCCACTCAGCGTGGTTGCTAAGCAGCAGCCATTCTGCTCTTAGCTAGTTGACTTTAACACATTCAAAATTAACTGTTAAGTTACATATGTAACCATCTCTGGTGTTGCACTTCTAACAAGAACTATGTATTTCATTGTATGGACAGGGGTTGAGAAGGCGCAATTGATCAGGACTTCCATTGTGTTTATACCAACCATCACATGGCATGAATAGCAAGTAAGCTTCATGCTGTTGCATCCCTGGATGCCCTTCTCACGAAACCTTAAAGTGCGGGCGCACTGCAACAATTCACCCGTCTCGGTGCAAAAGACATTTATTCATTTGTGAGCTTACAAGCAGCACAACGAATGAGACGACGGCTTGCTAAGGACTGCAAGCTGACACACGCTCTTTACAACTGCGTAGGGTCTGCAAGCGGCAGATAAAATTAACATAGCCACATCCGGCAGCCCTTCGCCGTTTGAGCTGGAAGTCATGTGTCAGGAAACAAAACCAGTTCACATGCGAAGAACCACATACACACATATGAAGCTACACTTGTTTCTTCAGTGCGGTGTTCAGTGAAAATGAAATATTCCTCCATTTGAGCTCCTCATTTTTTTTAAAGTGTCCCACTTTATATTTTACCCAAATATTATTTTCATTTCATATCTACAGTAATCTAAGTAAGCTGTAAGAATGTGTGTGTATCTTCTGTTGTCTAAATGATTATAGAGCCCACCTGCAGGTGATATATCCCCCCCCCCAATGCTTTTTACCGAAATGCATAACCCTTCCCCTGTTTATTTACATCTGGGCAGCGGAGCAGGACTTCCTTGTACTGTGCTCAGGCGGGAACTATTTGCAAAAGCTGCAAAGTGGTTTGTGAACTGGTGACGTGCCAATGGAATTCTTTCTTCTCCTTCTCCTTCTCCTCTGCCTCCTCCTTCTGCAAAGCAAGGCCAGAGCTTTGCAGAGCAGACAACTGAAAATTTAAAATATCTTCCTGAAAACTTAAAAAGTTTGAGTAATGCTCGATTGTCCTCTTTAGTAAGCTTAATCGGCAGAGGAAGAGGCTAACTCTCAAGGTGACTCATCTCAGTAGGAGTAGGGACTTGGCCCCTTTGGCAATTTTTTGGTTGTTCCTTCTCTCAATTTTGAGCTAAGAAGAAGAAGAAGAAGAAGAAGAAGAAGAAGAAGGGGGGCGATCAAACCAAAGTTAAGCACTTGTAAGGTCCACTGATTTCAAAGAAAGAAGGCATAGCCAACCCATTGAAATGAATGGGATTTAGACAAGAACATTGGCTACACTGTAGTCTATACTGCTAACCCTCTTACTTGTGGAGTTGGAAAAGGAAATATATAGGCAAGTATCCTTCAGGAAAGAGACTTCAAATTGCTCTGTGCCTGGCACTGAATTGAAATATTTGTTTGATTACAGTTATTTAACTTGAAGCCATTTGCTTGTCTGCTTTTTAATTGTTTTGTACTGACTTTTGATGGCATTCCCCATCAGCACCCAGAACACCCAGCCGAATACCGGGACCAAAATAGACAGACGAGGGAGTGGAGTGTTCAACATTGGTCAGAAGGCCTGCGGAACTCCCTGCCAATAGAGGTTCAGCAAGGAACCTCTATTGTCCCTTTCTCCATACAACTTTTTGGAAAACCATATCATTCAGAAACGGCCTTGCAACATAACTTTTCTCTTTTTAATGAATCCGTATTTATTGACATTTTATTGATTTCTTAAAGTAAGGTTTCCTGGATACTTTTTTGCCGATTTCATCCTTTTATGTTACAGACCACCAGGATATTTTTTTTTAAGAAAGCGTAAATTGCAAATATGTAAATGAACTAAATAAATACATAAAGGCAACAAAGGCAAAGGCAGGCTACATTTGGAAAATACCTTTTCCTTTACATTTCTATACCTGATAATTTCTGCATTTTGTGCAATCTTTCACGCAACATGACAGCCGCTTCTGGAAATTTAGTGATAGTTTATCACTCATTTCTGCGTTGTTTCCGGGGGGGGGGGGACGTGTTTGCAACCCCATCAACTCAGAAAATTGCAGTGTTTTCAAATTTGGGGTGATATACTGGCACACGTTTCTTTACTGATCAAAAAGCCATTGTTCTGTAACACAACAGATTACTGGCGGTGATGTGCAGTCCGTGAACTAGGGGAATTAGGATAGTCCCCATAATATTCCCTTGCTGCCTCCTTCCCAAAGCCCTGGAAGCTTCTTCCCGGCTTAGGGAGGGAAGTGCAATGCTCTGACATGCTCAGGTGTGCGACATCAGGATGTCACGCACGCAGTGTACAGTGGTACCTCGGGTTACATATGCTTCAGGTTAGAGGCTCCGCTAACCCAGAAATAGTACCTCGGGTTAAGAACTTTGCTTCAGGATGAGAACAGAAATCGTGCTCCGGCAGCGCGGCGGCAGCAGGAGGCCCCATTAGCTAAAGTGGTGCTTCAGGTTAAGAACAGTTTCAGGTTAAGTACGGACCTCTGGAACGAATTAAGTACTTAACCCGAGGTACCAGGTATATCGTGCCGCCAGAGCACGATTTTTGTTCTCATCCTGAAGCAAAGTTCTTAACCTGAAGCACTATTTCTGGGTTAGCAGAGTCTGTAACCTGAAGCGTATGTAACCTGAAGTGTATGTAACCTGAGGTACCACTGTACTTAACCCGAGGTACCACTGTAGAAGGGACATTAGGAATCAGGACAGAAGTGCTCGCATTACCATCAGCAAAACTAACCCAATAAACTCCACATCAGAATGCAGCCACAGTGCACCTGTATTGGCCTACTGGGTGTTTAACAACCTCCCCGCCCCCTGGTTTTTTCCAGCGCTGAGCAAACAGGAAAAGCAAGAGTTTTATCATTTCCTGGAGGAGGCATTGCATATAGCAGCTCCCCAGCTCTGCAGGCCTGCCCTTTAAGAGCAAAGCGCTCGCTTCTTCACCGAATGTTCCCACACATTCTTACTGGGAACTAACGCAAGAAAGATTTGCTTGAAGCTGTTCCCTTGAATCAGAGTTGCCTGCAGTCAAACCTCCTCAGCTTTAATGAAGAGAAGCATTGCAAGTCCATTAAGACGAGAATTTGTAAAGAAGTGAATACCATTATATATATATATATATATAGAGAGAGAGAGAGAGAGAGAGAGAGAGATTTACCTGCTTAGGATAGTCAGGAAAAAACTTTAGTCCTCCACAGATGTTCCTCTGCTGTTTTATGGCAGCATTTTATCAGGGTTTATTTTCTTGGCAGTCTTACCGGTAGCGCTACTGCCAAACATTTAGCTTTGTAGCTACAAACCGAGGTTTGTTTTGTTGATAAAACAAATAGCACTGATGTCCTCTTCCTTGTAATAGTTTGCTCTCTCTCTCTCTCTCTCTCTCTCTCTCTCTCTCTGTCTGTCTCACCGGTAATAACTGAAATGCCACTGTACACCTCTGAAATAGCTTGTTGTCAAGGTCAGGAAAGATGTTTACAGGTCGGTTGAATTCCCTAGCTCATGTACCTCAATGCTGTCTCTGAGACAGGAGGGTAACTGGAGCATGTAATCACATGTTCTCCCAGCTATTGCCCGAAGGCTTTATCTGGGGCCTAAAGTATAGGCTTTTTAAAGTCCACAGCTGACTTTCAAAGACTCGGCCACTCTTACAGATTCTGTACCTAAGTAGGCTTTTAAAAAAGCAACCTTTTATTTTCCCTCACCTGCTGCAGTCTTTCAGACCAAAGTATGGAAATAAACAGTGCTCCCCCCCCTAAAAAAATGTTTAGGGGTACTCTGATTTTCCTACTCATATTGAAATACTGCTCTTCAATGAGGTCAAACTTAGATTCACAAAATGTTTAGGGATATGCGGACCCCTGCATCCCCCCAGAAAAAAAGCACTGGAAATAAATAAAATGCAACTCATTGGATAAGATTCTTAAGGGAGTGCAGACCAAGTGTGCTTTTTCTTCTTGTTAATTGTGCTTTTTATCGGTTGAGCTTATATATATATGATTGAACTAGTAGCTACAGTGAGTTTTAGAAAAAGTTTTTTTTTCAAAACAATTTTTGTGACTGTAGATATCTGTATCTCTTTATGGAACAATGTCCCATTAATTGCAATGAGAAATATTTACACACACTATTACGGACCCTCCAAGAATCCCTATTTTCCAGGGACAGTCCCTGGAAGCTGTCCTGGTTTCTGATTTGATCCCGGAGTATCTGACTTTTCCTTAGGAAAAGTATTGGTGGGTAGGAAATGTTAGAGGGTATGGAGTTATGTGACCCCTGAGCCAAGAAGATAAGTAATTATATAACTGTTAGAAGACTTCTGAAGGCAGCCCTGTATAGTGAAGTTTCTTTTTAAAAACTTTAATGTTTTATTATGTTTTTATATATGTTGGAAGCTGCCCAGAGTGGCCAGGGCAACCCAGCCACATGGGCGGGGTATAAAAAATAAAGTTGTTGTTGTTGTTGAATAGGATGTCCCTATTTTCATTGGAGAAATATTGGAAGGTATGCTATTATACACATGCTTACTTGTCTCACTGAAATCCATGAGAAGTAGAAATGATTTGCTTTGACTGGTTCATGCCCATTTCATACCCTCCAACAATTCTCCAATGAAAATAGGGACATCCCATTCCATAATGATAATTTTACTATTTGTTCCCCACACATCAAACTGGGTTGCCCCAGCCACTCTGGGCGGCTTCTAAACATATATAAAAACATAATAAAAGATTAAACATTAAAAAAAACCTTCCCAATATAGGATTGCCTTCAGATGGCTCGGGGGTGAGTTGGGATAATTCCATACCTTCCAACATTTCTCCAATGAAAATAGGGACATCCTAAGGAAAAGCGGGACATTCCAGGATGAAATCAGAAACTGGGACGGCTTCTCTAAATCAAGGGTGTCCCTGGAAAATAGGGACACTTGGAGGGTCTGCCATTTATGTATTTTAAGGCAAAACCCAGAAATTTGCTGCACTTGCTTTGCTGTGGCTGAGAAACCTAGGATGTTTGCAAGAGGGTAAAATGATATCTTTCCTCTAACCCCATCACTGTGCCTTTGTATGAATGAGCAGGTGCTAGATATCTATCAGCCAGCAAAGGTTAGGTACTTTCTTCAGAAATCTGGGTCATGATAAACAGATAAGACTGGCAATGTGGTTTAGAGAGCCCTGTTTCCTGGTGACACGATGGCTGGGAATCAGATGCAGAGACGGCAAGGGCTGCTGAAGGTTCCATTAAGCTCGGAACAAGAAATGGTGGGATCCCGAGTGACAGCTTGTTGGAAAACAAAGTTCTTGTACGAGCTTTGATGTAATGGTATCTTTATTGCCGTTGAGATCATTCCTTGGCTGCTTTGGACATTTCAGAGCCTTCAAAGGATTACAACAGGGAGAGGATTTGCATTGTAACGGCGTTGCTGTTGCAGAACAGCAATGATAAGTCTGAATTGTCTGTTCAGAATGAAGACTGTCATGTGTCCCCCATCTGACTCCTCCTCTCCACTTTTTTTACTGCACAGACAATGATAAATTAAAGAAGCTGTACTGCCTGTTGAATCAGGGGCAGTCCATTAGCAACACAGAGACCAGATCTGGCCCACAAAGCATTTTATCTGATTCCAAGTGGCTCTACCAAAATTTAATTAAGGTGTGGTTAAAGTTCACTCACACAGCAAAGAAAATGTTTCATAATGTGTGTGTGTGTGTGTGTGAGAGAGAGAGAGAGAGAGAGAGAGAGAGAGAGATACCATCCTGTAATGTTACCACCCTTCTTTAAAGTATTAAAATATAAAAAGGTAAAGGTACCCCTGACCATTACGTCCAGTCGTGGCCGACTCTGGGGTTGCGGCGCTCATCTCGCTTTGTTGGCTGAGGGAGCCGGCGTACAGCTTCCGGGTCATGTGGCCAGCATGACTAAGCCGCTTCTGGCGAACCAGAGCAGCGCACAGAAACGCTGTTTACCTTCCCACCGGAGCGGTACCTATTTATCTACTTGCACTTTGACATGCTTTCAAACTGCTAGGTTGGCAGGAGCAGGGACCGAGCAACGGGAGCTCACCCCATTGTGGGGATTCGAACCACTGACCTTCTGATCAGCAAGTCCTAGGCTCTGTGGTTTAACCCACAGCGCTTAATTACATTCTTCCTTCAAAGCGTTTGGAGGCAATGCACATAATTCTCTCACACCCTTCAATTTTAATCTCACACTAGCTGAATATGCAACATACATTAAAAGACATAATTTAAAGAACCCCCAAGAACAGTAATTTAACCCTCACAGAACTGTGATTTCCAGTACCTTAACAAACCACAGTTCCCAAAATATCTTTGGGGGAAGCCATGTGCCTTAAATGAATGGTGTGTGCGTCCAGGCCATGTCAAGTGAAGCTAGTTTAGATTGGTGACTGGCCTTAGAGCACCCAGTGTGGCTGATTGGGGATTTAAATGCTATTCTTCCCAGTCCTAGGCCAACAGTCTAGCCCAGGGGTTGGGGAAACTTTTTTGCCTAGGATGACAGCGATTACCAGGGTTTCAGACAGGGGGAGTTCCCAGCCCTACCTGAAGATGCTGGGGATTAGATCTGGGACCTTCGGCATGCAAGGAGATGCTCCCCCACTAAACTACAGCTGATATTGTTAGAATTTCAACTATAGTTGAATATTGCTAAATAGAATGTTAGTTCAACAAATTCCATCTTCTGAAATTATATTCCAACAGAATATTAAAACAGGATGAAACATCAACACGTTAAAAACATCCCTAAACAGGGCTGCCTTCAGATGTCTTCTAAAAGTCAGATAGTTACTTATTTCCTTGACATCTGATTGAATGGCGTTCCACAGGGCGGGTGCCACCACCAAGAAGGCCCTCTGCCTGGTTCCCTGTCACCTCACTTCTCGCAGTGAGGGAACCACCAGAAGGCCCTCAGAGCTGGACCTCAGTGTCCAGGCTGAACGATGGGGGTGGAGACGCTCCTTCAGGTATACTGGGCCAAGGCCGTTTAGGGCTTTAAAGGTCAGCACCAACACTTTGAATTGTGCTCAGAAATGTACTGGGGGCCAATGCAAGTCTTTCAGGACCGGTGTTATATGGTCTCGGCAGCCACTCCCAGTGACCAGTCTAGCTGCCGCATTCTGGATTAGTTGTAGTTTCCGGATCACCTTCAAAGGTAGCCCCACGTAGAGTGGATTGAAGTAGTCCAAGCGGGAGATAACTAGAGCATGCACCACTCTGGCGAGACAGGAAGCACCAGGAGTCAGGAAAACGCCAATAATTGTATGTACAGTGGTACCTTGGGTTAAGAACTTAATTTATTCTGGAGGTCTGTTCTTAACCTGAAACAACACTTTAGCTAATGGGGCCTCCTGCTGCCACTGCGCCGCTGCTGCATGATTTCTGTTCTCATCCTGAAGCAAAGTTCTTAACCCGAGGTAATATTTCTGGGTTAGTGGAGTCTGTAACCTGAAGCATATGTAACCTGAAGCGTATGTAACCTGAGGTACCACTGTGTTTATGAAGAACAAAACAGCAGCTATGTCTTCCTACCCCAGGCAAGACTAAAGGCCAGTTCCCATTGAGCTCTGGAAGAAACAACCAGAGAGGGAAAGAGAAGTTTCTTTTACAGGCTAGGCAACACACAACACATACACACAACAACAACAACAACATAGGCCTGGTTTAAATAAAAACCAGCATATGGATCCACTCTTATTCATCTGGGCCTGACAGGGCAACTTACTGTCATCTGAGGTACAAGCAAACGTAGGTAACATAAATGCTCTGAGTTTGTAGCACAGGGTTTGAATCAGGAAGCTCGCGACTACCCTGGAGAAGTTGTGGTTTTAGCACAGAGTGGGTCGATGCCTTTAGCATGCTGGTGCTATGGAAACCGAGTTTCGCCACAGAGAAGAACTCGCGTACTAAACCACAGAGCGCTGCACACCCTCTTCCTTTTTTTATGCAGCCTCCCGAAGAAGAAAAACAGAAGTCGGCAAAGCGAAACCACAAATGAAGGAGGCCTTTGCAGCAATGCTATGCTAATGGCCTGATATAATGGGGGTCAGATAATGGGAAACTCTCACAATGGACACGGGGTTGCAACAGAGTGGACATATAATTTCAGTTCCTAAGAAAAGGGATGGCAGCCAGATGCCCTAGTGTGGAAGTTTAAATGCTTAATGAAGATCGGAGCAACTTGTGAACCTCGAAGCCAAATACGGGCTGTCAGTCATGTACAGAAGGCGGCCGCGCCCCCATTTCGCCCCGCCCCTGTTCCACCCTGTTCCGCCTCCTTTTCCTGCCACTTCCATAGCGATGTACATGTGCTATGGTTGCTGCCTGTATTACATTTGAGAAAACTGCTTTGCGAAAATGTGTACATTAGGCAAAATTGCATGCAAAAATAAGTTAGGTAAAGGGACTCCTGACCATTAGGTCCAGTCGTGACCGACTATGGGGTTGCGGCGCTCATCTTGCTTTATTGGACGAGGGAGCCGCCGTTTATCCGCAGACAGCTTCCGGGTCATGTGGCCAGCATGACTAAGCCGCTTCTGGTGAAACCAGAGCAGCACACGGAAACGCCGTTTACCTTCCCGCTGGAGTGGTACCTATTTGACAAGGTGCCTCATGATATTCTTGTAAAGAAGCTGGTAAAATGTGGTCTTGACTATGCTACCACTCAGTGGATTTGTAACTGGCTGACTGACCGAACCCAAAGGGTGCTCATCAATGGTTCCTCTTCATCCTGGAGAAGAGTGACTAGTGGGGTGCCACAGGGTTCTGTCTTGGGCCCGGTCTTATTCAACATCTTTATCAACGACTTGGATGATGGACTCAAGGGCATCCTGATCAAATTTGCAGATGACACCAAATTGGGAGGGGTGGCTAACACCCCAGAGGACAGGATCACACTTCAAAACGACCTTGACAGATTAGAGAACTGGGCCAAAACAAACAAGATGAATTTTAACAGCGAGAAATGTAAAGTATTGCACTTGGGCACACAAAATGAGAGGCACAAATACAAGATGGGGGACACCTGGCTTGAGAGCAGTACATGTGAAAAGGATCTAGGAGTCTTGGTTGACCACAAACTTGACATGAGCCAACAGTGTGACGCGGCAGCTAAAAAGCCAATGCAATTCTGGGCTGCATCAATAGGAGTATAGCATCTAGATCAAGGGAAGTAATAGTGCCACTGTATTCTGCTCTGGTCAGACCTCACCTGGAGTACTGTGTCCAGTTCTGGGCACCACAGTTCAAGAAGGACATTGACAAACTGGAATGTGTCCAGAGGAGGGCAACCAAAATGGTCAAAGGCCTGGAAACGATGCCTTATGAGGAACGGCTAAGAGAGCTGGGCATGTTTAGCCTGGAGAAGAGGAGGTTAAGGGGTGATATGATAGCCATGTTCAAATATATAAAAGGATGTCACATAGAGGAGGGAGAAAGGTTGTTTTCTGCTGCTCCAGAGAAGCGGACACGGAGCAATGGATCCAAACTACAAGAAAGAAGATTCCACCTAAACATTAGGAAGAACTTCCTGACAGTAAGAGCTGTTCGACAGTGGAATTTGCTGCCAAGGAGTGTGGTGGAGTCTCCTTCTTTGGAGGTCTTTAAGCAGAGGCTTGACAACCATATGTCAGGAGTGCTCTGATGGTGTTTCCTGCTTGGCAGGGGGTTGGACTCAATGGCCCTTGTGGTCTCTTCCAACTCTATGATTCTATGATTCTATTTATCTACTTGCACTTTGATGTGCTTTCAAACTGCTAGGTTGGCAGGAGCAGGGACCGAGCAACGGGAGCTCACCCCGTCGTGGGGATTCGAACCGCTGACCTTCTGACTGGCAAGTCCTAGGCTTTGTGGTTTAACCCACAGCGCCACCCGTGTCCCCCCCCCCAAAAGTTATATTGAGATAATTTAACTCTGAAAAGCCGATGAATTTTCATGAGGTCTTCTCTCTCTCTTTTTTAAAAATCGAAATCTGATGTGGAAATGTGGAAACTGAAACTAAGGTTGAAAAAAGTGAGAAGCTGAGAGAAACTAAAATGGACATTGTCCATCCCTAGGGCCAGGAGAGCTTTTCTGGGGTGGAGACTCCATAAAGTCCTGTCTCTGTTTATGTTCTGCCCGGTAGTCCCTCCTCCATAAGGACATCTGTGTGCAGCAAGGATTAAGACCTTCCATGCAATTGCTCCAAGGCTGTGGATTCCTCAGCGTGGAACGACTTTCCCGATGAGGTTTACAACTGCTCTTGACTTGCAGTCTATCAAAAGAAGGCCCACAACTGCTGAGCAGACACTGCTGTTGATTGCAGTGTATCTTGTTAGCTTTGTTTCTTAAAACAATTATTTGCTTTTATTGCGTTGTGTTTTGTTTTTTTTAAAAAATGTTGCTTTTCTGTCCAAAGCCCCTTTTGAACTTCAGAGTGGAGGGCTTCAGAATGTTCTAATAAAATAAAGGGGTGATCTGACTGAGGGGTTGTGGCCATGGTTGTGGAGGTGTTGCACTTCCAGATTTCAGGAGTGGGGATGTGTGTTTGAAGCATGAATGTCTTGTGAATGAGCACTGGGCAGCAGCTACAGTAGGTATATTGAATGTTATCTACTCTAGCAATAATCTTTTGCGCATGAATGAGAGCCAAGCATAAAAAAATCTCATGATTGACAAACGTACAATGCTTTGTGCCAAATCACTGCTTACTCATCAAAAGAATTTAATGTGGTCATTTTCTTATTCTAATCTGAAAATATTGGTGTTGATCAATATTCCTGATTTCCATCTCTTTCCTTAATCTCAGTGAGGTGAGCTTCCTTCCCTCTCCCCCAGTTCTGCTAAAAGCACAAACATTCTTTTATATATTGCATGCATTATTATACACATTATAATACATATATTATGGGATATACGTCCAGGTTTTCAAAAAGTATGCATGTAAGGCATTTTTGCTGAGGAAACATACTGCACCGGGTTTGACTCTTTTATATGCATCTTGCATATGATAAACCTTTTTGTATACAGTTTTGCATGTAATCAAACAGGCTTTTGTTTTAAAGATCATGCATCTCAGAGGCAAGTGTGCTCTTGATGTAGGAGAAGGTCTGATGTAAGCAAAGCTCGATTGGGTTGGAACGCCATGCAATGCCTAGCACATATCCAGCAGCCAAATTCTGAGTATAAACACGTTTATAAAAGGATTCCTCCTCTGTCCGTAGTTGCCAGGCGTGAAGCCCCATTCAGTGCTCTGGTTTGGCTTGGCTTCTTCTCAGCATTCCCTGCTCACATCCTGGACGTTTAGCATCGAAACACCTTGTGGTGTCTTTCGTTGGGTTTCTTCCCACTCCACAAACATATCCAAATCACTAGAGCTGGTTCTGTTTTCTTACAACTTCTGCAGACTGATTTAGAACAAGAAGGGTATATGAAGGATCCCATTATTCATTATTTTATATTATTTATTACTTATATCCTGCTTTTCCTCCAAAGAGCACAAGCTTGCTGTCAGGATGCTGACAGAGGCCCCCGGCTGGTTGCCCAGGAAAGTATTAAAAACAAGGGAAAGTTTCTTACCATCCTTTTTTATTCAATATTTACAGAGAGAGGCTATAGAACCCTGTCTCTTGGATAATGGCATTGTCCTGAGTGAATCTCCGCCCCTGTCTCTCCCACTTCCTCATTCATCACTTCTATGGGTACTGCTACGTGCCTTGTCTTTGCTCTCCTACTTTCAAGGCTCGCCAGGTTCTGGGAAGGATGGGGGGTCTGGAAGGCTTTCCTTTTTTTTAATAATAATTTTTATTAAATTTACATTTTACCATAATCACAATCCTTTAAATAATCTCATCACCAAAAAACATTGCTCAAATTGAGCTTTGACTTCCTCCCACCCCACTCTCTGGCTTTCATAAATATTCACTTACATCTTAGCATTTCTATAACCACCTATTTACCTTCTTTCTATCTTAATAAAATTTACCTTGTTAATTGTAAACCAGTTCCCAATATTAACATTACAAAATATTTTAACTCAAACCCACAAACGTTTTCAAATGTTTACAATGTTCTTTCATATATTGTATAAATTTACTCCAGTCCTTTTCAAACAGTTCATCGCGCTGATTTCGGATCTTCCCCGTCAGCTTTGCCAATTCTGCATATTCCATCATTTTGATCTGCCATTCTTCCACTGTTGGAAGTTCTTGCTGCTTCCATTTCTGGGCCAAGAGTGTCCTTGCTGCCGTTGTAGCATACATGAACAGATTTTTATCTTTTTTAGGAATTTCATCTCCAATTATGCCTAACAAAAACGCCTCTGGTTTTGTATTAAAGGTGTATTTAAAAAACCTTTTTCAATTCATTATATATCATGTCCCAATGTTGGGTTGAAATAAACGACAGACGAATGTTGGGTTGAAATAAACGACAGACGAATGGCAAGTGTCATATGGGAGGCATCTGCCGAGCATGTCTCGGAAAGTCCCTTTTATTGAATATTACAGCATTGCCACATATGTGCTTGTTGCTGATTGGTTAACACAAATACAATGCAAGGGCATTAATCATCAATAGATTAAAGGTTGGGAAAGGGAACACATGGTTGGACAGGTATGAAAACCTCCTTATTAAACTATTACTAGTGATTGATATTGCTGGACAGGTCCTTATTAAACTATTACTAGTGATTGATATTGCAACACTTAAAGGAGCATAACAATCGCATTCCGTAGATGTGGTCAACCATGCATTAAGAACAGGTCAGGGTACGATGTTTCATGAACTCAGTGTGAACTGAACATTCTAGGGTGGATGAGGAAGGAATGCTTCAGCTTCATGTGCAGAAGCAGAACTTCCCATCAAATAGGCTTTAACCTTTATACACGTCCACCACATATGGAAGAAATTCCTCTCCTTCTCCTTACATTTGGGGGTCTGGAAGGCTTTCCAATGACACCGTGTCCATCAGCTGTCACCCTGCTTCCTCCTTCCCCCTCCCCCTCCTCTCCTATTATTTCCCAACTTTCCCCCTCCTCTGCCTCTGAGCTGTGACCTCCCTCAAACCACTGTTGTAAGTCTATATTGTCTTCCTCTTTCTCCTCCCTGGAAAGGTCAGAGTGGGGAGGCGGTCTCCACCATTCCTCCTCTGCCCAGTCCTTGACACTAGCACACGTCCCTCTCTGTTTGACCCCCCCCCCACTCCATGACCCTGTGAGGTAGGTTAGGCTGAGAGATAGGGTCCAGGGTAACCCAGTGAGCTTCAGAAGGATGACTGAATATTTGAACCCGGATCTCCCCAACCCTAGTTCAATCAATACAGCACCATCTCCCTCCACCTTTTCTTTTTAAAATATCAGATGCAGTTGTGTGTGGAAGCTGACTTATAATAATAAATAATAATAAACTTTATACCCCTCCCTTCCTGGCCAGAGCTGAGCTCAGGGCAGCTAACACCAATAAAATCACAGTAAAAAACATAATAGGGGAAAAGGAAAAAAAGGGGGGAAAATTAAATACAGGTTAAAATGCAATTTAAAATGCAGCCTCATTTTAAAAGTAGCCAATAAATCAAGACCATAAGGGGAGGGAAACATAAGGGTCAGACTGAGTCCAAACCAAAGGCCAGGTGGAACAGCTCTGTCTTGCAGGCCCTGCAGAAAGAAGTCAAGTCCCGCAGGGCCCTAGTCACTTGTGGCAGAGCGTTCCACCAAGTCGGGGCCAGTACTGAAAAGACCCTGGCCCTAGTTGAGACAAATCTAATCACTTTGCAACCTGGGACCTCCAAAATGTTGTCATTTGTGGACCTTAAGGTCCTCCGCTAAAGGTGGCCAATACCCCACCAACTTCTGGATGGCCACAGCCAACCCCTTGCCATCCTATTTACAACCAGTCAGAGGGTGGCTCTGCTTGTCACTGGCTTTGCCTGTACCATCTCCCCATCTCCCAGGCATATACCCGACGGGCACTAATCACTCCTAGTGATCATGAAGAACTGGTGCTAATTTAAGAAGGTAGCCAAGATGTGAGCTGCTGCAAAGAAGGTGCCCCGCACCAAGATGATCAACAAAGTTCTCCGCAACTAGTGCCCCTACAAGCAGCTGCCTGCAGATTCAATGAATCAGTCCAGTTTTCCTCCTGCAGACGAGACACACTTGTCTGCTTGCCATATGGGGAGTTAATTTCTCAGCCTCTCCCCAATAGCACATTGCTGGTGGTGTTTCTGCAGCGGTCTGTGCTGAAGCAGCAACCAGCAAACTGACCTCAAAGTGTTTGAACACATAACAGAAAGCAAGAATATTCTCTTTTTTAAAAAAAATGCAACGTTTACTAGAAGGTTTTAGGCTGTGTTCATATACACACACTTGCCTGAGTATATGCTTCATTGTGCCTCTCTGACAATACTGAGCTGGGGAGAACCTAGGTTCCTATGACATTTGATTAGTGTACATATCATCTTCACTTATCCTCCTTGTTTTTCCAGTCACGACACTCCGCATTGCCCTCATGGGAGAAACCAAGTAAGACTAGGAATGTGGCTTTAAAAATCCAGATGAGCACCACTGATGAACACAGATAAAAAAAATTGCATGGTGATAATATAACATTGGTGACTCTGGATTGTGGAAGTGCTGCCATTCCTTTACCAGTAGTACTTGTGAAGAAATAATAATGTAACCTTCTGTGGACAGGAACAGCCTAGGTTTTGTTGCCTATGCTCTGGTACCCTCTAAGTTAGGTTACTGCAATGCTGTTTCTGAAGGTGGTTCAGAAGTGGTAGCAGGTGCACAATCCACAACCAGATTGTTGACCTATGCAAAAGGATCTGAACGTACATCACCAATTCTGACAAAGCTGCAGTGGCTTCTAAATGGTTTCCTGGCCCAGTTCAAGGTGCTGGTTTTCACCTATAAAGGCTTCTGTGACTCAAGACCCCAAGACCTCAAGGACTACCTCTCCCCACATGAACCAACCCCAACCCTGCACTCATCACCCAAGGCCCTTCTCCATGTTCTCAGAGAACAGGCCTTCTCAGTGGTGGCCCCTTGCTTGTAGAATGCTCTTCCCAGGAAGTCATCCCTGACTCCATCAATACCTGTCTCCAGGTGCCAGGCAAAAATGTTCCTTTTCTGCTAGGCCTTTGGCCTTCAATTATCTGTGGCTTCCTTCGTGGGTAAAGTGGGTTAATCCTTCTTTTTTAGATATAAATATGGATGAGTTTTAGCTTTTACTCTCTTTTAGTTTTATATTGCTTTTAATTTGTATGCTGCTTTTTGTAAGTTGCTCTGACTTACTTTTTGTAAAATAACTAAATAAAAAAGTGACTACCAAGCTGAATTAATAATAATATGAATAGAAAGGAATAGATCATAGATATACAATCAGGTGCCCTAGGGTTTTTAACATCCTCTGTTCGAAAAAGGACTTCTCTTCATTTGACTATGGAACGGATATTTACTGCATACAGTTTGGTAGTGTTATGGTGCCATCTACAGATTTTTTTCTAAACTTTCTGTGCATTACAGTACTGCTATACAGAGTATAATTGCTACTTCTTGGTACAGCTTTATTATGTATACAGCTAAAAACAACAACAAAAAACCAACAACAGAGGACGCCTTTCTATCATGAAACTCTTTGGTTAGCTTAACCCCTATGTTGCCTTCTGTACAAATGTTTGTCTGGGACAGGAAATAATGTTATTTGGATAGTCCCCCCCCCCCCGATGTATTGCCTAAACTTCCTCTTTTGGACAAGAGTGGGATATTTTGCTTTATGTGCATAAAGGTAAAGGTAAAGGTACCCCTGCCCGTACGGGCCAGTCGTGTCCGACTCTAGGGTTGTGCGCCCATCTCACTTAAGAGGCTGGGGGCCAGCGCTGTCCGGAGACACTTCCGGGTCACGTGGCCAGCGTGACGAAGCTGCTCTGGCGAGCCAGCACCAGCGCAGCACACGGAAACGCCGTTTACCTTCCCGCTATAAAGCGGTACCTATTTATCTACTTGCACTTAGGGGTGCTCCTAGGTGGGCAGGAGCTGGGACCGAATGACGGGAGCTCACCCCGCCACGGGGATTCGAACTGCCGACCATACGATCGGCAAGTCCTAGGCACTGAGGTTTTACCCACAGCGCCACCCGCATCCCTCTTTATGTGCATAGGATGTGGTATTATGTTGCAAGAATCTAATCATTAATTATTATTATTATTTTTAAAAAACCTATTATACTGTACAGCATAAGGGAAGAGGTCACAAAAGGATCACAGACACTGCCTTGAAGACCTACAAGTCCAAGAAAAGGCAGCTCAAAATAAATGCCCTGTCTTTTGTAACTCTTCGGTTTTCAACACTAAAAGCTCCTGGCTGGTTAAAAAGAACTGTTTCTCATGCTTATTCTGTCCAATTTTATTATATATAATAAATATATAATCACAACCAGTATATTATGATTTACTTTTGCTGATCATTCATATGTCTATCATCTATCTATCTATCTATCTATCTCTATTTCATTGATATCTGTAAAATTTAAATACACCAAAGGATACAAAAGCCCCCTGTGGGAGAAAAATCAAGAAATTGCATCTCAGACTCATTTCTTTTTTTCTTCCTTTCTTTCTTGAAACAGTGGCAAAGAATCCTACTGCTCCTACTCCCCAAGGTAAGAAAATTTTTTTTTATCACATTTATGTTAAATATTTGCTATAGATGGGTCATGATCCAGTTCTATGAGTGGGGTGGGCAGTGGGGAGGGCAATAAGTAAGCCATGAGGGATTGGGTCAGCTCCCTCATTTGCAAGACAAACACCCAGAATATATATCACAGGCGGACTGGGTTCAGTTGCATCTTACAGAGAATGAAAATTATATATATAGAATGAACAAGAATTTGCCGTTGAAGATCAGAGTGCCAACTGATTCAAAATAAATTGCATTTTGTTAGGAATACAACTACTCACTGCCAATTTTGCTGTGCAAGCCTATAACTATCCCTTGCCCCACTCTTTTTACAATTTTGTTGGGTATTCTCTCTCCCAATTTACCTTTGACCTGCTCCTCAGTCCTGGGAACTATATTTAAGACTTTACTTGGATTAATTGTGACTTCATTGCTTTTTATCACTTTTTAGTTGTCGTGAATATAGAGCCAATAAAGAGTTGGCTGTAGGCATAGTCATGGTTAGAGTAGACCTGTTGAAATTAATGAGATTTACATTGATCTCTAACCTAGGTCCCATAGATTTCTGTTCTGTTCTAAGCATGATCTGGATCTAACCCATAGTAATTAAAGAACAGATTTTCCCTCATTCATGTTTCAGACTTATTTCAGTTCAAATATCTAGTTCAACTTCCAGAAAACTTTTTGAAAGAAAGCTGCAATTAAATGGGATTGATTGAGCAAATACACAGGTTGCTCTACAATGCATTATATCAGGGAAGTGTTCTTAATCTGGGTTAATTTTAGTAGCAAATCCAGAACCTAGCAATGGAAATTGTTCTGGATTAATTAGCAAAGAACACGAGGACTTTTGGGTGGGCTCCTGCCACTTCTTCCATCTTCCATACAGTGTCTAGCATACAGTGTCTAGAGAGCCAGTGTGGTGTAGTGGTTAAGAGCGGTAGACTCGTAATCTGGTGAACTGGGTTCGCGTCTCCGCTCCTCCACATGCAGCTGCTGGGTGACCTTGGGCTAGTCACACTTCCTTGAAGTCTCTCAGCCCCACTCACCTCACAGAGTGTTTGTTGTGGGGGAGGAAGGGAAAGGAGAATGTTAGCCGCTTTGAGACTCCTTCGGGTAGTGATTAAGCGGAATATCAAATCCAAACTCCTCTTCTTCTATATTCAGCCGCAAGGTATTTGTCAGGCTTTTAAACTGCCACTTACATGAAGCCTTTGGCAAATCAGAGTTGGCAACTCAGCTTAAGTTTGGTAAGATGGGAGATGTGGGCCTTTTTTGGTTTCTTTTGGACCACCCATGTGCCACACATCACTATAGGTATGTACATATGATCAAGAAGGCTAGTGACATTTTTCGAAGGCTATTGCCATGTTCAATTTTTATCCAAAGGGAGTGTTCGGCAGATAAATATCCTTGAAATTCTGAGCTGCACCTGGCAAAGGTAAAAGGCCATGCTCAATGCTCTTTTTTCTAGAAAAAAGAGGTGCCGGAACTCACCAGAACTCCCTTGTTCACTTAGAATGGCAATGGCGGCCACTGAGTTCTGGTTGAAAAACAAGCCCTGGCCTTCCATGAGGGGTGTGCTGGTCCCATGGGTTACCCGAGAGGCGAGGTCCAAGTCCGGTCCGTGGTCAAAGGTGCAACGTGGAGGCAGTAGTAGCTGAAGCTGGGTGCAGAGCAGGGAGTCGGGTCAAGTCAGGAACAGGCATGCAAACAGGGAGCCAGGGCGGGTCAGGAGCTCTGGCAGAAAAGCAGGACAGGGTTCAGGCAGGAACTAACAACCAACAATGTTGCTCCCACAACTTGGGACTGGTGCCGGCCGGCTTTTATCTGCCCCGAGGCATAGGGCAGCCCCGATCCTCTGGTGACTCCCCTCTCCTGGCCTGGAGGCGAGCACTCCTCCTGCGGGAACTTAGTTCCCTCCGCCTCTCTGCCCTGAGCCTCTGCAGCTCAGGAGAGGCTGGAGGGTTACTGGACCCAGAGGCAACCTCAGCCTCCCCTGACGTGGCTGAGAGTGGAGCACCTGCAGGCAATGGGTCTTCCATCACCTCAGGAGCCAGAGCAGACTCAGCTGATGCCTGCACCTGAGGACCCAGCACAGGTGAGGACCCTTCAGGCTCATGCCCCAGTCCCGGCTCAGCTGGTTCTGGAGGCGGGGAATCCTGTGCAGGCTGGGATCCCTCAGGTTCAGCATCCAAGTCGAATCCCAGGCCATCACAAGGAGTTTTGCTGGGATGCACTAGCTAACGGCCCCCTCTGCCATATACCTGTTGCCATGGGCTGCCTCCAGTTAGAGAAAAGGTCTGCAGGGAGGAGCCTGTTGTACTTCTGTAGGCGTCCTGTTGCAGATCTCCACCGTCACAATACCTTGAGGGAGGAAGACCAGGTGATGGAGACATGTCAGAGGAGGAGGGGCCAGAGGGTGTGGCCCTGCTCTCCCCTCCTTGCGTCAGCATTGAATGTCTGAAAAGAGCTGGGATGGGGAACCCGTGGATCTCCAGCTGTTGCTGGACCGCAGCTCCCATCAGCCACAGCCAGCATGGCCAGGGCTCGGGGATGATGGGAGTTGTAGTCCAATAACATCTGGAGGGCCACAGCTTCCCCATCCCTAGAACAGGTCTTCGTACTGAGTGCCAGTTGCACATCCCTACTGAGGGCTTGCAAGGGTGGGTATTCTCCAGACTCCAACATGACATACCTAGTCTTTGTACCATGAAGCGAATCCCTCGCTTCAGATATCATGGATTTTGTAAACTTGGAGTTGAACTACACGTGACATGGGAGTTCCTTGCTTGGAAGACAAAGGCCCAGATTTGGAGGGTTGAAGTCTACCCTTTCCCCCACACCCCAAGCTGTTGTTATCCATGAGGTGTGAAATGTCTGTGAGATTTTCTCCCTGGGGCTAATAGCAACTTTGGAAAGCGATCTGGATTTGGGTTGTAGAAGAGCACAGAATTAGGCACCCCCCTCTTGCAAAGCGTGGCTGTTCCAGTTATGGCACTTCCAACACCATAGCCTAATCCGTATTGGTAAGGATGGAATGGCAGACCCCTGGAAGCATAACAGTCCTTGTAATTCATCCTGGTTGAACAGACTGCTGGTGTCTTGCCATGCTGCAATGCCACTCTGTTTAAGACTCTGCTGTGTAACATGGCTGATTTGTTTATTGCCCTCCCCCCTCACGTGCTCACCTTAGGAACTCTTCTTGGCTCTTCTCCCATACTTCCACGCACCACTCCACCCTCACCTGCAAGCACCTCTGAAGCAAAGCCTGGCTCTGCGACCAAAGAGGCAGTGACCCCCACTTACCAGGCCTCCAATGCTTCCGGAATACCTGTTAGCAAAGCAACTGCCACCCCTGCGACTGCTGTCTCTGCCAACGTCACAGGTTTGCTTTGGAGTTTTCTGATAAGAGATTGTACTGCCCCAGGAATACTGTCCTCTCTCGGGAGAGTGTTGGTGGTGGTGGTGGTGGGGAGCCTCATCACATAACTGCTACGTGGCTGGAAACTTTACTTGAATAAGTATGTTGAGTTGCAATGCAATGGATGGTGAATGGCCGACTCTACAACCATAAAATTAGAGCAGAAATTAGGAGAACAGCCATTGGGGCAGCGGGCTGAGAGGTACGCATGGACAGCTGCTGAGGGCAGGAAGCATCTCTGTGTTAGCAAGACTGAAGCTGGCTTTGTGGCTCACTTCACTCATCTTTGCAGAGTTGCTCACACTGGGGAGCTGATCCCATTACGACCTTTTTCTGCTTGGCTAGCTACATGAATGAAGGGGCATGCATGTGAACTGGGCTAATTGTACTAATGATAGGCTGTCCCCCTCCCCTCCAAAGCATGGTTAGAATCAGGCTTAAAGTTAAAGGTGAAAGTTAAAGGACCCCTGGACGGTTAAGTCCAGTCAAAGGCGACTATGGGGTTGCTGCGCTCATCTTGCTTTCAGGCCAAGGGAGCCAGCGTTTGCCCACAGACAGCTTTCTGGGCCATGTGGCCAGTATGACTAAACCACTTCTGGTGCAATGGGACACTGTGACGGAAGCCAGAGCGCATGGAAACACCGTTTACCTTCCTGCCGCCACAGTACCTATTTATCTACTTGCACTGGTATGCTTTTGAACTGCTATGTTGGCAGCAGCTGGGACAGAGCAATGGGAGCTCACCCCATCGCGGGGATTCGAACTGCTGACCTTCTGATCAGCAAGCCCAAGAGGCTCAGTGGTTTAGTCCACAGCGCCACCCGCGTCCCATAGAACCACCTGGTGAGCCCACACAGTTGATGCTCCAGGTAGCAACCGCAGCATGTTTCACAGTACTGCTGCTGAATTAGCTTTGAAAGAGATCAGGAATACTGCTTCCTTCTCTGAAGGGTACCCGTTAACCAGTTAATGTTTTGCTGTTGTATTGTAACAATGGTAATAAAAATTATTGCACTTTTGTTACTACAGAGATTGTTCCAACAAGCAGCTCATCCTCCCTCCCTCGCACGGACGCAAACTCTTCCAGCACTCAGGCACTCAGCAGCACTGCTGCCCCTCCTTCACTCTCTCCCTCCACCATCACGCACGCACCACCAGGTTTGCCGTGTTGTTCTTTGCAGTGTTCCTGAGCAATGTCTTAAGTACTGGGCATGAATATTCAGTTTGTGGGATAGCTAAGCATTATCAGAATGCATATATGTTTTGCTTGAGGTTGCTAAGCTGAGGCTGGACAACCACTTCTGAGGGATGCTTTAACATTGAATTCCCTGTATTGGCAGGGATGTCAACCAGGTGATTGTTGAGGTTCTTTTGAAATCCGGATATCTTTAAGCTTTTAATTGCATTATAAGGCTGGGTAGTCATTGGAGGATGCATTCCTGTGTGTCTAGTTTAAAAATATCAAGTCAGTGGCCAACTTAGTGCATTTTGGACATCTAACCATGAACATTGACTTCACATGATCTCCTAAACAATGTCATTCAGTCTGCACATTCAGTCTGCACCCGGCCTTTAGAATCATAGAATCATAGAGTTGGAAGAGACCACAAGGGCCATCGAGTCCAATCCCCTGCCAAGGAGGAAACACCATCAGAGCACTCCTGACATATGATTATCAAGCCTCTGCTTAAAGACCTCCAAAGAAGGAGACTCCACCACACTCCTTGGCAGCATGATTTGCTTGGAAACACGCTATGAGTGCTGGTGCACACATCATGCTAAGTCAACGCTTAGCTCAATTGGTTAGAGTGATCCGAAGAAAGGAGGAGTGAAATGACAGCTATGTTTGTTCACATGGGTTATGGCTTGCCGTGACACGTGAACACACCCAATTTGTCTTATAGAAGAATTCTCACCAGTTATTCCTGCCCCTTGATACATTAAACCAGACATGCACTTACCAAACAAATCAATGTACTAAAAGCTAGGATCCCGTGAAAAGGATCATTGGGGGACAAGTTACTTGTATGTATCTTTTTCTGGCGGTGGCGGAGGGTTTCCACATCACTTTATCTACACACTAAGAAAAGCCCCACCTATTTTACCATATTACAGTGGTTTCAAAGGCTCAGAAGCAGGATGAGAAAGAACATTGGGAACCCTACATGAATAGCAAATTCAGGAATTACTTTTGCCAGTGTAAAATTCTTCCTGGAAGTGATTCCATGTGCAGATAGTTTATTTTAAATATTACACTTTTGAAAGGTTAACCTTAATTCCAGTTTTTAGTAAGCAAGGACATAACAAACAGGGAGCATCTCCTTTGCAAACCTCCTGTTTTACACATCCTGTTTTATATGTCTATAATGGTAGGAACTCCTTTAAATGAAACAGTTAACTAAATAAATGCCAGTGGTTCTTATGTAGAATTATGTAGAATTTCCCTGGAGCTTTATGACTCGAGAGTCTAGGCTGCTTTGAACCAAAGAAAGGTTTCACAGCTATGAACAAATATATTATGAAGTTGCTGTTGTTTTTAAGGCCCAGTGTTGTTGAAGTCAGCATTTAATACTGTGTAGTTGGGTAATAAATATTTGCTGTACTGAGGCCAAAAGGTAAGAGTCACATTGCGCGCGCGCGCACACACACACACACACACACACACGTTAACCCAAGAGATGCTGGCCATTTGAGCCATTTCTAATTAATACCACATTTGCACTGATGTTACAAATTTGTATAAAACCAGGACAGAGTTAATTTGTCTTCCAGTATCTTAAAATCATTTAGAATAGAAAACATTTTTCATTCTCGATTTTAATTGAGTTGATAAGAACACATATAGTTTTATTTTTATATGTATAGTGAGGGAATAATGTGAAAGAAAATAAAGAAGAAGAAAACAAACAAAAGAAAAATTGAAATCGTGATACAATTGAGTATATCAGTAATACAATTCTTCCAATAAATGTAGAATTACTCTTGATAAATGGATTCCATGTTGTTATATTTATCCAGACACAATCTACACCCAAAAGAATACCTATAGTTTTTAAACTAACCAATGATCTCTCCAAAAAAAGGAGCCATAATCCAATGCATGCCCACCCACCGTGGTAGACTTGTAAAAATGAGGAAGGAAGGAACCTTTATTCATATATCAAAGTGAAATGTTTTGTAGACATCTGAATTATCACTTCTGTTCTTCATTTCGAGTAAGAAATTAAGACTGCAATCTTGTACATACTTATCTGGGATTAAGTCCTACTGAACTAAATGGATCTTACTTCTGAGTTGGTATGAATAGAGAAGAACTGTTGCAGCAGCATCTTATGCAAACACCCTCAGAAGTAAGACCCACTCTCTTCAATGGTGCTTATCTGCAGGTCTCTGTGTGTAGGACTGTACTTTATATTCCCATTAAGAAGACTAGTTTTCCTTTTTACAGGAGAAGGAACACATTTTCTCAGCTTGCAGTTCTTCTTCAAGGTTGTTTCCATTCATGGGGATATGGCATCAATAATTGCTGAATGTAACGCTAACGTTCTGTTTATTTCCTGGCAGATGATGGGGATAATTCCACCACGCATACCAACATTTCAGCGTCCTCTGGCACTCCAGCAAACATCCCTTCAACTCTCTCAGAGACCACCCCTGGTCCAATAGGTGACAAACCTGCACACATTTAAGAGCATTGCTAGCACCACATGCATGCATGGCTTTGAATGGCATCCAAATTCCTTTGAGAATGAAATTTTTCCTGTGCAAACACAATTGAAATGAATTGGATTCGTGCAGAAATTATTTATGAATTCCAATCCAAGGATCTGATTTAAGAGCCAAGACTGACATCTGGCATTTGAGAAGTGGGATACTGCTTTATCTAAATTGGCATATCTTATCCCAATTCTAGAATGCACTGCAACAAACATAAGAACTTGCTACTTTAAGCAAATTATCCATTTAATTTAGGTGGCTTTCTCAATAGACAGCACTTTTCAATCTCTGTTACTGTGTATTTGTCATAAAATTTCATTAACAGCAGAAGACCATAGCACTTGGTCACCAGTCATACTGAAATGTATTGTAACAGTGATTGGAATTGAGGATAATATGAATATTCAAGATTTCACAATAACATCAAAATTATAATAAATTATAATTTAAAAAGGAATTGATCTAAAAGGTTCCTGCTACTTATTAAGGAAAGTTTTGGTGATCATAAAAAGCGTAGAGCTGACTGAACAGAAAATAAATAAAAGCAAAGCAGGAGCAAAGAATAAATAAAAATAAAAGCAGAAAAAAGATGGCAAAAATTATAAATGGTAAACCAACTTGGAAGCGCTGCTAAAATATAACTAAATTGTAGCCCTGGGGTTACAATGCAGCAGCTCCACTCACAGAAGAAGAAGAAGAAGAAGAAGAGTTTGGACTTGATATCCCGCCTTTCACTCCCCTGAAGGAGTCTCAAAGTGGCTAACATTCTCCTTTCCCTTCCTCCCCCACAACATACACTCTGTGAGGAGAGTGGGGCTGAGAGACCTCAGAGAAGTGTGACTAGTCCAAGGTCACCCAGCAGCTGCATGTGGAGGAGCGGAAACGCGAACCTGGTTCCCCAGATTACGAGTCCACCGCTCTTAACCACTACACCACACAGACTTTTCTGTGAACAATGGAACGTCCTCTTCCTTTCCTTTTCCCTGCAGTTCCCCACACACCCTCAAAGGACTTTGGAGGACCTCCTGGAGCAGTTTTTGGAGGTTGGGAGAGAGGAGAGGAAGCAGAGGTCCCATTGAATGAACAGAATTCTGCTCACGAAACCCTGGATTTGGTCACTGCTCTGATGGGAGGCAATTTAAGACTCCTAGATTTTCCACCTTGAATTCCATCATGCAAGAAAGGTGGAGTAAGACTATCATTAAACGTTTTAAAGTGTTGGATCCCCTAGAAAGTGCTACTGGGCTACACTGCTGAACTGCAGCTCCCAGTTCACCCCAGCAAGCATGGCAAACGCCCTGGGATGATATGAATGGTAGGTCACCAGAATATGCAGGGACAAAGGGTTCCTCACACCTGATATAGGTATTTAAAGGCACATTTTCTTATGGAAGCAGAACAGAACAGTCCTATGTGTACACACTTTTGAAAGTGGCAAATAGACCAATTCATCCATCTCCAAGTCAATGAAAATGTAGGAAAATGTAAGGAAGAATAACTGCCAATGGAATGAAAGCAACGAACTTCATAACTTCACAAGAAAGTTCAAGCGATAAGTCAAACAAACATCACAAAGCAAAAATGGAATTACTGTTTTTCCCCAACAATAAATGTAGACAAACCCCACATGCAGCAGGCCTGCCCCAAGATCAGAGAATAGTGAAGCAATCAAATAAATGTTTGGCTATCTGACAAGCCGTTGAATTAACCTCAGACTGGATCGACGGTTGCAAGCATTTAAATAGCTTATTAGGGAAAATAATTTACACTTTGTCAGAACCTGTCTTCTGAGGACAGATTAGTAGAAAATAGAAAATAGGAAATTCGGAAAATAAAATAAACTTTTAAGGCTAAGATTATAAGTAGGCGGTTTCAGTGGGAAATTGCTAGTTTTGCAAAACATTTTTAGTCATTTTGCAGTGACCTAAGTTGTCACGTCGTTTTGAACAGGTATGACAATATACAGTAAGGATGCAGACATGTTTGCTGAGAGGTCCCACTAGGGAAAGCGTGCATTAGATTGCACTATTACTAATATAAACTATTTGCCCAATGATATGATGTTTTAATTTACTTGGCTTTAATGTAGCACAAAGAAGTCAACAGTGTGGGCCCAAGATTAGGTCTTCTGGAGAGGGTACCACCCACCAAAAGGCTCAGATGGTAGGGGAACTCAGAGATGGGACTTAGCCATACAGAATCTCTGTAAGGTACAGGTGCAATATAAATAACCATATTTTGAGACTTAACATCGGCAACAGAATTCAGCTGCTCTTGCCTAAGGTCTAATTTCATTTCAATAACGTTTACACAGGAAATGTTTTTTGGTGGAAACCAATAAAAAAATGTTGTAATTTTGTGGCTGTAAGAGTTTGCTCTGAAGATGCTACTGCCCTGACATGATGTCTACCCCAATATAAGAACAGACAGGCGACAGAAACTCCCGGCAAACACCAAGCATTTGTAGGGCTCAAGTTACCATGGCTCAGTTGTAGGGCCACCTTTACTGAGAATCCTGCAACTGACTAGGACCGCTGCAACCAGTAGCAGCCCAGTGTAACAAGGCCTTGGAGGCCGTTCAGCTGCCAAGCGACCAATTGCAGCAGAGCCACAAGTGGAGGAATACTGTCTTCTGGACGCTGTATTAGCTGTGGTTGAGGTTTGCTGGTGCCTGCATGTATTCGCTGGGCCTGGGGTGCATATCATATCAGAGCAGCAAGGTCTGTAGGCCACACCTCAAGTACTGTATACTGCATTTACCTCCATTTGAATGCTATTTCATTGGTCCCCAGTAATTATGCAGTATTTCAATTACTCAATGCAAAGTATAGTTAACTGTGTTTATGCTTAAATACTATGAAAAAGATCAAAACCATAGTATAAAAGGTACGATGTTATATAGATATTTTAATGATGGAAGCTTATATTTTAATGTCTTAACGTAATTGGTTTTTATGTTTTGTAAGACACTTAGAAGCTTATATTGGCACTAAGCAGTATATAAACACACACACATATACACACTGTATGTGAATAATTACCGTATTTTTTGCTCTATAAGACTCACTTTTTCCCTCCTAAAAAGTAAGGGGAAATGTGTGTGCGTCTTATGGAGTGAATGCAGGCTGCGCAGCTATTACAGAAGCCAGAACAGCAAGAGGGATTGCTGCTTTCACTGCGCAGTGATCCCTCTTGCTGTTCTGGCTTCTGAGATTCAGAATATTTTTTTTCTTGTTTTCCTCCTCCAAAAACTAGGTGCGTCCAGTGGTCTGGTGCGTCTTATAGAGCGAAAAATACGGTATTTTCTCTTTGATACGTTTATAATGAAGAGCCTTCTAAGATTTTATCTTCTTTCTTACAGCTACTCCCGTGGACTGCAGTAAGTTTTAATGTTTTCTTGAAGATGGAACCCAACTTGTTAGATGTCCCTTTTGTTATTCTCGAGGACACAGATAATTCTCAAGAACGATAATGAAATACAGAAAACCAGGCATTAAAAATGTGCCTGTAAATTGCAAGATTTGGGAGTCACTAGCAAATAATGGGACCATTCACATATATGACTCGTGCATAAAAGAAATATCTTTGAATATCCGTATAATATGTAAGCTAAATATGTAGCTAAAAATCGACCATTCCTTTTCATTCCCTGAACTTCATGAAGATCAACAACTGTGGCCTCGCAGGAACTCGAGGTTCTCCTGTATTTTGCAGCCCCCTCTTACACAAACAGCAGTCAAAAGATCAAAGGGCTATGAAGCACAAGCAGTGGCAGATCTGAGGGCTTCAAATTTCAACGACGCCCTGTGCAATGCCAAAATATGGTGCCCCCCCCCCGGCTCTCACCTTCCATTCTGCAGCATAGTTACGTACGGTGCCCCTGAGGCTCTGCGCCCAGTGCGACTGAATCAGTCAGGCTCTCTTAAATCTTTCCCTGGCACAAGCCAAACTTGGCAGAGCTGCAGGGCATGCCCCACCAAACAGGTAGCTGCTGAATCAACAGCCTTGCTTTGTTTAGTGGCTGGGATGGCAGGACAGGAAAGGGCAGAGACTGGGGGAGAAATGTTACAAATCAGAGGTTCGTTTTTAGCTGGTTCTTTAGAAGAAAGGAACACAAGTAGACCCAGAGAGTTGCAACTCAACAAAACATATTTATTGTATACATTAAAACAGCAGTCCCTAATACACACACACACACACACACACACAATCTCTTGTAAAGTTTTTATTAGTATTCCAATATATCCCCAATAGTAGCCAAATTATAATAATAACAATTAATTACCAAATTATACAATTATCAAAATGCCAATCAACTTCTAATTATACATTTTAGTTAAAGTGGCTCCCCGCATGGTGGATTGAGTTCATTTCCGATCTTATATCACTGTGTTCCATAATGTTCATATCAGTTACATTTCAATTATAAGTCACACACACACACACATTCTCAATCATACTCACCAACTTTACAGCAGTAGCTGACCAGGCTATTGGCAAGAGGACGGGTGGCAGGCACTGTAGTGCTGGGAACCTGTAAAGTCCCTTCTTTATATCAGACATTATATGGACCACTTACAAACATGGACCACTTACAAACGCCATCTCCAACTTCTCGAAAGATTCCATCAGCGGTCTCTCTGAAAAATCTTACACATCACTTGGGAAGACAGGTGAACTAATCTCAGTGTACTGGATGAAGCAAAGATCACCAGTGTTGAAGCAATGATTCTTCAACACCAACTTCATTGGAAGGTTATCTTGTGCAGATGCCTGATTATCGTCTTCCAAAGCAACTACTCTATTCTGAACTTAAAAGTGGAAAGTGTAATGCTGGTGACCAACAAAAGAGGTTTAAAGACAGTCTCAAGGCAAATCTAAAAAAAATGTAGTATAAACACTGACAACTGGGAAACACTGGCCTGCGAGTGCTCCAGTTGGAGAGCAGCCTTTACCAAAGGTGTTATGGACTTTGAAGACACTCGAACTCAGAACGCAAGGGAGAAACGTGCTAAGAGGAAGGCACGCTTGGCAAATCCACACCATGTTCAACTCCCGCCTGGGAACCAATCTCCCCACTGTGAAAGGACGTGTGGGTCCAGAATTGGCCTCCATAGTCACTTACGGACTCATTGTTAAAACCGTGTTTATGGAAGACAATCTTACTCAGCTACGAGTGATCGCCAAGGAAGGAAAAGATATCAGACAATACAGCTCTGGAGATTCACTTCCATCTGTTCATCATCAAAGCTGTTCATCACGTTCCAGAGTTCATCACACCCTTGTTAGTCAATCTTGCTCAACACCTGTCCTTCATTATCAACCTGTTTGTACGTCAGGTCTCATGAGCTCAGCACCTCTTCCTCACTTCGCTTGCCAACCTTATCAGTTCCAAAAGTCTTAGTGAGACTCCATTTTAGAGTGGTGTTCTTCAGCCTAAAAACAGGCCTACACTCATTCCTCCATTAATGCCATAAATTTCTAATGAATATGATTATTATACTCATTACATATTGCCAATTGAGTTTGCATTTAAGGCTGAATCACTCACATCCGCTCTTTCCAAAGCAACATGAGAACTGAAACACAGGTGTCCTTCAAAAACCCAGATTTTGCTGTGTAGCACTCCAACTGACTGCTCCTTACAACCACACCGAAACTTGGTGTGGGTGTAATATGTGTAGATTAGTCAAAACTGCATAGAAAATATGTGTTTATTAGGATAAAATTGCACGAAATTGATCAAGGGTTTTTCTTTTAAAACCACAAACTGCTGAAGAAATGCAGAGAACTGAACTTACAAAAACTGGAAATGGAGACGACCAATATTGACAAGTCCTTCCATGCCTAGGAAGGGGACAGGATCACTGTGCCAGCCTGGAGATGCTGCACCAATTGGGTCAATGGATTCCAGGGCCTTCTGCTGGCTGCTGTTGTTGGGGATCCTGCCAGGAGCACTTTTGCCTGTCTGTAGATGTGTGTGTGGACAAGTGCCAAACCAATAGAGTGATGCTGGCATGGCTGGCAGGAGGCCACCTAGGCTGCGCAGGGCGACAGCTCTGCCCAATCACATTCCACCACCACCCCAGCCTGACACAAAGGTGCTTTTTTTATGGGGGAATTGCTCTGTTGATGAGCCTCCAATGGCCATTATATATATTGCTGATGAGCTGCGCTTGGCTTGGTGAGTCACACAGGTTGGGCAGATCTGGTTAATGAACTGAAATATTACCAGTATGAACTGAAGGAAAACAAGCAGCTGCAAATCTAAGTAATCAGCAGAAGAACAGTTTCTCTCACCTGTAGTGCACATACTGTGCCTCTCTTTAAACTGTTAATGCACATTAAACATTATTTGTGGTTTGATTGTTTTTAACATGTTTCAGTGCAACAAGCATTTAAACATATCTCTCATCTCTTAGGTCGTATAAACATTTCAGTGGCTCGTTATAAATACAATTCAGAAGGCGTCACTGCAGAACTTGCAGTTATGAAAAGGGCAGAGCTGCAAAATGTTAGCTGTGAAAATGCCCACTGTACTTGGGACAAGGACCAAAGCACACTTGCTGGACTTCAAGAATGTGACAAATACAAGATAGTAGCATCTTTTAATGGATGTGATGATTTAACATTATCAGTTCATGTCCCCCCTGGTAAGATCAGATACTTCTCATTTATTTAAGCAAAATCTGCCTTCTTGTTTTTCAGCCACTCTGATGAGCTGTCCTCCCCCCCAGTGCTAAGCTATTGGGAGAACGTAACCTGGGGGTATGTCAGAGGGCTAGAGAGGGTGCGGGAAGTCAGTTTTAATTTTTTTGGTGTCAACTAATATCCTGGTTTTCAGTTTCTCACAATAACAGGCTTTTAAAGCTAAGCAATGTTTTTATTTCTCCTTCCATCGTATCTCATAGTCATGTAACACATAAAAGTACACTAATTCAAAATGAACACTGAAAACTGTGTTGGATACTCATTTGGGGTAAAATGATGCAACCCACTAAGCAATGTATTATCCAGCATGCTTTTAAAACTGAAAAAGAAATACTGAACAGAATGTCATTGTGATATTTTTCTCCTTTTTCTTTATTTGGAAGAAACCAATAAGTGGAAACTAGAAGAACCTAAAAAAAGTAACACCAGTGTGACTTTATCTTGGAACAATCGCAGATATGATAAGCATCATTGCGATTTAAGATATTCCTGTCGCTGTCATCCTCATGGTAGGAGATTTTGGAAGTTTTTGCATTTCTGTCTTTATTGGCTGGAGAATTAAATGCACTTTATTGGGGACCTTTGTTTTTGTGTCCTATGTATGGACGTATTTAGAATTAAGCATAGAGAGGTGGAAAGGCAAACAAGTCTGGTAAAGGTATGAGTCTCTCTCTCTCTCTCTCTCTCTCTCTCTCTCTCTCTCTCTGACCTTAATGAAATAGTAAGAAGAAATACCTCCTGCTGTCCAGAAGGATCTTACTCTACACGAGTGGTTTCAAGTCCCTAAAAAATCACAAGTTGTTGATAGTTTCTCCAGGTTTGATTCCTGTAGATAACAAGGGTGCAATATTTTGTGTGAAACATTAGATATGGATGGTGCCAAAGAACTGCTTGCTAGGGTGGACCTAAAACATGTGTATGTAGCTACAGTCAAATAGCAGCTCACGTGGAGTTGAGGTCAGGGGAAAGAAGCAAGAAAGTGGGTAGCATGTTCTTGATTTTTTGTCAATCAGAGCTAACCTACACGACCCTCCATATCTTCTTGGACTCATCTCCCAAAAGCCCCAAGCAGCACAGCCAATGGTAAGGGATGTTGGGAGTCTTGAGGGCAAAAGATTCCCCATCCATGGCATAGATGCTTCTGGATGCCTGAAATACGGAGCAATGATGTTTTGCAATTTCTTATAGATCAGAATTTTCGGACCACTGAAGAGCAGAATGGTTGTACAGTGACAGGTTTATCACCCAATAAGAACTACAGTTGTTTATCAGAATTATTGTTTCATGGCAATATTGTGAAAACTGGCAACAAACAGCTAACAACAGATTATGGAAGTGAGTATGACAACATGATGCTTAGTCACTTATGAACTTGCCTTCATCCCAGAAACTAAACTATTACAACGATGAAGGGTATCTTTGTGCACATATAAATAAAAGCATACAAGTAGGATTTAATGTATTATTGTGACAGATTATAATCTGGGCAGGAGTGCCTGATCCAAGTTTGGAGGCCCTTGGGTAAGATGTCCATTGTGGGCCCCTTCTCCAGCTGGGTCCACCTTCTTCTCCCCACTGTTTATTTTCAGGCCTTCCTGATCTGAAACAAAACTGCATGGTAAACGAAAGGGAGCCACAAGCAGAGTCTCCTGCTCTTTCTCCTTACTCCTGTCACTACACTTTCACTCAGAGGACAGGGGAAATGACAGTAGGGATGGACAGATCAATCATAAGTCCATCCCATCCCATCCCATCCATTCATTCATTCATCTATCCATCCCTGGCCCTACCTACTGCTTTTTAAACATTTTTATATCTTTAATTGCTTAGTAGTTTTTGAACTGTTGAACTATTAAAAATCAGGAAGAACCTTCCACCATTAAGAACTGTTCAACAGTAAAACTTTGACTTTCTCGGAAGGTAGTGGACTGTCCTTCACTGGAGGTTTTTAAGCACAGGTTGGATGACCACGGGTCATAGATGCTTTGGTTGAGAATCCTGCATTGCAGGGGGCTGGACTAGATGACGCTCAGGGTTCCTTCCAGCTCCATGATTCTGTGATTCTATGAACTGTCACTGGGTTCCTGAATAATTTTTAAAAGAGTCCCCCCCCCCTGCTGAATTCCTACACCAGCACCTGGCAAGCCTGAAGATATTTCATGGAATTCAAGTAATTCTACAATAGAAATCACATGGAAGAAGCCACAATCTGAAGAAAATGGCCCTATTGATGGCTACATGGTCTGCCTTGGGGAGAAAAACTACTACAACAAAAAATGTATGTACATTTTGCATCATTTTGCCAGAAAGCATATTAAGTCCATTTGTAGATATTAGGGGTGTGTGTGTGTGTGTGTGTGTGTGTGCAGAGATCTTCTGATCTGCTTTGTGGGCTCTGGATCAGGCAGACCCATCTTGTGATTCTCTGGGGGGTGACCCCCACTACTCTGCCCCGCATCCGGTCCTGTATCAAGGAGGTGGGGGGTTAATCTTGAATCCTAATTAAACAGATGGGATGGATGGGAGATCAGTGGGGTTAGATCTTGCAGGGTGCTGCTTGCTTGTGAGTTCCTTCCCTGCATTGAAGCCCTTAGCGAAGGTAGCAGCACCCTGGGAATCATTTTTAATGTTCTGAGGATGACATTTATTTTGGGGTGAGTATTTTTAGATCATTTTTAAACTATGATTTTACTGGGGGAGTGCTTTGAAGAGTTGATTACAAGCCAACAGCCCTGACCCTCTTTTTTCTAAGTATTCCCCTAACACACAGGCTGCGGGAAAATTTCTCCATTGATTTATAGGGGTTCACCAGTGATCAGAGCCATTTTCTGATTGGGAGGTAAATACCGTATTTTTTGCTCTATAAGACTCACTTTTTCCCTTCTAAAAAGGGGAAATGTGTTGTGCGTCTTATGGAGCGAATGCAGGCTGCGCAGCTATCCCAGAAGCCAGAACAGCAAGAGGGATTGCTGCTTTCACTGCACAGAGATCCCTCTTGCTGTTCTGGCTTCTGAGATTCAGAATATTTTTTTTCTTGTTTTCCTCCTCCAAAAACTAGGTGCGTCTTGTGGTCTGGTGCGTCTTATAGAGCGAAAAATACGGTAGATCAGCTCATTTTTGAGAGAAATGGAAATCAAGGAGTGCTTGCGCCCATCTCTGCCTTCTTGGCTCTGAAGGAGTGTCTCTTCTCATATGTTCCTCCATGTGCCTTGAGGTCTATTCCAAAGAAGGCCTATTCAATATTCTTTTTATTTGTGCAAAGAAAAGCAGTCTGGGAATGTTGGGGTGGACTTTTGTGCACACCCCTCACCCCACTTCCAGTTTAACTTTCCACGTGTTCAAGCAAATGCCTGAACTGTAATGTTATGTATTGTTGAAAGCTGGCCATTATCTGTATTGATGGTTTTATCTTGTTCCATTCCATGTAATTTCTAATCTTTTAAAAATGTTTTTTTAATTAAAAATACAGATAATGTTTCAAAGAATACCAGTTATATATGGAATGACTTAAAGCCCTACAAAAATTATAGTGTCTATGTCTGGGCATACACCAAAACACAGAATGATGCAGTACTGGAAGGGCAACGAAGTAGCAAGACAATTCCCACTAAAGCAGCAAGTAAGTTGTGTTCTCAAATATTGTGCTAACGCTATGACTAAAAGTCCGTCCCCCCTATTTAAAAACTTGCTACATACAATCTGCTACTGTATGCATTGCAGACTACATATGAGCAGCTGCATCTAAATTTATCTATGTGGAAATCATTCATTTTCAACATTTAATGCATGAAATTTATAGAAATGATTGGAATAATTTCCTGTGAAATAAATTGTTATTTCCCCACCCCCTTGGTTATAACTGAGCATCATCTGACTTATCAGAATGGCTCAAAGTTATTGATGACCAGAGGTCTATAACATCTACCTACACGTTCGTTCTCCATTACGTTTGGTGGTTGTGATGGAACCAAAGGAGGTTGCTCTAAGTACTTGAGGTCATATTTTGTCCCAGACTATAGGAAAGCATTTATACTAATTTGTCTAAATGTTCTGTCATCAGCTATGTTGGAAGGAATACTTGTGCCATGTAAAGAGGGGTGTTTGGGGTGACTTTTGGAGGAATGTTGAAAATATGTTCATTAAAAACAAAGGAGCAAGCAAAAACAAAAAGGCCTGTATGACTTGACAGGAAGAAGACATTTTCTTTATTTTTCCTGGGTGGACTAGAGCAGTTTGTTGTCATGAGGCGATAATGAAATGCCTCTAAGAGTGCAAATATTCTGGTTGGAGAATTGGTCAGGCTAGTCCTTTGCTTACTAATAAAAGCTTCCTCTAACTCTAAGATGGGTGGTGCTGTGGTTTAAATCACAGAGCCTAGGACTTGCCGATCAGAAGGTCGGCGGTTCGAATCCCCGCGACGGGGTGAGCTCCCATTGCTCGGTCCCTGCTCCTGCCAACCTAGCAGTTAGAAAGCACCTCAAAGTGCAAGTAGATAAATAGGTACTGTTCCGGCGGGAAGGTAAACGGCGTTTCCGTGCGCTGCTCTGGTTCGCCAGAAGCGGCTTAGACATGCTGGCCACATGACCCGGAAGCTGTACGCCGGCTCCCTCGGCCTATAGAGCAAGATGAGCGCTGCAACCCCAGAGTCGGCCACGACTGGACCTAATGGTCAGGGGTCCCTTTACCTAACTCTAAGACATTTATTTCATCCAACTTATATATCGCTTGATTGAAAGAAGAAGAAAACCCTCAAAAGCAGTTTATAAAAAAACTAAACAATAGAAACAGTTAGAAACTGCTATTTAAAACATTCAAATAATAATTAAAATCAGGAATAAGCGAAAAACAGAACGAAACACATGTAAGCATTCTACATATCTGGGAAGGCTTGTCTGAACAAAAATGTTTTTATCAAGCATTGAGAAAAGTACGCCTGCCTGATGTCCCTAGGCAGGGTGCTCCAAAATGTTGGTGCAGCCACACGAAAAGATGGATCAACTACAGATACAGAATGAGTGTTAAGTTGACTGTTTTTAGTGTGTTACACTTCTGAGTCTTCTACTGTTTTACATTGTGCTTTGTCTGCTGTTTTACTGAACTTATGCAAGCCACTCTAGAAGCACAGCGTATTGAAGGGCAGCGTATAGATCTTTGAAACAAATGGATAAGTCATATCTGTGGCAAGAGGTGAGCTTTCCTGCCCTCTCGCTACTTCACTGGCTGCCACTTGTGGCAGGAAAACTCTGAGTGCAATGACTTCTTGGCTAGCGATTCAAAGCCTACAACATTTCTAGGGGAGTGAAGGAGAAGATCTTTTGTTATGGTGTCAATCCTTGAAATCTTTGATTCATTAAAAGCAGTTTGTCTCCAAAAGCCTATTGGACCAATAAATAGTTCGCCTGCCAGTGGAAGGACAAGGAGGGAGCCAGTCTGGCTTCTCCAGGGAGAGAGTTCTGGGAGGCCTTTGGTGCTTTGCCTGCTGATGGCATTTGTTGAATCCCACTGTATAATTTGTTCTTTTAGTGTATAGTTCATTGCTTTGGACATCAGAAGCAGTATATACAGTGGTACCTCGGGTAACATACGCTTCAGGTTACAGACTCCGCTAACCCAGAAATAGTGCTTCAGGTTAAGAACTTTGCTTCAGGATGAGAACAGAAATTGTGCTCCGGTGGCGCAGCAGGAGGCCCCATTAGCTAAAGTGGTGCTTCAGGTTAAGAACAGTTTCAGGTTAAGAACGGACCTCCAGAACGAATTAAGTACTTAACCCGAGGTACCACTGTAAATGAATGGCATTATGATGATGATGATGATGATGATGATGATGATTATGCCTTAACTATTTGTCTTTCAAACAGAACCAACAGGTGTGAGAAATATCAAAGCGGACTTATCAAATGAAGCAAACAATGCTGTTAAGATCAAATGCTCAAAGCCAGAACAAATAAACGGCCCCAAAGAAGAATATATCTTGTACCTGGAGGATGAGAATAAAACGAAGAAAGATTGTTCTTTTGAAGTTAAAGACCTGGCTTATCTGACAACATACACGTTTAAGGTAAACTGCTTAATTCTGATGTTTACATTGAGATATAGGTAGATGCATTCAATTCATTACCTCACTGGGTAATAGTGTTTTCCCTTGTGGAACACAGCAGGGTGGAAGCTGCAGACAAAACTAGAATTAGTCGGCTCTTCCTGCTACTGGCTTTGGCGCCACCTAGTGCTGGGCTCCCTGTCTTCTGCCCTACCAGTCCCAATGGGCAATAGCCATTTGTGTAAAAGTAGCTCTTTTGATTATTGCATCTTCACTTTAGATGGGAAACCATTTGGGATATTGTTTGTCTTCGTTGATACATTTTTGACAAATCGAAATGGTATCCGCTGTTCTTTCTGTTTATTAGGTTGGTTTTAGCAACGGGAATTATACCTCGGAAGCCTTGGTCTCTAATCCAGTAACAACCAGATGTAAGCTAAAGTTTCAACCACTCCTATCAATTTACTGATTAATTTACATGTTAAAACACAAGAGCAGGACTTGACATAAGGTTTAGAAAGCGAGTAATGGAACAAACTTTTGCTAGCATTTCTTAAACCTTTTCAACATAGCTTCTCTCTCCCTTTGTTCTTTCGAATTTTGCAGATAATTCTCAAGCCCTGATTATATTTTTGGCATTCCTCATTATTGTGACCTCTGTGGCTTTGCTCCTTGTTTTGTATAAAATCTACACTCTTAACAAAAAACGATCATCGTAAGTAACCCCTCTTCCTTTCTTCTGAAATAAAATGAGAAGACTTATCGATATAATGTAGGATGGCATGAGATTTCTTTCTCCTTTATTTACCTACTGCATTGCTCCAAGGAGTTCAAAGAAGTGTACGTGGTTTAGCTCTTTCCCATCTTGCAACAACCCTACGAGAATCCTATTCCAACCATCTATCCCCTGCTTCACAGTGGCTTCCTTTGGCCATGGTCTGTTGGTTGCATATTTCTCCGGTGATATCTGTAGGGAACCACATGTCAGGAAGTGTAAAGTAAGGTAGAGAAAAGTGAAGATTTCTCACGGGGTGGTTGGACAGGAAGCTACATCAAGCCACACAGGGCCTCCCATGGAAAGAAAATAAAGTCCCTACCAGAGAAGAATGGCAGATTAAATTGATGGATTATGCTGAAATGGCAAAAATGATCGGAAGAATCAGAAATCAGAAAGACCAACATTTTAATAAGGAATGGGGAAAATTTATAATTTATCTTAAAAACCACTGTAAACAGCTAAAATTGTTAGTAGTATTGGAATAACACTTGTAGTTTAATGGTGACTTTGGGACATAATGGAGATGTAAAAGTTTTGGATTATTATAAAAGATGCAGGAGGAAATGACTAACAGTAGGACCCACGAAGGGGAGGGGAGGGAGCCCAGGAGATTCTTTGGAATCTTGTCTTTATGTTGTATGTTGGATATCGGATTGTAAAACTTTAATTTGAAAAACCAAATAAATAAATGTATATTTAAAAAAAGACACACATGCCCCCCAATCTGCGCAATCACTGCAGCTTACCAGAAAGGAGAGTGGTGCGGAGGTCAAATGCACTGCTGAAACCAGTTGGGCACCACCAGTGCGTCTGCAGGGACGACCTCCCTGCCACCTCACTCCTCTCCGTCTCTATAAACTACAGTGGCACTGCTGCTCAGAGGCCAGGCGAATCCTTTGCCCCTTCCTGCTGGCCACTCCTGATTCCTTCTTATGCTAAAGTACCCTCCATGGGAGTTGGGTTATAGTCACCTAGGAAAGAGTTATATTGTTATTCCTTGACCAGCACCGCTTTTATGACTTTTACTAATACTGGAGTGACATAGGACCAAACCAGACACGAGCCTGCGGATCTCACTCGTAAACTTTGCTGGATGTACCTTAGAATTTGGTTGCAGAATGCTTTGTTAACATGGAGCATTGCTCTTAGGCTTCATAACCATTTATGTTTCTTACAGGGATCCAGATACAGGTATGCAGCCTCTTATCATAGGCAGAGGTTGGTATTCTCCAGCTTTGGGCAAGTGCAAGCATTTAATTGATATTTTTGTCTAGCTCACCATAAAGCCTTTGTAGCAGTACTGAACCCCGAAGCATGCTTCTTGGAGTCGTAATGTAGAAACTTTCCTCATGGACCTTTGTAGGCATTATAACTATTGGGGTAACAGGATTTATTACCTTTCGGTTAACCCTTCAGTACACAGAGTATGTGGGATAACCAGCCTCATATAACCAACATGATTCAGTCTACTTAATGGATGAAGGGGTTAATGCCATAGAGTAAGCTGTCTTGCCTGGCTTAGCCTATGTCACTTCCCTTCACCTTGGGAGGAAGGTAAACAAGCCTATTGTTTGCCTGAGAAGTTCAATATGTGAAAATGCAAAACCCTGTTCTCTAAACTGAGTTGCATCCAAACTTCCAACAGTAACATCAGGGAATTCTTGTGACCTGACAAATCTTCCAGACCTAACTCTGTAATGCTGTTAAATGTACATGTTTTAAGGATGGGGAACCCATGGTCTTCAGATATTGGATTCCAGTCCCCATCTGCCTCAGCCAGCATGGCCAATAGTCAGGAATTATGGGAGTTGTAATCCAACATATTTCTATGCCTGCTTTAAGAGAATGTAATACTCTTAAATAATGTGAATTATTTGGTAGTGCTTTGCCGAATGTCATTTCATTGCACTCAAGCTGTATAACTTGATTGCAAACCTATAACAAAACTATAGGAACCTAAGCATGTGTTTAAATATGGATTGCCTTTGTGTGATATGTATTAAAAGAAACAAATGTCATGACATATATGTTTTTCTCCGTGTTTTAAAGATGATGATAAGCATCTGCTGAACATAGACCCAATTCCTGCAGAGTTGTTGTGGGAAACATATAAGAGGAAGATAGCAGATGAAGGAAGACTTTTCCTGGATGAATTTCAGGTTGGTGCCCCATTAAAAGACATTAGCCAAGTGTAAATCAGAAATATGAGTAATGCTGGTGGCTGGCTTGCTATGGGGTAAGAAGTTCCCAAGTTCCCTGAAGGGAAGGTTGGGGGTGGGGGAGACAGAGAGAGAGGTGCAGAGCACAGCTGCGTAGCCCAGAAGGCTAGAATTGCGTTATAAGAGATGAGTCTTACTGAATCCTTTGGCAGTTAGTCCTCAGTAAGTGGGAGTTGGCTTGCAGCCCTGAATGTGGATCAACTGGATTAAGGAGTGCAGTTGAAATGAATTATGATGTGAATAGTTTTAAAGAGCTAAATATGCCTAACTGTGGTGGCAATGGTTTCACATAATTCTTTATGCTGAGGTTGTTGTTCTTTTGCAGAGCATTCCCAGAGTTTTCAGTAAATTCACGATAAAAGATGCACGCAAGTCTTACAACCAGAACAAAAACCGTTACATTGACATTCTCCCTTGTAAGTACATATTGCAAATTGGGTTCTTATCCTCCCTGCCCCAATTTATATCAAACTGAAGATAACCTTTGATAACGTCTTAACCTTTGTTTATGACTGTTTGTATGAAAAGATGACTACAACCGTGTGGAGCTTTCTTCAGTACTCGGGGACCCTGGATCTGACTACATAAATGCAAGCCATATTGACGTGAGTGACCACCGTTAGCAAAATTCCTAATGTCAGATTGAAAACGTTATTCGTAATTATTCCTAAGAATGTGCAGATATTAGTTTGCCTGGGCATAATAACAAATTACTTTATCTTGTAGGGCTTCACAGAACCAAGAAAATACATTGCTGCCCAAGGTTGGTATTACTACTTCTTCTTCTTCTTCTTCTTCTTCTTCTTCTTCTTCTTTCTTCTTCTTTATTGAATTTATATACCACAGAGCCTAGGGCTTGCTGATCACAAGGTCAGTGGTTTGAATCCCCGCGACGGGGTGAGCTCCTGTTGCTCAGTCCCAGCTCCTGCCAACCTAGCAGTTCGAAAGCACATCAGAGTGCAAGTAGATAAATAAGTACCGCTCCAGCTGGAAGGTAAACGGCATTTCCGTGCGCTGCTCTGGTTCACCAGAAGTGGCTTAGTTATGCTGGCTACATGACCTGGAAGCTGTACACCGGCTCCCTCGGCCAATAAAGCGAGATGAGCGCCGCAACCCCAGAGTCGGCCACCACTGGACCTAATGGTCAGGGGTCCCTTTACCTTTTACCTTTACCACCCTATACCCGGAGGTCCCAGGGCGGTTCACAGAATAAAATCAAAATACCACAAAATACATATTCAAAATAAGAACAACAACCCAATAACCTCCCCCAAAACACACATTTTCTTTTTCCTTTCCTTCCCACCTTAAATCATGCAGGAAAGTAGTCTCTCTCTCTTTCTCCATGCTCATACATATGAGGGGCTGCTGCCCCAGCTTGCGTTGCTAACCAGCCCCACCTTCCACCCTTTCCAACCCTATCCCCTCCCTTTACCCATGCTTCCCATAGCCTCATAACTCCAACAACCTCCCTATATTCTAACATCTCCTTTATTCCTCCCATATCCACACAGCCCCTTCAATCCCCTATATTTCCACAGCTCCTTTAAGCTCCAGTCTCATCTGTCTGCCACCTCAACCTCACCTACCTGCCACCCCCCCTTGCAAATCTCCATCACCTCACAGCTTGCTTGCCCAATGCTTCCCCATCTCCTCACAGCTCACCCCAATCCCAAGAGGACGCAGCTACTGTCAGTCACAGAGGAGGGAGGAATGAAGAGGAGACAGTCTCTTCTCTGTCCTGCCCTGACAGAAAGAAGTGTGGATTGTGAAATGCACACTTCCTTCTGCCGATAGCAGCAGTGAAGGGGAGACTGACTTTCCCCTCCATGGTGGTAGCGACAGTGGAGAGTACTTGAAGGCCTGTGTCCCCAGCTGTGTCCTCCCCTTTCTCCCAGACTACCCACCCATTCATTCACCTGATCAGCTGGGCCACTCACTTGCCCTGTTCCCAGACCTCCTTCACCCTATTGTGCATGGATTTGGCCTGACCTAGCCAAAGTTAATTGCTTTTAAGTTTCCTTGATTTCTGTGGGGCGTGCATTTAACTCTCTTTAAAAGTGCTTCTATCTTTGGCTGGGTCATGCCCATGGCAATCACGCCAACTGCTTAAAGTAAATATTTCTGCCCAGGTCCCAAGGAGGAGACAACGGATGATTTCTGGAGAATGATCTGGGAGCAGAAGGCAACCATCGTCGTCATGGTGACTCGCTGCGAGGAAGGAAACAGGGTGAGGGAAAGAGGCGCACTCTCCTGTTGTGGCTACTGTAAAAATATGCATGACTCTGCTTACTTTATTCTTACACCAATCCAGTTAATTATGGGAAACCTCTTTGGTCACAAAATACCCAAGAGGATGTACAAAGGCTCTGTTGTGGCTCTGTGGTGGGTCATAACTTCTGCTAATGAATTTATGAGCCAACCCAAATTCTTCTGGGGAGACACTGGTTATCTGGATGCAGGAAATGGCTACTGACTTGATCAGCAGCATGCATTGACTTGTCCAGGCTCCACTGCCAGTATATGGCTAGTACCATTTCTTATGGTTTGTCTTGGCCAAGTTTTCCCAAGAAGCGCGTGCTTACCATTTGCTGGAATGGGGGGTGGGGGAAAACTGTTTCTCCTAATGCTATGCACAGGGACTTCTGAGAAGCATCAGGCAGGCCATTGTGGGAAATGAGCAGATGGAGCAGAAAAACATTTGGGCTGACCCAACAGAGCTCTCCTCTGTCTCTCTCTTTTAAAACAAAACAAAACAAAAACAAAACCATTTCTGCGGGGGTTGCATTCCAGGTCAAAGCTCATGTTGACAGAGCATGCATAAGTCCACCCCACCCCATTATACCTCGGCAGCACCCCTGTTCCACTCCATCCCTTCCTCTTCTGGGTCAAAAATGACCCATGGCTTCAACTGGAAATGCCTAAAATGGACACCGCCTGTACGTGTGGTGTAGTGGTTAAGAGCAGTAGTCTCGTAATCTGGGGAACCGGGTTCGCGTCTCCGCTCCTCCACATGCAGCTGTGGGCTAGTCACACTTCTTTGAAGTCTTTCAGCCTCACTCACCTCACAGAGTGTTTGTTGTGGGGGAGGAAGGGAAAGGAGAATGCTAGCCGCTTTGAGACTCCTGAAGGGGAGTGAAAGGCGGGATATCAAATCCAAACTCTTCTACTCTTCTACGTAATTTTGTTTGTATGCTGTCTTTTCAAATGATGCTCAAGGTGGCTGACAACATGAAAGCCATACCTAACTACGGCGTACCAAAAGTTGTCGTAAACAATAAATAAAACCATTTAAAAAAATAAATAAAACCAAACTGAACAATTTCCAAAAGATCTAAAATAAAAATACAAAAACCCAACAGCAACAATACCCCAGCCCTAAAGTCTGCCCAGGGAACCTCAGCTTTTGTAGCTGGAGTCAGTCAGGACCCTGCCCTCCAAGGTGAGGCGGAAAAATTCCTTCAGGGAAAGGAGCAGGTCTTCCAGGACTCGCAGCCAAGATTACATCTGACTGTAAAATTGCTTACATTTGTATCTCACCTTATATCCAAGGAGCTCAGTAACATTCATGGTTCTCCCCTTCCTCATTTTTTTCTCCTAACAACCCTGTGAGGTTGGCCTGGGCCGAGAGTTGATTCCTGAAGTAACCCAGTGAGGTAACCCAGGATTTGAACCCTGGTCTCCTAGGCCCTAATTTGGCACTCTTACCTACTATACCACACATTGGAGCCATTCCTACTCAGTCTTACAGAAGAAAGGGTTGAATTGCAGTACCAGCTGGTTTATTTTATGCCATTTTTAGTTTGATAATTTGAGTTTTAACGGCTGGATCTCGGTTACTTTTATGTCTGCTTTTTTATTTGTAAGCCATTTCGAGCAACTCCAATGTGGAGGAGAAAATCAGTGTATACAATTTTTTAAAGTAAACAAATAAATGCAAACCTATGTTAGGGCTGGTTGCAGTTGATGGTCCTTGCGTTTCTACAGGTCAAATGTGCCAAATATTGGCCATCCATGGAAGAGGAGACCGCATCTTATGGAGACATCGTTGTGAAGATAAACGAATGTAAAGTGTGCCCCGACTACAACATTCAGAAGCTGCACATCACAAACGTAAGGACAGCAACACTTGCAGAGCTTTGCATAATCTTGCCTTTGCAATCATACTTGCAAAAGCTGTGTAAAAGAGGTAAATAAGTAAAGCAAATAGTGGTTTTCCAAGGACCACCAATCACGTAGCGCACAGCAACAGGAGAAGGGATGCGGTGAGGCAGCAGGGAGGTTGGCATGGTGCGAACATGCCACCTGGAGGAACAGACTGGCTCTGCGGGCGCATTTGTACCATGCCAACCTCACCACCACCTTGCCCTCCCCTTCCTAGTGGGACCCTAGTGGTCCCGGGCCCTTAGGAAGTGAGATTAGCTTCAACCAGAGCCAGGGCCTTTTCAACTCTGGCTCCGGCCTGGTGGAACGCTCTGTCTCATGAGACCAGGGCCCTGCAGGATCTGATTTCTTTCCGCAGGGCCTGTAAGACAGAGTTGTTCCGCCTAGTCTTTGGCTTGGAGCCAATTTGATTCCCTCCCTCTCTTTCTTTTTCCTTTTTCCTTTCTCCTCCTGTGATGAGGCTGCATTTTAATGTTTCGATATTTTAATGTTGTATTTTAATCTTGTTTTTAAGTTGTCTTCATTCAGCTTGTTTTTATTATTGCTTGTTAGCCGCCCTGAGCCCAGCCTTGGCTGGGGAGGGCGGGGTATAAATAAAAATTATTATTATTATTATTCCGATAACCCACAGTGATGCTGTTGACAAGAGGTAAGGCAAGAGCAAACCATGACGGGTGGAACGTGTCTCACTTCCCGCTCTCTTAAGCACTACACTTTGCCTGCTCTTCTACTAAGCAGATATTTGGTTTGGAGGAACACGGCTCATGCTGCTGTATAAATATGCCACTGGATGAATCCTCTCGTGATGCTTAATCATAACATGTGTTGCTCAGACAGACCAGTATAGAAGGCCACCCATGTTCTCCCTCCATTTCTGGCTAAGCCCAAGGAAGCTGGAGAGCTTTGTTCACCATTTGGAAGGTGGGCAGTCCCACTCTTTCTTTGCTCTTTATATTTGCAATTGAAACGACAGTGGCGAATGTTTACATGCACTCCTTTTCACCCAGAGAAGGGAAAAGACCACAGGAAGAGATGTGACCCATATCCAGTTCACCAGCTGGCCAGACCATGGAGTCCCCGATAATCCCCATCTCCTTCTCAAGCTCCGACGCAGAGTTAACGCTTTCAGCAACTTTTTTAGTGGCCCAGTTGTGGTCCATTGCAGGTAAGAATTAGCTCATCCTCTCTGCTTAACTGAGGCTGGGTCTATAGGTGCAGTAGAATGAAGTGATTGAATTCTAGACTGTGCTACCTGTATTCAGATGACGACGACAACAACAACAACAACAACAACAACCTTATTTATACCCCACCCATCTGGCTGGGTTTCTCCAGCCACTCTCGGCGACTCCCAACAGAATATTAAAAACACCATAAAACATCAAACATTAAAAACTTCCCTAAACAGGGCTGCCTTCAGATGTCTTCTAAAAGTCAGATAGTTGTTTATTTCCTTGACATCTGATGGGAGGGCGTTCCACAGGGAGGGTGCCACTACTGAAAAGGCCCTCTGCCTGCTTCCCTGTCACCTCACTTCTCGCAGTGAGGGAACCACCAGAAGGCCCTCGGAGCTGGACCTCAGTGTCTGGCCTGGGACACTTTGGGATACTATTTCTGAATGCTCCTCAAACTCCCCGTAAGTAAAGCAGACACATACACAACAGAGAGAAGGGTGCTTTAACACATTCTCCCTGGTATGCTAGTTAACTGTATGCAGGGAACTTTTTTCATATACATAGGAGAGTATTTGAAAATGTGATTCTTACTCTGAAACGATGCAAGTCACTTCTGGAATTTTACAGCCTCATTTCCATGTAGTTCTCTTCGCTATCTGAAGTTACAAAGAAAACTGAATCAGAGAACATTATCACGTGTGTACACTTCTGCAAGTACTGCTATCTAAACAAACACATACACACAGAGACACAGATTTTGCCCTGCCCCTCACAATTCTTACTGCTGTTAACCGTACCTACAGGAATGCACATCTGATCTTGGTCAGTGTTTGCTTATTTTCCTCAAATAGCTTTAAAAAGCGAACGTATTTCCCATAAGGTGCATATCTTACAGCAAAATCCAACACAAGTATGCTGGGAAGAAAGCCCCATTTATGTTCAGTGGCCCTAACTCCCACGTAAGTGTGTACAGGACTGCAGCCACAGTTATCCGCAATGTATTGCTTTCTCTCCTCCTTGTCAGTGCTGGTGTTGGGCGCACTGGAACCTATATTGCAATTGATGCAATGCTGGAGGGACTAGAGGCTGAAGGAAGAATGGATGTCTATGGCTACATTGTCAAGTTGCGGCGGCAGAGGTGTCTTATGGTGCAGGTGGAGGTATGCTGTCAGAGCTTTGATGGTTGACCATATATATGATTCATTATGATAACCTTGGAATAGCCTACAGGTGATACCAAGACAAAGGATCCACTGTTTCTTGTATGTGATTACGAGAGCCTGTTGATGATCCATCTGGTAGGAAGATTGATTCACTCAGAAAATATTTTGGTAGGGTAAAAAAAAGGGGGGTCTACCTGTAGAGGTATGGATTGACACTGGGACAGGTGCTGGCATCTCCTTCCCCATATACAGTGGTGCCTCGCAAGACGAAATTAATCCGTTCCGCGAGAGTCTTCGTCTAGCGGTTTTTTCGTCTTGCGAAGCAAGCCCATTGACGGATTAGCGCTATTAGCGCTATTAGCGGTTTAGCGGCTATTAAAGGCTTAAAGGCTTAGGGGATTAGCTGCTAAAAGGCTATTAAAGGCTATTAAAGGCTTAGCAGATTAGATAAAGGGGAAAAGCGAAAAAAATCTCAAGACTCGCAAGGTATTTTCGTCTTGCGAAGCAAGCCCATAGGGGAATTCGTCCTGCGAAGCAACTTCAAAACGGAAAACCCTTTCGTCTAGCGGTTTTTCCGTCTTGCGAGGCATTCGTCTTGCGGGGCACCACTGTATTGTGGGCCTCTTTTTTAAAAAGTTTTTTCCCCTTAAAGCTTGAAAAACAAAGGAAAAACAATATACAGAAATGAACATCAAATGTCAAGCATTTTTAACATAAAAACTAAAAGAAAGTAAATAAAGAAAAGGAAAAGACTTCCATTTCTCCTTCTATCAGCCTTAAAAATGTATGCAAAACTCTTGCTTCAGAATAACATCAATCTTCTATTTCCCATAAGCCAAGCTCTTTTCAGTCTTCAAACCTAGATATCACAAGCTCATTGTCCTTTTGGTGCAAAAAATTCCATAAGGGGTTTCAATCATTAATAAATGTCAACTATGATTTTTTTATATAATTAAGCGTGGCAACTTTGCCATCTCAGCCAAATCCATAAATTTCAATAACCATTCTTCCATAGTAGGTAATAATAAATCCTTTCATATTTGTGCATATGACAATCTTGCCTCTTGATTGGAGCAGGTGGTCCATTGCAGTCCCACCCCTTCTCAGTTATTCCAGCAGTAACGCGTCTCTCTGCTTTCTGGATTTCTTGTGATTAGAGTCTAGTAAGCAACACCCTGCTTTCCATTGGTTGGTGGACGACTCAAGCAATATACCGTAATTTTTGCTCCACAAGACGCACTTTTTTCCTCCTGAAAAGTAAGGGGAAATGTCTGTGCGTCTTATGGAGCGAATGTGTGGTGATCACTGGCTCCCTTTCTGGCCCCGCCCCCTTGCCCAGGCCTCCATTGTTGAATGTTCTGCAGACAGAGGCTGTTTGTTACCCCAGCGACATGTGACTGGCTGATTAGATTATCTGTCTGGAAACCGTAGAAACGGCTCCCTTTCCTTTCCTAAAGAAGTTACAGAACTGTGCGTCGAACCCCATAAAAACAGGATTTTTTCCCTTTGCAAAGTAAGCTCAACAACTTTGAGCTGATCCTCAAAAAAAGGGGGCTTTTCCCCTTTGCAAAATAAGCTGCACAACTGTGAGCTGACCCCCCCAAAAACGGGGCTTTCCCCCTTTCTTCCTCTAAAAACTAGGTGCAGCTTATGGTCAGGTGCATCTTATGAAGAGAAAAATACGGTATTTGCTCACTGGTAGGAACTTTAAAGAGCTCACTTGAGTGGTCCGTTCATCTGTATGGCATGACCACAAAAGATGGCAATTCCCCAAGTGCTACAGAAACAAATGTGGAAGGATGTCTTCAAAGGAGGGATGGGGAGGACATTTTCTCTTCCTGAGACAATATGCTCTTCTTTGAAATTTGCACTTCTCCCAATTCCCCCAACACCAAATTATGTATATAGTGTGCCTATATTAGTAAAGATAACAGCAGGGAAAATAGCATACAAATGTCACCTACAGCCCTGCCCTTTCCTAGATTAAAGGGGTGCGTGCATATTGTTTTTGTTTGTCATTTTGGTATGTTTTTTTGTGTGTTGTTTAAATTGTAAACCACCCTGTGATCTTTGGATGAAGGGTGGTATAGAAATCTAAATAACAACAACAACAATAATAAGGAGAAATTCACAATAAGCTGGTGCAGAAATGTGAACTGAATTTAAGAATAGAGGAATGAGGAAGACTACCCCAAAGTATACACTTGGCCCTTGCGGAAAGTGCAACCTTATCTAGAGCAAGTCTTCCTAGCCTACAGAGGCATCAACTCAAAGAGCCTCTGTCTTGTCAGGATTCAGTCTCTATTTGCTCTGTATACTGCTGTAGTCATGGAATTGTATCTACATTTCTTTTAACTGCAATTTTTCCATCCTGCAACTGGCATAATCTGGAATCCTGGGGAACATTAGTCCCAGTACATCTTGATCCATCAAGCTTTGGTTGAATACATCCAGTTTGGTGAAACAGAGGTCAATATCCCAGAACTACACAACTGCCTCAATTACCTGAAGAAGCGAGATCCTGCCAGTGACCCATCTCCACTGGAAGCTGAATTCCAGGTAAATTGCTCTCAGTAAAAGTTACCGTATTTTTTGCTCTATAGGACGCACTTTTCCCCCTCCAAAAGTGAAGAGAAAATGTGTGTGCGCAGAGAACTTCTGCTGTGCTCCGGGGGCTGCAGGCAGCTATCTGCAAGCCTTCAGAGCACAGCAGGAGTTCCCACCATGCTCCGAAGGCTTGCGGATGACCGCCTGAAGCCTGAAACCCCCGAAGCGCAGCGCGAATGCCCACTGCGAACGCTCCAGGGGCTTCAGGCAGCTATCCGCAAGCCTTCGGAGCACAGCAGGAGTTCCCACCGGGGTCGGTGCACACTGATCACTCTTGCTCTCCAGGCTTCGCTTCGCTGGAGAGGCGCTGCACAGTTTTCCCTCTCTGCGCAGCGCCCCTTCAGCCAAGCGGGAGGAGAAATGGAAGGGGCTCCATTTCTCCTGCCGCTTCGCTGAAGGGGCGCTGAGCAGAGAGGGGGAGAATAATTTTTTTTCCTGTTCTCCCCCTCCTATGATCCGATGCGTCCTATGGTCTGGTGCGTCCTATAGAGCAAAAAATACGGTAGTTGAATACAACCCTCTGCCTCTCAACAGCTTATTGTGGGCCCATTTCATTTTGTTCCTCCTAGACTGAAGTTGGGAAGATGATTGCGGAGCAAAACTATGTAGCGTAAAGAGAGAAGAACGCTGAGTGATTATTTAGCATTTCTACTTAATAATCTCTTCTATATTTAATTTCTTTAGCGACTGCCTTCATACAGGAATTGGCAGACACAGAGAGCAGCTAACAGAGATGAAAATAAAAGTAAAAATCGGAGTTCCACAGTCCTTCCATGTGAGTATTTGAGGAGGCAGAAATAACTGTAGATTTCACACACTTGGTTTCTGTGACAGAGGGTTGACATTAACTCCTTGGAAACTATCTAAATGGCATCCTTTGTTCTGGCTTTCTTGCCCTGCAGATGACTATAACAGAGTTCTGTTCAAGTGTGAAGAGGAGGGCAGCCGAGAGAGTGAGCACGATTCCAACGATGAGGATTCAGACGAGGAGAGCGAATGCGAGGAGCCCAACAAATATATCAACGCTTCCTATATAACTGTATGTATGTTTGGATAACATATCCGTTTCATAGATTTTAAGTCACATTGATGTAACTATTGTCCATTGGAATAGCGTATTTTGGTGGCGCTGTGGGTTAAACCACAGAGCCTAGCACTTGCCGATCAGAAGGTCGGCGGTTCGAATCCCCGCAACGGGGTGAGCTCCCGTTGCTCAGTCCCTGCTCCTGCCAACCTAGCAGATTGAAAGCACGTCAAAGTGGAAGTAGATAAATAGGTGGGAAGGTAAACGGCGTTTCCGTGCGCTGCTCTGGTTCGCCAGAAGCGGCTTAGTCATGCTGGCCACATGACCCAGAAGCTGTACACCGGATCCCTCGGCCAATAAAGCGAGATGAGCGCCGCAACCCCAGAGTCGTCCGCGACTGGACCTAATGGTCAGGGGTCCCTTTACCCTTTACCTTTAAAGTCATTTTAAACACAGAACCAGTTTTTAAGTAGCAACCAAGAGATGAGATCTGGGTTTTGGTTTGCATTTTAAATGCCAGCTTTATAGCCCAGGTTCCATTCCAGCTGCACAAAATGATAAGTTATTATCACTTACTATTTCAAAACTAAACCACAACGTGCCATTAAAAAGTAAACAAAACTAATGGCGACTAAATGCCTGACATGCAAATGAAGGTGCAGAATAATATGCAAGTTTTTAAATGTTTTCTACTGATCTCTCCCAACTGAACTACAGATGACTATTCAGCTGTTGCCCTGAATTTGGTTTATATTACACAGAGGAAAATTAAAAGATTGGGTTTCCCCCTTAGCTTGGTATGAAATCAATCTCTGTGTGGATCCCACCACCCATTTATCTGCAACAAATTCAGGTCTCTCTCTCTCTCTCTCTCCTTTTTTAAAGGGCTACTGGCTTCAAAATGCAATGATAGCAACCCAAGGGCCTCTCCCAGAAACCATTGGTGACTTCTGGAACATGGTGTATCAAAGAAAAGTGAAAGTTATCGCTATGCTGACGGAGCTGAAAGATGACACACAGGTTAGTCTTTATGAGTCTGCAATATGGCATGGTGTCTCCTCCTAAGAAATACCAAAACTCATTTTTTTTCTACTACTCTCACCAAAGGCTTTTGCTTGTCTTTTTGGGACAAACAGCAATGGAATACAGATTTGACACTCTCATCTCTTCTTTCCAAGTGCATCCCTACATCTTCCAGCTTAATGCTGCAGTGCTGCAATTTGGGAACCAGTGATTTTTATGCTTTTCCTCGTTTTCTAGGAATTCTCTGCACAGTACTGGGGAGACGAAAAGAGGACCTATGATGGTATTGCGGTTGAACTGAAGGATGTCAACCATTGTTCCAGTTATACTGTCCGTACCTTTGATGTAACACACGTGAAGGTAAATTCACCATAGGTTTTGGGTGATCTATGAAATCTTTTGAGGCCTCTTGCTTATCAGTCTTCTTAAGGAGAGAAAGCCACTTCCAACGTAGAAAGGAGGTGGGGTTGTGGGCTTCACCCTCCCACCATGTGCGCGGGGACTGGCTCTCAGCTTCTGTGCAATTGAGGGAATCCCAGATCGCGTCATCCCCTGGCCAGCCAATCGGCTGGCCTGGGGTGTGTGTGGCCTGCTCCATTTAACGCAGGGGCGGCCTGGGATCTCCCTCTTTGCCGCTCCCATCTGCTCCAGTTTCCCACCCTCCCTCCCTTTAAGGTTTTTTCGTCTTTGACCTTGCTATGGACCTCGGTTGGTAGCCGTTAAGGGGCCTGGTAGAAATTTTTCCACTTGGCAAATTGGCACCAGCCACTTGGTTTTTTCGCCTACCTTTTAGCAAATCGTCACAACTTCCTTGGTATTGGCTGTTAGGCATTGGTATTGTTATTGTTATGTAGATGGAAGGGGGGGCAGGAAGCGCCATCACCTCCCCTGCATATTGAAGGGTAGTCTGATAAAGGATCCCGGGGTGTGTGGCCCTGTCCGAAGCCTATGGGAGGTGAGGGCCTAAGGCACGCCCCCGAGTGGTGACCCCGGGGGAGTTCCTAGTTGATGTGCATCAGCAGGAACCCCCCTACTGGTGGTTAACCCTTCCCGGACTTGAAGCGAACAGGCTGAAGCTGGATAGTCGGTTAGGACCAATGCCTAAGCCAATACCACTCATCACCTGTAACCAATAAAGTTGTGACCATATTTAGCCCATTAACCTTAAATATCTGTGTCATGTATCTTTATTTCCACTGGGGGGAGGTGGGAACTCGCCACGCAATGGTGGATTAGCTCAATATCTCTGGAACAAATCCCCAGGTATCTTTCTGCACAGGACTGCAATTAATTTAATTCTCTAAATGGTTCTTAGCCAAGCCAAATGACTTCCATTCCCTCCGGGTTTGTTTTGTCATCTTTTGAAAAACCTCCCCTTTCATCTGTTTCTTGCAGAGGAAAGAAACCCGAAAAGTGTTTCAGTACCAGTACCATAAATGGAAAACCTTTGTTCTACCAGAGAACCCCAAAAGCCTAGTCACCATGATCCAGGACCTTAAACAGAAGCTCCCACCACCAGATGTAATAGCTGAAGCAAATATGCGGAGCAGCAATGTCCCCCTTGTTGTTCACTGCTGGTAGGTGTAAACTTTGGAGATATTGCAACATGCTTTGAGGCTTGATTTCCATTTTTTCCTCTCCAGTATCTCTCAACATTTTATGTATGGTATGGAATTCGGTTTGATTTGTCTGTAATAAGTCCAGAACTCTCGTCTCTTTGGTTTGGGCTGGGTCACACTGTACATTTTCATACCTTGTGGTCACACCTGGAAAATTATAATTCTATGTGCCCTGTCCCCTGCATCCCTCATAAGGTAAGAATAAGCATGGGCAGTGGGTTTATTGTGATGGTATTCACTGGCATGGAGAACCATCACCTCTTTTTGTTTTTTCTCAAGGCAGCCATTTTGTACTGGCGCCCACGGCACTGTTATCATGATATGAGTACCAGAACCTCATCTTTTTTTCTTTAAAAGGACTGAGTGCAGATCTTTTAAGGCTGATCTCACTGGTTACATAAGCTAAGATAAGCAGAAATTTCTCAGAATGTATTTTGCTGAGAAAATTCGCGAGATTTTTCTTTCCCCCCTCACCCTCCTTACTAGAAAAAGAAGGCCACTTTGAGCTTAGCTCACACAGAAACCTCAGTGAGGGGCTTTTTGACACCCCAAATTTCATTGGAAAATGCCAGAATCTGCTGTGCTGTGCTAGGCTACAGATGCAGCTAGTAAGAAGATGCGACAGTAACACTCTGTGTTGGCCATACTAGACAATTGATTTTCATTTCTCATCTTGAAAATGTGTTTAGGTATTCCATGCTGCAAAATAAAATATATAATTTAACATTATTTCAATAACTGGCTATATCCTTTGATGTTCATATTTCAGGCTTTGGCCTGAAAAGAATTACACTGGTACCTTGGGTTACATATGCTTCAGGTTACAGACTCCGCTAACCCAGAAATAGTACCTCGAGTTAAGAACTTTGCTTCAGGATGAGAACAGAAATCATGCTCTGGTGGCATGGCAGCAGCGGGAGGCCCCATTAGCTAAAATGATGCTTCAGGTTAAGAACAGTTTCAGGTTAAGAACGGACCTCCGGAACGAATTAAGTACATAACCAGAGGTACCACTGTAATAAAATAAAATGTGATCTCATCCAGGTAACAGTCCTTCCTAACTTAGCCTAGTTACATTACTGACATTGTACTTTGACTTGTACTGACTACATGTGGCAAGATGCTACAGCAAGCCTTGAGATTGTGCATAGTCTATTCCTGCTCTGTATGAAATATCACCATTCCTTGTATTTCCAATATTCTGCCATTGAGTACCATTGCATATGTAGCCAAAGAGCATGGCCTAAGTACAAAAGGATCAATGTTTGCAGAAATATATTTGTTGGGGAGATATCCCAAAACAACCTAATGACGCCTGAGCAAGCTCTGTGGCCAGTAAATGCTGATTGTTGAGATGGAAATGCAGAAAATTAGTGGTTGTGGCGGTCATGGTGTCCGCAATATTTGGCTACAGGTCCCACTTATATCATACTATTTCAGAGCATTGCTGAACTTTCTGTCATATTGCTTCTGTAGACTAACACTGTTGATTTCCTGGAACATCATTTTGTAGTGATGGTGCCCAGCAAACAGGAGTATTCTGTGCTTTGCTGAATCTCTTGGAAAGTGCAGAGACTGAAGGCGTAATAGATGTTTTCCAAACCGTGAAATCTCTCCGTCGAGCCCGGCCAGCAATGATTTCCTCCTTTGTAAGTGGATCAAACTAAGTTGAGTTGTTATTTGGGAATAATACTACAGCTATCACTGCAGTTCAGCAGGTGGATTGAGCTTTTCTTTCTTAATAATAATAATAATAATAATAATAATAATAAATTATTTATATCCTGCCCTCCCCAGCCGAAGCCAGGCTCAGAGCGGCTTTCTTTAATCAATTAATTAAAATATTCATATCCTATTTTTTAAAGTAAACAATTTAAGGTGGCTAGCAAAACCTGGCTTAAAACAATAAAAATAGAATAATTAAATGCGAGTGCAGTGAAAATGCAGACTGGCTCTGTCGGTTTAAGTAATTAAGTACTGTGTTTTAATGTTGAAACCCCATTTTTTTAAATGCTATAGATCAGGCATGTCCAACTCCTAAGGGACTGCTATCTACTGCCACTATAAAAAAAACCTGGCAGTGATTTACCCATTGGATTGACCAAAGTTGTTGAGCTTTTTGAGCTTGCCTGCTATAGATCAAACAATGCTAGATTAATGCAGGGAAAGTTGGTAGTGAGAGCCAAGCTGTCTTTCAAAGAGGCGTATCTGCCATTGTTTAAGGTACCCGTGATAAGCTTCCTAGGAACTTGGGTGCCCTGTAGTTTCATTTGATAAAACCCACTGTTTTACACCAGCAGAATTTGATGCTAAGAAGCCCAGCAACCACACTTTGCCTGTCTCCCAGCCTTCGTGCCCCTGCTCAGGGAAACCACTTGAGATAGGAAGAACAGTATAGGACACCATTGTGCTGATAGTCATTCTGCTTTCTCTTTCCCTTCTTTGAATTCCTTCCTTTTTAGGAGGATTATCAGTTTTTGTACGATGCTATTGCCAGCGTGTATCCAGCCCAGAATGGACAACTGCAAAAAAACCAAGAACACAAAGTGAATATTCCAAATGATGTAAAGGAAGACGAAGGGGCTAACTCTGTTACCGTTGATCTCTGCCTTCCAGTCCAGACAAGTGGGAATAATGCGGAAAAGCACGAAGAATCTAAAGCAAAGGATGGATCAAGAGAAGCAGAAAGTTCTTTCAATGGACCCACAAACCTAATTTTAACTGAAATAGCCTAAAAGCTTGTTCTTCCCTTCAAGGCTTCTGTACATCCCCGCAGATGGTTCATTCAGCAGCAAATGTTGGGGGAATGTTCTCTCTCACCACACAATCCCAAACTCTTGTTTTCTTTAGAGAAAGGTTTTTTTTTAATGAACTCCTGAAAAGATTGTATCCCCGCAAAGGTACGCAATAGGTCACTTGAAACTTGTAGATAGCTTCAGCATACTGTGAATTGTGCAGGTGTGTTTGCGTGTAGAGTCGCCATCTTTAATCGTTGGATGATATTTGCACTCTTTGGGGTGTGTGGTTTTTTTTTTGTTTTTTTAATTGTATATTATCAAGCTCTTTATTTTCTTTTTTACAAGTTGGCATTTTACATAGCACTGAAAGAGGAAAGGAAATCTTAACTTGTTTGTGTTTGTTTTGACAAAAGAGAAAAATCGCTAGCACAGTTTAGATACGTATCACCAGTCATATGCAACCACAGATTTAAATGTACAGGCAGATAGCCAAAGCAAAGTGCAACACTTCTAGATTAAAGAGATTCTTAAGACAAGGTTGTGATATGGCAGAAGAAAATGAAGATCAAAGTGTGTGGCGGTGGGGAGGTTAGGTTTAGAAAATTACACTGGGCACCCCTAGGTACTTGTTCTTTGTTGGTGTCTGTCTGTCTTGGGAGACAATGGAGATGAATTCACCTTTGGGGGGGAAGTTAAACTATTGGAAGGTTGAAGCTGTAGAGACTGATACAGGAGAGACATGTAACAGCTGGGGCAGATGAAGGCGTAAATTATATGCTGTTTGGGGAATATGCCCTCCGGTGAGCTGATGGTAGCATTGGTGCATACACAGTACAATGCCCATTGTAGACATTGAGCATTTTCTGATACTGAAGTAACCGTACTGCTGCAAGATCCTATTTTTAAAAGACTTGCATTTCTCCAACCTGCCTCAAGATGTCACTGTGTTCATAGATATCCAACTGACTGTTCCCCTTAGGATGTGCAAAAAGGTTGCTTGTAAGTTATGAACACTGAATGTTTTGCAATTTGCTAGACGGACATCAGTCAGTTTGCTTGGTTTCCACATGTTACCACACCTGAAATATTACAAACACAAACACACAGAGAGAGAGAGTTTTCTCTCGCCTGAATGAAGCTTTTCTTAAAATAGGTTTTCTTTTTATACTTGTATATGCTACTCTTCCTGAAATTACGCAAATTTTGTATGAAAATAAGTTTTATATGTTTTATTTCTAGTTCTACTTTGAAATAAAAATAATATATCAGATAAAAATAACCCCTCAGAAATTATTCTGAGGCATAGAAAAGGTTTGGCATCATTGTAATAAACAAGGTGGATTGGAAAATCTCTCTCTCTCTCTCTCTCTCTCTCTCTCACACACACACACACACACACACACACACACACATTACAGGTCATCCTAAATTGATGTCTTCTGCAACACAAATTGTATGGTTTTCAGGGCCAAACTACACAGATGTTACAAGGTTATTAGCATTTATTAGTCACTCAAAGCAACTTACAAAAAGTTGTAGTGTGGGCTGTACAATTCTTATTGGTGCTGTGGCACTGAGGAAAGCGAATAGTATGAGCAGCGCTCATCTTGCTTTCAGGCCAAGGGAGCTGGTATTTGTCCATAGACAGCTTTCCGGGTCATGTGGCCAGCATGACTAAACTGCTTCTGGTGCAACAGAACACCGTGACGAAAGCGAGAGCTCATGGAAATGCTGTTTACCTTCCTGCCACAGCGGTACCTATTTCTCTACTCGCACTTGCGTGCTTTCAAACTTCTTGGTTGGCAGGATCTGGGACAGAGCAATGGGAGCTCACTCAGTCGCAGGGATTCGGACTGCTGATCAGTGGTATAGACCACAGCGCCACCTGCGCCCCTTGTATCTAAACCTAAATCACTGCAGACACAAGGTTACATTTTTCCTTCTACAGACGGTGTCCATTACTCAAGCACACTTTTGCAAGTCAGATTGCTATTATGATTATTATGCTTCCCTCAGTGTTCTTGATATTTGCCACGAGCAGAAAGTAAAATATGAATGTAGGCCTCCAGGTATAAAGGTAAAGGGACCCCTGACAGTTAAGTCCAGTCACGAATGAATCTGGGGTTGTGGCGCTCATCTCGCTTTACAGGCCAAGGGAGCTGGTGTTTGTCCGCTCCGCAGACAGTTTTTCTGGGTCATGTGGCCAGCATGACTAAGCCGCTTCTGGCACAATGGAACACCAACACCAGGGCAGCACACGGAAACACCGTTTACCTTCCCACCGGAGCGGTACCTATTAATCTACTTGCACTTTTGGGCGTGATTTTGAACTGCTAGGTTGGCAGAAGCTGGGACCGAGCAATGAGAGCTTATGAATGTAGGCCTCCGGGTATAGGGTGGTAGATAAGTTGAATAAATAAAGAATAAATAAAAGAAAATAAAGCTTAGGAGAAAATTGGTGTCAACTCAGGTTCCCCTACCTGGAAAACATCTTCACTAGCCCTGACCTCCATCCAGTGCTAAGAAGAGGCCTAAGGGCTAAGAAGAGGTAGGACACCAAACATCACAGCTTGTCTAATAATTACTTTATGGTAATTTTCTCTGGGTCCATCTCAGGTAGGGATGTGCGACAGAGAATTGTCCCTGGGTATGTAGATAGTCTAAAACCTGTGAAAATAGCAAGGTATCAAATATTTTCATGGCAATTTGGCAGGAGCAGATTTAGGGTCAAGCAGTAGATGAAGGAAAGGTGGGGAATTGTTTCACAGCACGTGGGGAGATAATTAAAAAATATATTAAGAGGGACAGCTGTCCGTCTGTTTCAGGTGCCCAAAGGTATCTTACTAGGTTTCCATACAACTACATAGTTTGTCCACTAGGCTGTGCTAAAACATTTCAAATAGAAGTTCATCTTTCAAACAAAAAGTGCTTTGAGACAAATACTTAGGCAGCGGCGGTAAATGTCTGCTGAAAACTTTATTTCTGCAAACCTACCCTAGTATAGAATTTAGCCTATGTTTGTCTTAAAAGTTATACTGATTTTATCTGTTTCTATTATTCTCATGTCATAACAGTGCTGTAGATTTCAGCTGTGTTTTATAGAAAATTTTATTGTGCATGCCACTTAGAGATTAAACAGTCTGTATAACTTTTTTCCTAAATAAGTAAAATAATACGGCAAGAAGGATGAAACCTGTGGTTCTTAATTCACGGCCATTGGTGCAACTGACAATGAGATTGAAGTTGCACCCCAGCCCCACTTACCTGGGAGTAAATCCCACTGAATTCAATAGGACATACTTCTGAGTAGACATGGTTAGATTGCACTGTAAGCCAGGGAGGAGTTTTATGGTGCCGCTAAACATTTGAAGGGTGTTTGCTTAACATGGGGGTGGAGAAATTGAGGTCTTCTTCAGCTCCCATTAGCTGGCATGGCCAAAAGTCAGCGATGATGTGGTTTTTAGTCGAACAACAGCTGAATGGCCTCAGCTTCTCCATCCTTGGCTTAACGGACAAAAATAGTTTCACCCTGTTTTCAAGCTTGGTGGGTACTTTCTGGCTGAGGGACTCACACCTAACTTTAAGCTGCTAGCCCACTGTGCAGGATCACGGCTGTTGTGTGTGCTTCTGCTACTGTCTGATCAAGACCCATCTTGACTACAGTGGTACCTCGCAAGACGAATGCCTCGCAAGACGAAAGAGTTTTCCGTTTTTTGAGTCGTTCTGCAAGACGAATTTCCCTATGGGCTTGCTTCGCAAGACGAAACGTCTTGTGAGTTCTTGCGAGTTTGTTTCCTTTTTCTTAAAGCCGCTAAGCCGATAATCGCCGCTACGCCGCTAAGCCGCTAATAGCCGTGCTTCGCAAGACGAAAAAACCGCAAGACGAAGAGACTCGCGGAACGGATTAATTTCGTCTTGCGAGGCACCACTGTACTGTCTGGCCAAGTCCAGAAGAACCCCCTAAGACCAATTTTCCAAAAATCAAAGAATGTCCAGTGGACATTATTCCATAATGTCCAGTGCCTCCGCAATATGTATCATACTTCCTTCATGACAAAACAATACAGGTGCATCCGTATGTACATTAAACGGAGTGTGCTGCCAGGGCCTTGAATTTCAGTTTGTGGTCACTGCTTCCTCTGACTTCATAAATGTAAGATGGAGGATAAGATGAGGAAAGCTTTTAGCTGCAGCTCTGCTGAGGATGGCACCATTCTGGTGGCCACGAGAGGAGACTAGGAAGTTAACTCACTCCCCGTTCAGATACAGTGGTACTGTTCTTAACCTGAAGCGTATGTAACCTGAAGCGTATGTAACCCGAGGTACCATTGTATTTGCATGGGCTTCACAAAGACGTGCACAATGCTTGCCTTTGTAAGGGAATGTGCAGAACATCTATACAGTGGTACCTCAGGTTACATACGCTTCAGGTTACATACGCTTCAGGTTAAAGACTCCGCTAACCCAGAAATAGTGCTTCAGGTTAAGAACTTCAGGATAAGAACAGAAATCATGCTCCAGCGGCGCAGCGGCAGCAGGAGTCCCCATTAGCTAAAGTGGTGCTTCAGGTTAAGAACAGTTTCAGGTTAAGAACGGACCTCCGGAACGAATTAAGTACATAACCCGAGGTACCACTGTACCTAGAATCATAGAGTTGGATGGGACCCTAAGGATCATCTAGTCCAACCCCCTGCAATGCAGAAATATGCAGGTGTCTAACCAACTGAGCTCCAGTATGAGGCTCTAAAACAGGTGAGAAAGCGCCTTAGAAAGAGCCCTGTGCCAAGCCTGGCCTGGCCTTGCTGCCGCTCCCCCAGCCTCCTCGCTGAATGGCCACCCAGCCAGAATGGGGGGGGGGGTTGCACCTGCCAAGTGCTACATCGGCCAGTCGGGCTTCCCACTGCATGGGCTGGCAGTGCAGGACAGCCCCGTGAATCCTCTGTGCCCTGCGCTCGTCTGGCAGCAGCAGCAATAAGGCTTGGCCGATGCAGTGGGTT